AGGTCAGTGCGTATCAACCCTGCTGGCCGTTTAAGGACTGATAAAATCAGCGTTTCCAGGAAAACCTAACTGCTGTTTTGAAGGTGGTTCAGAATAAAACACCAACGGTTGACTTGTACGCGTTAGCTTCTCAGCGTGTCATGGGGTATCGGGACAGATCAGCGCTGTCCAGGGCGCACTTTGTAGTGTCCTGGTGCCCTTGATGTCCAGTTCGTGGAATTTGGGGTTACATGACACTATTTTCTAAAAGGGATCAGAAGCCAGTTATACAAATCACAAGATAATGAGGGCGGGGGAAGAGGGATTGTTTGAGGAGAGAGGCAGGCAAGAAGCCTTCAGCATCACACCCATCTCTCTGGGCACCAAGACTCAGGGGAGATCCTGCTAAGCCCAGCATACTGACGGCAAAGATGCCACAGGTCCCCACATGGACACAGAGAGTGCCACGTGAGCACCGACTCGGGATGGCAGTGACTTCACTGGCTTGACCCCAGTGCGTGGCCATGACCTCCTCCTGCCGGCCCCAGTGAGACAGCACGGCTGCCCTGGGGCTCCAGTGATGGCTGAGGAGTTGCCCTGTGAAGATATGACTCATCCCAAATACAGAGCTCTGCGGGGCCACTAGATCCACCCACCAGAAAGAATTCTCTGCAGGCCAGGCTCAGGACAGCAGAGCCTGAGGCCCAGGCACTGCGTGAAAGCCAGAGCCACAGGCAGGGAGGGCCCTGCTCCAGGAATGGATCCTGGCAGTATTCTTGCCAAGAGGACAGTTTGCCCACCCAGAGGGGGACAGGCCTGGGTGAGGAGTGCAGGTGCTGCATGTGGGATGTGCTTTGGGCCTGAAGCTTTTCAGCATGCATGTTACCCAGCAGGGCTTCAGAGAGACGCTCGAATAGCACCTGCGGGCATTGCTGACCACAGCACATCTGTGGGTTGGAGCGGTCACTCTCCACTGCACAGATCACGCTAAGGGAAGGGGGGCTCATCCCGGGACTCATGACTGACAAGGGGCAGAGCCAGGAGCAGAACCCAGGTTGCGTGCTCTGGGCTCCCGTAGAACCAGCCAACGAACCAGCCAGGAAACACCTGAGGGCTCAGATCATCCTCATCTAGACAGAACATCTAGACAGAGGAGGGTCTATACGGTTAGAACAGTGCTCCCATACACCAGTGAGATACAGAGGCTCCACCAGGGCCCGAACCTCATGAACCTGAGTGGCCCATGGCATGCTGTTAAAAGGGGACCTTGCCCTCATCCTAGCATCCGAGAGCAGGCAGGGACACCACAGAGCTCTGTGTCGCTTAGGCATCGGGCGCCAGGGGCACACCATGGCTGCAGCCATCAAAGTCTGGAATAACTCTTACCTTCCACTGGCCACCTCCCCCGACCCTGCCAACACACCTTTCCCTCTCTGCCTGAGCCTGTCTGTACAAATCAACAAGACTGTAAGGAGGAGCGGGCAGAACCAGGGGCCTGTGCAGTGAACAGAACGCAAGCTCTGGAGAGGATGCCAAGGGAGATGGCAGCCATGCCAGGACAGTGGGGTTTGCACACATCTCAGCTGCTCTATCTGGGAGTCAGAGCAGGGAAGAGGGAGCCTTGAGGGACAAGGAGGGTAGTCCCTTTGCAAACCCAGGCATCATGCTGAGCATGACACTGGGCCCAGAAACATTAGCAGAGTGACTGGAGCGGACAGGGAGCCCTCCTGTCAGTGCGTTGCACTCGGGCTTTCTGGGGTGCTCCAGCCTCCCCATCATTCCATGTGCTTTTCCTTTCGTGAGCATCTTCTCTCCCTGCGGCCCACCCCATGTCTGCCCAGCCCTGGGATTGAGGTTCGCTTGCATAACAGGTAATAGCAGGCGTTTCCTTGTCCTGTGACAGGACATCCTGGCGCCCTTCAGTCTCCCCCTGGCTGTTTAAAACAGACTCGAGCACAGGGAAAAAAACGACTCTAAAATTAGCAGCATGACAGAAGAAAGGCACATAACTACTCTCTGTCCTGTTTGTCAATGAAGTGAGTCTAAACAGGGCCAAAATGCATTTCCTTTTTGGACAAAACAGACCCGCTGGGGTGATGCTTGGACACCCAGGGGGCCAGGCGGCCTGTGGGGGCAAGAGAAGCCACCCAGAACGCCAGGGGCCTGCTCCGTGCCCTGGTGCCCGCCTTTCTAGCAGTTGCTGAACAGAGCCTGGTCCAAACTTGTCAGAGGTCGAGCTGGAGCACAGTCCCTCCCTCCTGCCCAGGACAGGCTTTCAGAGACCTCTAGCCCGGCTTCCCCAGGGCTGTTGCAAGATTGCTCGGTTTTAGTTCAGCGGGGTACTTGCCCCTGTTTTTTATTTTTTTTAAATACATTTGAAAACACTCTCTTGTCCTGAAATAAGAGTTTGCAGAAAGTAAGCTATAATTTTCAACATGCCAAATCTACAGTAGTCCAATAATTCTAAGCAAGAGTTTCAAGGAGATTAAGAAATGTAGTGATCTGGGCCGGGCGCGGTGACTCACGCCTGTAATCCCAGCACTTTGGGAGGCCGAGGCGGGTGGATCACGAGGTCAACAGATCGAGACCATCCTGGTCAACATGGTGAAACCCCATCTCTACTAAAAATACAAAAAATTAGCTGGGCATGGTGGCGCGTGCCTGTAATCCCAGCTACTCAGGAGGCTGAGGCAGAATTACCTGAACCCAGGAGGCGGAGGTTGCGGTGAGCTGAGATCACGCCATTGCACTCCAGCCTGGGTAACAGGAGCGAAACTCCATCTCAAAAAAGAAATGTAGTGATCTGGTTGGGTGCGGTGGTGCACATCTGTAATCCCAGCACTTTGTGAGGCCAAGGCAGGTGGATCACCTGAGGTCAGGAGTTCAAGACCAGCCTGACCAGCATGGTAAAACCCTATCTCTACTAAAAATACAAAAACTAGCTGAACGTAGTGGCGGGCGCCTATAATCCCAGCCACTTGGGAGGCCGAGGCAGGAGAATCGCTGGAACCTGGGAAGCAGAGGTTACAGTGACCAGAGATTGTGCCACTGCACTGCAGCCTGGCTAACAGAGTGAGACTCCATCTCAAAAAAAAAAGAAAGAAAGAAAGAAAGAAAAATCCAGTGGTCCATCCATTGGATTATCCTACTTGAAGGATTCTTTTCAGAATCAAAACTATTGCTTTTGCTTTCTCTATGCCACTAAAATATCTTTGTTCTGACCCAGCATTTCCAATCACATTTTCGAAATCTTCCATTTCCTCTTCAAGCCATGGCGTTTGCGATCTCCACACGTGGTAGAGATTGGCCGTTTCAGCGAGACAGGAAAAACACCTCTCTGTTTTATAGCCTGGGGGTCAGCAGAGGGCTCTGTGGGAGCTTCCCAGCCTGGGCCCCTCATGGAAAGTCTCGTGTTTTCCCCGCAGTCATGCAGGAGTCAGGGAGGCAGAGTCGATGCTTGGTCCCTCCTCACTCATTCGTTCTTACGATAGTTGGGGGCAGAAATGACCCTTTTTGAAGTTGGGCACACAGAGGCTCACGTTAGCTCAGCGAACTGCCCGACCTCACGTCGATAATGACGGAGCCAAGACGCAACTTCAATCCCGGGCTCCACGCCCTGTGCTTTTCCATGGAAGCCTCGAGGTGTCCTCCCTCCCCGCCTCTGCCCACCAGGGGAAATGACTTGCCCAGGGCCACACCATGCTGTGAAGAGCGCTCAGAGAGCCCCATCCAGACTTGCCTGCGGCACTGCCCAGCACGGGAATACCCGCCCCTGCAGTCTGTCAGCCTCATTCTGGAAATTATGTTTCTTAAGAAAGATAAGGTCCCTTCCTAGAATGATTCACTCTGGACTTCCTGCCACTTCTGTGTGGGAACTGCAGGCCAACCTCAGAACACCGTGCCAGCCCCAAGGAGGAGGGTGCCGGCAGTTCCGTGCTGGCCACGCTCAGCCATGGACTGACACGCTCACTTCCTTCATGTCCCTGTCTGCGGGCACCGGGCTGACCTGTCCCAGTGGGCAGCAGGAGACCTAACTTGCCACATGGGCCCAAGGTCCTCAGACCTCTCAGTCAGCCAGACAGGGCAGTGGGGATAAAGACCAGCAGAGCCACCTCGAGTCGCTGGGGTCATGGTTGGACACCTCTGTGGCTCCACCACTTGTCTAGAAACCCCAGGACCGCTCCACAGGTCGTTATGATGACCCCATCACTGTCACCCTCTGCAACACAGGTGTTCTCAAGACCTGTCCCAGGGTATTGGGTCCAGAGTATTGAGAGGAGGCTCCAAGCTGCGATGGCCCAGTGCCCACAAGGTCAGGCCTCCTCCCCTCCTCGTACAGCGGCTCAGGGAAGCCGGGGCCCTCATGGTAGTCCTGCCGTCTGCATCTGTGTCCGAGCCAGGCATGGCGCGTGTGTGTGTGTGGTACCTCATTGTTGGCTTGGGCACTGTGGAACGTGCTAGCGTGTTCTCCTCACTGTCTTGTCCTGCTCATGGAAAGGGCCTGTGTGGAACCCAGGCGGGTCCTAGGAAGCTGTGTTTGTAAAGAGCACATGCCTTGGCCTCCCTGGGCCTGATGTTCTCTGTTAGCTGGGAAGGGGAACAGGGTGGGGCTGGGTGTGGGCCCTGTTGCCTCTGCCCAGGGACTGCTCTCCTCACTGCCTCCCGGCTGCCTTAGCCCCAAGGAGGATGCAGCATCCAGGCTGTCCCATGTGGGCTGCCCAAGGGCCAGTCAGAGATCAGCTCCACAGACTCAGGAAAGCAAAGCACCTCAGCCTGGTGTGCTGTGTCTGTGTTTAAGGTGGAAAGCGGCGTGACAGACACAGCCAGGCGGTCTCAGCCTCGCTGGTCCTTGGCCCGGATGTGCTTCTGTCATTCATCATTCTCGCCTATAGCGGTCCATGGAGAGGGAAGGTACCCCCACATTGAGAGATATGGCCTGCAGCTTCTCCCAAGGCCATCCGAGGTCCCAGGACCCTCTTGTGACACCAGAAGGCCACAGGGGGCAGGGTTCGGGTACTTACTTGCCAGTTGGAACGCAGCGGCCATGGCCTCCTCCCAGCACGGGGCGTCGGGCGACAGCAGGGGCAGGCCCACCAGCCCCAGGATGAAGGTGAGCTGGCCTGCAGCAAGCGCTGCCGTGGCCACCAGGTTGCAGGCGCGCATCATGTCGAACTGCACTGTGGGCCAAGAGCAGAGAGGCAGTGGTGAGCGCAGGTGGGCTCTGGAGGCCACACTGGCCGCCATGCCTCTTTCATGGACTGTTTGCCTTTGAAAGGGCGGTCAGCACAGGCCATGCCTCCTCTGGGCAGACCCTTCTGGAAGCCTTGCGCCCTCCCTCTCACTTGCCTGCAAGGCCTGGGTGCCATGTCTTCCTGACCAGAAGCGCTCATCGCAGCCCCTGGGCTGGCTGCAGTGGTCATATCCCCGCAGGGACAGGCCTTGCTCTGCTCTTTCTGTCTCCCTGGGACAGCTGTTGCCGTCTGCTTGACTTGGCCCTTGGAGGCGCCGGCATGGGGCTGGAGGTGGGGAGGGGAAGCCCCAGCAGCTTAGGAACTTGGGCCCGAGGAGCAGCTCATCTGTGCCCTCATAACCAGCAAGGGGCTAGGCAGGGGTTGGACACGGGTCTGAACTAGTGCCCCTGACCTTCCCCTCTCACCCCGTCGGCCTCAGGCACCCCGCCCTGGGTATCTCCTGCGACAGATTCCTCACTCAGTGGCTAAAGTCGGTGCCTGCTTCGCCACTCACAGTTGGCTTGCACCCAGCCTTCTCTGTTCCCTGCCCACACCCTGGTTGCAGGAGCCAGGCGGGCAGGACACACAGATGTGTGGTCAGGGGAAGACGGGGCCTTCTGTGGGTGAACCTCATAGGGAGGAGTGTTTACAGCCCTCAGGGACTGGGCTCATCTCATTTCTGTAGCAGAGAAATGTCCTCCCGTAAACAGTACATAAAGGCCCAAACGAGGCGGTGGTGAAGCTGTGTGTTCCCAGTCCATACCCAGGCCCCAGCGTGCTGCAGAGCAGACAGCATATGTGCCAGTGGACACTCAGCCCAGAGGCAGGGGCTGCACGCAAAGCCACAGCCCCACAGAGTCCCCTGCCTGTCGTCTCCATGCCTTATTTCGTTTACACAATATTTGGGAAATTTGATTCCCAAAGCTAAGTGGTGGCCAACCGTCGCACCTTTTTAAATGGCACTCTGGGGGTCATGGATGCAGGCGACCAAGAGGGAGGCAGCCCGGCCCTCAGGCGCGGGTCCCCGTGTGCCCCCGGGCCTGCACACATTCATCACAAACAAGAACTGCTTGGAAAGCAGCAGAATCTCCCAAGAGCCCTGAGGGTGCCGGCCTATAGGGTGACTGCTGTGTGTCCAGGTGGACGCAGAGATGAGGATAAAGAGATCCTCAGGCTGCCTCCTTAGAGCATGCCTGTGGGAAGCCAGCCCGGCAGGGGAGGCTGTCGGGATTCACACGTGTACGGGGACAGGCGTGCTGCTGTCAAGGCTGGGGTGGGGCGGGTGCAGGCTGCTTTACTTGTTGAGTGTTTACATGGTTAGACGTATCCGTCGGGACGACCGTAATCAGGATTAGCAATTCCGTATGGTTCAACCTCGACATTTATTGAAATGCCAGCTGGATTCAGAGAACCACCTCAAAGCTCCAGAGCCAAGGCCTTTGCTTCCCACCCGGCCCTTGGGCTGGGCACTGCCTTTCTTCCCAACTCCTGCGGGGCTGAGCTGGTGCCTGTGTCGTCTCTGTCGAGGCCTGCGGCATCCCTGGAGGTGCACTCTTCTCCGAGGGCCAGCCGGTCCTACCCAGTGTCGTTCAAGCTGCCTCCCTCTGCAGCGTCCCCTCCAGTCACTCGGGGCCGAGGGTGCTACCCTTCCCAGGTCCCAGGCTTTTCCAACGTGCCCGCTCCAGCCCAGGTGGCACCTGCAGCCCTGAGGCCTCTGGGCCATGAGGACACTGCAGAGAGTGGAGGCAGGAGGAACCCTGGGGCATGGGGGCCCCGGGCTGCTGAGGACTTGGAGCCCCAGTGCTGTACTCGGGGCCAGCCCACGGGCGGGCGGGGGCCACTGACAAGGCTGTCGGAAGTGGCAGCAGCTGCTCCTCACTCATTTTTCTCACAGCGAGACAGATGTCCCAGTGGCCTTCACTGCCTCGTAACTGAGAGCTCATGTTCTTTCGTTTCCAAAGTGACTGCGGAGCTAGAAACCACGGCACTCCCACCACATGCTCTCAAAAGAAGAACACACGCAGGGGCTGAGAGCTGGTCGGGTGACCAAGGGGCTTCCGCAGGGAGAGCAGGAAAGCCTGGCGGCAGGTGAGGACCTGGCTCAGCATGATTACTGGTGGCCATGGGTCCAGAGCGCTGGCAGAAAGGAGCAGAGCCTGGGGCGCTGGAAGTGCCAGGGGATGGCAGAGATGCGCTCGGCCTTCGAGTGGCACATTGCAGCTTGCTGAGACCTGAGATGTGGAGCGCCTTCGCCCTGGGTTCCTCAGCTGCCCCAGGGTCTGTGCAGGTGGGGCCAGCAGGAGGCAGGGTTCAGGCAGACACTGCCCCGGCCAATTGGCAGGACCCTCCTGACTGCTCCCGCCGGCCCTACAACCAGCCCTAACCAGTGCAGGGCTGCAGCCTACAGGGACTGAAGTGAGGCCTGCATTTTGAGGGTGTCCTGTCCACACGTTAGGGACTCGTGTGAGTTCTGGAGGCCCCTTCCAGCAGGATCGGTGGCACGCACGGTGCTGCGCCATCTTCGCTCTTAACTGTCTCGGCAATGACTTCCTTCCAGAAGCCTCGGCTTCTCTAAACTTCGTAACGCGAGGGAGCCATTAAAATATCATGCAGAAGGTTCCAATGCAGAGACATTGAAATACCATGCAGGTTACTGGGGAGAGGAGCAGCTCAGATTCCCAGCCCTACCTCGGAGGGGAGGAAAGAGCGGAATGAAGGGGGAGGAGGGGTGCAAGGCCAGCTCGGGGAGCAGCACAGCCTGGAAGGGCATGACCCAGGTGGGCTTCAGCACCAGACACAGCTGCAGGTGTTGGTGTGGTGACGCTGGGTGACCGAGGCTCCTAGGAGCTGGGAATGAGCAGACGTACCCCTGACCTGTACTCGTGCCCTCAGCCCTGGCCTCCCAGCCTTCCTTCCTGGCAGCTCCACGGGCACAACCCTGTGCCACAAGCCATGGCAGGGGCTCTGTGCAGCGACCGTACCTCACAAGCCACTGTGCAGCCTCCAAGTCCCCAGGGCGTGCGGCTCGCCACGGGGTACCCACAGACCCACCGCCCTGCTGGGAAGGAGGCGCTCCTGACTGAGCCTTCCTTGTCTGAGCCACGCTCCCGCCTGCTGGAAGAGCAGTGCCCAAAGAAAGAACAGCATTCCCTGTTCAGGCGTTTTACTGGTTCCTCTGCTGGCCCTCTGTGGTAGCAGCTGACTTGTCGGTGAGAACACGCTTCAACTGGGTCCTGGCCAAGCTCTGTCATCTGTCTATATTCAGGCAGGGTCGTACGTGCGTGTTTGATGTGTGGCGGGACATGCATGGTGTACAGAGACACTCGGAGCCACCAGAAAGAGGGGTGGGCTCCTCCTTAGGGAGCCCTGGGCTCAGGCTCACCTGCCTCAAGATTCTGTTCCTGAGCCACCTTGTTTCGGACGCCTGACAGAACGCACGAAGTACAGAGAGATGACATAAAGGTCAAAAAGGAGACATGAGGATCAGAAAGTGAGACCCACCCTGATGATGGCATCTGAGGTGGACCTCAGGCCTCGCTGGTCCCCTGAGTTCCCCACAGGAAGAGAGCCCCTGCTCCGTAATGAGAGTCCCACTCACCACAGGCCACAGAACGCCTCAGGGAAGGGCACGGGAGGGCCTGAACCTGACTGAAGTTGAGACCAGGCCCCTCTGCTCTGGGCCCAGCCCACTTGGGATGTCCAGGAGGCTGGGGTGCCCTGACCAGAGTTCAGCATATCCGGGCTGCATCCCTCGTCCCTCTGGCAGGTCTCTGGTGATGTTTGAGAATGGCGTGCGCTGGATGACTTTGACTCCGTGCGCTCCATGGGGCAGGACCTCAGGGCACAGAGACGTGCAGCGACATCGTGCCGGCCTCGGCGACGTCGGAAACCCCGAAGGTGGCCTGGCGTGCGTGCGGAAGCATGCTGCGTGCCGCTGTCTTCCCTGGCCGCCCCACCCCAACCCTAGACTGGTTCTTGGGATGCAGCTTGGGGCAAGTGAGCTGTGCAAGTTGCAAGAGGATGTTTTAAGCATCGTCCAAAGGGCTGAGCAGGCTCCAGAAGGAGCAGTGGATGCAGGCAGCTCAGCCTCCAGGCTGGCGGGCAGGTGAGCGGGAGGCAGTCCAGGGGGCTCTGTGAGGGGCCTCATGTGTCCCGCTGGCCTCAGCAAGTGGACGGCAAGGGGCATGGGACGGACGCATCAGACTACATGCAGCCCTGTGACTGGAGGAATGCAAGGGGTGGCGACAGGGAGGGGCGCTAAGGCTTCCAGTTGCCCTGAAACTGGGCTGCCCAGGCCACCTGTGGGTGTTAGGGGCAGCAGTCAGGAGTCCTGGAGATGCAGAGCCGGAGCCGAGGGCCAGGGTGAGGGGGATCCCCTCCCCTGGGGGAGTGCTGTGTGGGCTGGACGGCAGTGCTGGTCCCAAAGCATGTGAGCTCCCGGCCCCGCCTCCAGGGCCTGCAAAGCCCTGTCCCCGAGAGAGGCTCAGCACAGTGTGACGGGGGCTGCAGCTGTTCTTCAGCAGAGAGGCAGAGTCTGGAAGAAGGGCGCCTTGCCTGAGTTCAGCGGGACCCAAGTCTCAGGCTTCCTGTAAGACACCTGAGTTCTGAGCGCTGGTGGAAACTTTGAAGTTCCTCATAGGCTTTGATCTTTTTAAATGACAGCTGTTGCTCCCTGCTGCTGAAGGACGCGAGAGGAGGTGCCCAGTCCAGGCTGTGGTGCAGCATAGCCAAGGGCCTTTGAGTGGACAGAAGGGAGTTGAATTCCCCCATGGGACCTTGTCCAAGCCACATGCCTTCTGCAAATCCTGTTTCTTTGCCTATGAAATGGGGATGACGTTCCCCCTGAGGGTTCCGAGTGCGGCAGGCTGGGCCTGGGGCCGTGTGGTTGAGGCACACGTGGTGTGTTACCCCAGGACTCCGGGACTCTCTCTGCAGCCCGGAGCAGAGGCACTGCCTCAGCCTCCAGTTCTCTGAGACCAGCATTGTCTTCAGAGCGAAAGGTACATCCAACACCAAGTCTGGGAGGCCCCGCAGCGGTGCCTTGGGGTGCCTGTGAGTCAAACCTTGCTGGCAGTTCTGGAGTCGGCCTTTGGGAGACCTTGCGTCCTCATGCCGTGACTGTTGAGATGACCCTGAAGGCCATAAGTGCCTTCCTATTTATGCCGCCCACCCCTGCCACTCAAGCCCCACGGTGTGGTGGAATCATTCCTAGTCCCTTCCTCTCCTCTGCAACCACTCAGCCTCCCCGTCCCCTTCCGAGCGTCCCATCTTCCCCGTCCCCTTCTGATTGTCCCAGAGTCTACGTCCCCTTCCAAGCATCCTGGCCTCCCTGTCCCATTCCGAGTATCCAGGCTTCCCCGTCCCCTTCTGATTGTCCCTAAGTCCCCATCCTCTTCCAAGCATCCTGGCCTCCCCGTCCCGTTCTGAGCGTCCAGGCTTCCCCGTCCCCTTCTGAGCGTCCCGGCCTCGCCGTCCCCTTCCAAGCATCCTGGCGTTGTCCCTGTCCATCTCCTTCACAGCATCCCATCTGAAGCCTAGCCCTTGGGATCTCCTTCTCCTGCTCTCTGTCTCAAAGACGCCAACAACCATGAGAATGAAGCCAGAGCTCACCCACATATTTTTAAACTTCTTGTTTATTTTACTCATTTCCTTTTCATTTTGCTCATGAGTAAAGAAATATTTTATTTTTATTTTTAGAGACAGGGGTCTCACTATGTTGGCTAGGTTGGTCTTGAACTCTTGGCTTCAAGCAGGCCTCCCGTCTTAGCCTCCCAAAATGCTAGGATGACAGGCGTGAACCACTGCACCCAGCCGTAATGTTTTCAACCAAGGAAAAATGCCTTTCCTTGATTTGATTAGTGACCCCTCCCATAACTATGCGTAGTGGCAGAGAGGTCCCCCAAATACCTGAGATGAATTCCTGTGGAAAAGAGCTGCAAGCAGATTCTGTGCTGAGCTGTAGGGGCGTGTGCGGCAGCCACTCACGGGGGGGCTGTGGGGCCTGGTTCCAGATTCCCAGTGCCCCTTGCTGCCTGCCCAGAGGCCATGCTCAGAGAAGAGCAGGGGCCAGGCCTCCCCACCCCACTCACCAGGTCTATTCCTGGTGTCTCCCGTGTGCTCTGGAGCCTCAGCCACGTTGAAGGCGACAGGAAAACAAGTGGACTTACGTTTGACGGTGCCTCGGGACTCCTGGAAGCCGGCTGCCTCGGAGCCCCAGCCCAGTGCCTCACAGTCACGTGTGTCTACCTGGTCGGCCCTGGTCCCGGGGCTCGGCCCTCCCCGGGCCCTGTCCACCAGCCAACAGGACCGCCACAGCCCCACGCTGCGCCTGCGCCCATCCTCTAGTGTCTGGCACACCCAGTTGGAGGTGAAGGCTGCCACGTTGTTGAGGATGAGTGAGGCCAGGGCCACCAGCACGGCCGCAGCCACTAGTCTCTGCACGGTCATCGCTGATGCCGGTGCCGCCGCTTATCTGGACAAAGCCAAGTCCCAGTCCGCTACCACACGTCCAGGGAGAGCTGACACTGCTAGGGGCGGCTAGAGGACATCACCGCTCATCCTCGGGGCGGCGTGGGCGGAGGCCCATGGGATGGTCCAGGTGAGCCGCCTCACAGCCCGGCCTTATCCTCCTTCCTGCACCTGGAGCAGGGCTAGGCCTGTGCTGAAGCCACTCGCTTCGGGTCCCATCCCAGGGAGGAGAGGGCGGGCAGCAGCGAGGACCCAGGGCCGGGAGTGCGCCGTCTTCTCGGGAAGCGGAGGCCGGCCCGCGCCGCACGTGCCTCTTCTTGCCTGCAGCAGTGGAAAGCAGAGTCACTCGGGAGGCCGGTGGGAGTCGAGCCAGGGACACACTCCTTAGTACCAGCCTGCCGTGGGCTCCAGGCTTCAGGCTCCAGGCAGGGCGGCTGGTGTGGAGTGGATTCACGGCTCCTCTCTGCGGCCTGGGCCCCTGTGCAGATGCCTCCAGCGCGGCTGGCCCGACCTGGAAAGCAGAGTGCCTGCCGCAGGGACGCCCGGGTGCGCGGAGCTCGCCTTCCCTGGCTCTCAGCAGAGAGGAAATGGTTGTTTTTGAGACTGTTTTTGGTGAGCTGGAGGGCGTAGCCAACTGCAACAAATAGCGGCCCTGCCACGGCAGCCAGACACCAACAGGATGTGCTTCCTGATGGGAACGGCCGGGAGGCCTCTGAGGCCCTGCTCCAGGCCCACCCCCGGCCGCCCCTCCCCACCTTCCTGTCCCAGAGGAGAGGCCAGGGATGCCGGGCACGGGACAGACATCGTCTCGCTTGTTGCTTTTGAGCCTGGCTGGCCCTCGGGGCCTGGGGGCCGGCGGGTGCGGGGAGACCATTGCCTGCCCTGGGGACTTCATAGCCCCCAGCCATCCAGTTGCCCCCAGCACCACAGGTACCACAGGTGTCCCCCCCGCCCCCCGGCGCCCCTGTGTTCCAGGCTTGCCCTGTCATGGAACTGCTGCCCTTGAAAGGGCAGATATCGCAGGATTGCTGGGAAGGGGAAAGACCCGAGTGGCTGGAGGAAGCAAGTACACCCAGACCTGCAGGGCCAGGGACCCGAGGGCCAGGCCATCCTTGGGTGGCAAGAGGGGTAGGATTATGTATGTGCCGGGTGGGGCTCCCACCAGGGCCTGGGACGGAGCAGATGTCCCCCGGAGCCTGGGCCACGTCTGCTGTTGATGGGAACGGTCACTCCCCACAGCTAGGGACAGGCCTAGGCAGGTCACCTTGTGAGTGGTCAGGCTCTTAGGCAGGCCTCATGCTGCCGGGGAGCTCGGAATTTGTTCGTCTGTTATGCTCAGAGTTATTCTGCCCCGGACAGACACCGTGAGAGGATCTCATACACTGTCCCCTTCTCCAGAGATCCCAAACCCAGCACAGGATTCCCACCCCAGCCGGGATCCAGAGCGTTGCACATGCAGGTATCCCACATGCATGCAGACCGTTCACAGACACACCCCAGACAGCACTGGGACAGAGAGTCCTGTTCCCAGCCCGTGGTGACAGCACAGCTGTGGTGGTTTCCTCTCTTCATGCACTGCCCATGTGTGGGGCCCTGGCCCAGGGCGGCCTGAGAGCTGACATTTCCTGGGCCCGGTCTCTTGGTTCACGTGTTGGCTTGTGGCTCTCTGTAGCCACAGGTCAAGCAAGGGTCCCGTGTTCATTCCAGGAAGGCAGGAACCCCGTCCTCACCATGCTCAGTCTGGAGAAACATTTGTCCCCTGATCTCCTGAGGGACTCTGCCTGCCGATTTCCCAGGAGTTCGCCGTTGGGTTTTGCTTTCCCTTCTTCCTTGGCTTATGCCCAGGGAAAAGTTGTTTCTGTTTCTATTCTCGGCCCCAGGAACCTGACAGGGCATGCGAGGCACAGTGGTGCTGCCAGCCCCCACTCTCCCTCGTGGCTCAGAAAGCCCTGGGGGTGTCCCCAGCCCTTCCTGCCTGTGACCCGCTCCTCAAAAGCAGCCTGGGGTGCAGCATCTCACTCAGCGTTTGTAAGCACACGGTCCAGAAGGGTACCTTGAAAGGGACGCTTCCCAAAAGTTTCCATGGGGAAAGAATGTATTTCCTCCTGAGTTAACTAAATCATTTCTCTTTTGGGAGTTTTCAAATGGCTAACTTCCGATAAAAAGCCAGTGCTGGGCTTCAGAGCCCAGAAGACACGTTTGATGGTCTCGGCCGCCCCCTCTGGTCCTTTCCTCAGGTCGAGTCGGGAGGAGGCCATGGCCAGACTCCCACACAGCAGCAGCACCCCCAGAAGTCCTGGTTCGCAGAGGCCAGCGTCAGCCCCCGCCTTCCTGGAACTTCTGGGGGTGCTCCAGGTCCCTGTGTCCTCAGCCATCACGCTGCTTCTAGCCCCTGGCGCTATAGCAGGCTGGGCACAGGAGGGTGGAAGGCCTGGAGGCAGAATTTAAGCTAGTAGTGACCCTCCTGGGAGGATCTGTGGCTCTCAGGGGCAACTCCCACCAAGTGGACTCGAAGCTGGGCCATGGGCTTCCCTCCAGCCCATCAGGCCTTCCTGCTCTCTCTGTCGCTTGGGGTCTTGGTCGCAGTGGAGTCCTACTGCCCACTCCCACATGCGTCTGCAGCTCCTGTACCCCACAGAGCAGGAGCCCTAGTATAGAAGAGACACGGCGGGAGGGGCAGCCTCGGCAGGCATGATCTTCAAGCCGCCGTTCCACCCCTCGCCCTCATCCTGACTCAGAGTGGTCTTGGCAGAGCTTCTGCGGGGCCCTTTGAAGGCTGTCCCCGCTGCTGCCCATCTGCTTCTTGTTCCAGCAGCTTTGGGGCTGATGAAGTGCAGATGTGGGTGACTCCACAGACTGGCCGGACAACAGGAAATTCTCAAGACTTGGATGGGAACTAAGAGGGTGTTTACTTCTTGGAATTTATGTCAGATGCACAAACCCCAGAACCCCACACCAGAGTCGAGGCCATCCTGAGAGCCCTGGCCAGCCATCATGGAGAGGAGGCAGGAATCACACAGGGCCAGTGCCATGCTGGCGGCCAGAGCGGGAGGCTGGCTGTGGAAGGAGCTTGCGGAGAGTGCCCGGGTCTGACGCTTCTGGCAGGTCTGCGCCCAGCTGGGCCAGGGGCCCCACCCTTCCCATGGGTTCTCCCAGCAGCCTCAGACCATCAGGCAGGGGCCTGTCGGAGGCCGTGTCCAGCTTCACTGGCGGCTGCACGTCCAGCACATGCTTCTCCAAGCCCCACGTGGTGCAGATTTAATGCCAAGGACAGAGCACGTGCACGTTGGGGCATCTTTTGACACTGTCCTGACAGAGCACACGAAAGTGCAGGCATCGGACAATGTGCTGGCCGGGTCCTGTGTCATAAGTGTGCCCCAGGAGCCAGAGCAAAACCAAGGCCAACCTGCAGTCTCTCCCACTCCCCATGGGCGGCCTGTACATGGGGAAGACGGGGCGCTTAGAGCACAGGGGAGCCCAGCTGGGCCCCAGGTCAGCCGCCGGGTTCCTCTGCCCATTGGTGATCTTCCACCGCGACTGGATGTGGATGGAAGGAACCAGTTGTTTTCAGGACAAGAGAGAGGAAAGGAGCCACGCCTGGCAGGTAGAGCCAGGTCCCAGCCCCGTCCAGCCCCACACCTGGGCCTCGGGAGAGGGTAAGCACAAACAGAACTGAGTTTTTAAAGATTCCAATAGTGCAATCTTTTGGGACAGGAGAATAAAAAAGGCCACGTGTCTGCACAACATGCTGTTTATGAAGCAGCCACCACGCCTCATGCGCTGAGCCCCCAGCACCCGACACCAGCCAGGTGTTAGAGAAATGAGAAGTCTGAGGAGATGTGGCATCGCTTCCATCCGATCTGTAGAATTTACTGGAAGCTGTGTGGTGTGGTGAGAATGGAAAGTTTCTTTGGAGATTTGGATGTGACCCCTGCACTCCACGTATGTCATTAGCTGACGGGTGAGGGGCAGCAGTATTTTGGGGAGCCTGTACCCCCAGTCTTGATGCGTGTCTCAGCAGGAGGCAGCTGTGTCTGATTTGTTTATAAACTGGTCTGACACTCGAAAGAGTACATTTAGCCAGGACCAGCCTGGGTTTCCTGCTGTTAGAAGGAAAGAAGTTGCAGTGAAGATGTGACTTCTCGCGTGGAGCTCTGGGGGACCGAGGGCAGCACAGCCTGAGGGGCAGGCGGGCCGGGTGCTCAGCCCTCTCACCACACTGCTGTTGGCGGCAGGAGTTCCAAAGCCAGAAGACTGAGAGGCACGGACTGAGATCAGGACGCTGCTCCCAGGGGCACCTCCCTGAGGTCCCCCGCGCCCAGTGTTGCGTCTCCTTTACCACGGCGTCGACCGAGAGTCCAGGAAGCTGCCAGTGGGTGTGCGCCCAGGTGCTGGGAGGAGCCCCGTGTGAGGCCATCAGAGGACACGTGTGCAGGGAGGCAGGCTCACGTCCCGGCCCCCTAGATGCCTGGCCCCCTTGCAAGGACCTGGCCCATGGGTTTGGACACACCCTCTTCTGGCCCCAGGCATGATCTATGCCATGCGGCAGGCGCCCTGGGCTGGGCTGGCACGTGTTGCCACATAAACCTACGAGCGGGGGCCACCTGGGCCAGTTGCAGCTAAGATGCATGCACCTCCCCGCCCTGCATCCCCCGTGGTAGAAAACGTCTGTGGAATTCACCGAAGTTCTAGCAGGACCCAAGTACATGTAAAACCAGGCACAGAGTACCCCCTGGCTTTCAGAAATGGGCACCTGGGCATGCAGCATTGCAGCCAGAGACACCAGCACAGGGCCTGTCCCAGGGACCAGCCCCCAGACTCAGACGCCAGGGCACTGGGCTTGCCTGGGGCTGCCATCTTGGCGCCATTTGCCCTGTGATTCCGTGGGAGCAGAGAACCTGAGCTGTGGATAGCCCACGCATCCCAGAGACAGGCGCCACAGTGGAACAGGGCCCCTGGCTGTTCTCCCGGGCCCCTCCTCCCCACAGGGGCAGGGCCATTAGGAAAATGCCCAGCTGCACACACACCAGCCCCTCTCACTCACCAGGACAGCGGGCTCGGGGCTCTGTGGACGGCTGGTCCCTCCAGTCCTCAGAGGGGCCTGTGGCTGTGCTGGCAGGGAGGCCGCAGGGCTGCTGCCCGCCCAAGACTGTGGGCTGGGTGGAGGCTTACCTGGGGAGCAGCCTGGAATGCGAGTGAAGGGCCTGCGCCTGGGCAGGGATGCTCCAAGGCCACGAGGCCATTCGCGGGCTGTGCCGCCTGTGCTTGTGGGAGTGTGGGGGGCGGTGGGGGGGCGTGTGGGGGGCTCTGCGTCTGTATGTGGTTGTGGGAGGCATGTGGGGGGCTCTGCGTCTGTGTATGTGGTTGTGGGAGGCATGTGGGGGGCTCCATGTGGGGGTGGTTGTGGGGGACATAGTCGGGGGCTCTGTGTGTGTGTCTGTGTGGTTGTGGGGGACATGTAAAGGGCTCTGTGTCTGTATGTATGTGTGGTTGCAGGGGGCATATGGGGGCTCTGTGTGGGTGTGTGTGGTGTGTGTGTGGTTGTGGGAGGCATGTGGGGGGCTGTGTGTGTATGTGGTTGTGGTCTGTGTGTGTGGTTGTGGAGGCATGTGGGGAACTCTGCGTCTGTGGTTGTGGGGGGGCATGTTGGGGACTCTGGATATATGTGGTTGTCGGGGGGCTCTGTGTGTGTGTATGTGGTTGTGGGGGGCTCTGTGTGTGGTTTTGGGGGCATGTGGGGAGCTCTGGGTATACGTGGTTGTGGGAGGCTCTGTGTGTGTGTGGTTCTGGGGGACTTGTGGGGGGTTCTGTGTGTGATTGTAGGGGACGTGTGGGGGGCTGTGTGGTTGTTGAGCTCTGTGCCTGCACCCGTGTGTGGGAGCCCCTGTGGTGCTGCTGCCCGCCGTTCCAGCATGGCGCTGGGGGGTGGGCACGGATGGCAAAGGAGAGAGATGCAGGAAGTGACCGGTGCATCCTCTGCAAGTCCCTTTGTGGTGACCACGCTGAGCTGTGGCTTGGAGTGGGATCTTTGTCTGAGGCCCTGAGCCTGTATCAGGGCTGAAGCCACAGGCCAGGCTGGCCCCAAGGGCCCTTGAGGAGGGGTCTCTCTGGATGGCCTTGGACACACACCTCCCGCCCGGTCCCACCAGGTGGCCTGGCTGTGAGTGCCACCCCACACACAGACACATGGTTCTCATGCAGGGCCATGTCCCATGGTGGCTGTCAGCAGCCTTGGCCTCCCCCAGAGCCAACACAAACCAAGGCCTCAGTCATTTCTGGTCCACACAGAGACTAGCACCAGTAAGGGAAGAATGTAGGAAACCTCACACAGAGGCGGGGCCGGGTGCAGTGGCTCACGCCTACCATCCTAGCCTTGTGGGAAGCCAAGGCGCGTGGATCACTTGAGCTCAGAAGTTCAAGACCAGCCTGGGCAACATGGCAAAACCCCATTTCTACAAAAAAATAGCCAGGGGTGGTAGCGCACACCTGTGGTCCTAGCTAGCTGGGTCCCAGCTAGGAGGCTAAGGTGGGAGGATTGCTTGAGCCCAGGAGGTCGAGGCTGGAGTGAGCTGTGATTGTGCCACTGTACTCCAGCCTGGGCAACAGAGGGAGACCCTGTCTTCACACAAAAAACAAAGAGGCAGGGTGACTTCCACCCTCCTTGCACCTGTGCCCTGACACAGCTGCCCATTCAGCACTCTGTTCCTTCACACACACAAAACTCACTGCCTGAGAGTGGGACACAGGACTGGGGCAAAAGATGCTGGCCCCCATGTCCCACTGGTCAGCCCATCTGCAGGCCTCCTGCTGGGGCTGGGTCAAGCTCTCCTGGGGAGATAGCCCCGGCTCCATGTTCCTGGGCTGAGTAGGGTCTGGACCCTGCACCCCATCCCCCGAGGTTTCCCCCTGTGGCTGCCAGGCTGTTGGGTGACGGTCTCCGCTGTGCAGGGCTGGTTTACCAGCGGCCCTGCAGTCCCAGGCTCAGGTGAGAGCAGGGGGCTCCGTTTCAGAGCAGATCCTGTGTGTGCAAGCAATACGGGAAGCCTGCATTTCCTGAGCAGACAGCTGCTTAGAGCTGGGGAAAGGAGGAGGAGCTTGGTGACCTGCATAAGAGATCCTTCTGTCTCTTTTTTTTTGAGACGGAGTTTCGCTCTGTCTCCAGGCTAGAGTGTAGTAGTGCAATCTCGGGTCACCACAACCTCCACCTTCTGGGTTCAAGCGATTCTCCTGCCTCAGCCTCCCTCCCGGTTAATTTTTGTTTTGGTTTGTTTTGTGTTTGTTTGTTTGTTTGAGGCAGTCTCACTGTGTCGCCAGGTGTCAGACTGGAGTGCAATGGCGCGATCTCGGCTCACTGCAACCTTTGCCTCCCAGGTTCAAGCAATTCTCCTGCTTCAGCCTTCCAAGTAGCTGGGACTACAGGCATGCACCACCATGCCCAGCTAATTTTTGAACTTTTTAGTAGAGACGGGGTTTCACCATGGGCTCGATCTCATGACCTCGTAATCCACCTGCCTCGGCCTCCCAAAGTGCTGGGATTACAGCCATGAGCCACTGCGCCTGGCCAATTTTTGTATTTTAATAGAGACAGGGTTTCACCATGTTGGCCAGGCTGGTGTCAATCTCTTGACCTCGTGATCCACCCGCCTCGGCCTCCCAATGTGCTGAGATTACAGGCATAAGCCACTGTACCCGGCCCTTTCTGTCTTTTAATGGGACCCGGCCCCTGCCTCTTGGGTTTGAGGAGGCTGTGGGACTTGTGATAGGTACCTCTCTGGATGGCCTGTAGTCTTGCCCATGGACAGAGCTGATGGCTGAAGGCCCCTCCTCATGCCCTCATGCCTCCTCATGCCTGATGACCACTTGCCTCGGGAGAGGGGCCATAGGGCCAGGGGGGCCCTCATGTGCTGGGTGGGAACCTCACATACTCCTGTCTGCCTACAGCGAGGCCGTCTGGGAGAACATGGCGCGCATGTGCGTGAAGACTCAGCGGCTGGACGTGGCCAAGGTGTGCCTGGGGAACATGAGCCACGCCCGTGGGGCCAGAGCACTGCGCGAGGCAGAGCAGGAGCCAGAGCTGGAGGCCCGCGTGGCCATGTTGGCCATGCAGCTAGGCATGCTGGTAAGGGAGCACCCACCGTGGGGTGGGTGGGAAGGCATCACACCTGCCACAGCCATAGTCCGCCAGGGAAGGAGAGGGCACATCCACTGGCTTGAGCCTGCAGTGATGAGGGCAGAGCCAAAAGGCATGGCCCGGGAGAGCTGGGCAGACTGCAGCAGTGGAGGCGAGGCGGCTGCTGCTTCTCCAGGGTGTGTGCCAGGCAGGCGTGCAGGTCTGAGCATGAGACTTCTCGGGGTGGCTGCAGGAGGTGGGTGGTGCCTCTCACACTGTGGCTGTGGGACAGGATGCCCTGTGGGTGTGGTGCCCACTGTGCCCGAAGCAGCCTCATGTGTCAGTGTGCTTGTCAGTGTGGGAGGGCGCAGTGACTGGTGGCCTGGCATGGAACCGTGTTTCTGAAGGTAGGTGTGTGGAGGCTGCACAAGTCCCACCCACCCTCATTCCTCAGGAGGACGCCGAGCAGCTGTACAGGAAGTGCCAGCGCTATGACCTCCTGAACAAGTTCTACCAGGCCTCGGGCCAGTGGCAGAAAGCCCTCAAGGTAGCTGAGCGCCATGACCGCGTGCACCTGCGCCGAACCTGCCACCACTACGCCAAGCACCTGGAGGCCAGCGCCGACTACAGCCAGGCCCTCAGCTAGTAAGTGCGGCCCTCGCAGCCCCTCCACCCTCGCTGGACAGCTCTGGCTCCTGAGGCCTCTAGCCAGGGAAGTTCTCTGAGGAGGGATCTGACTCAGGGCGGTGGCAGCCTTCTCAGCAGGGAGATGGGGGGTTGCCCCTTCCATCCTGGGCCACCCAGGTTTTGAGGCAGAGAGAAAGACATCTGTCCCATTGCTGGTGTAGGTTGCTGAGCGCAGATGGGCTTGGTGTCTCCTGAGGACAGACAAACACCACGTCACCCTCTCCAGAGGAGGAGCTGCTCTTAGACCTGTCCTCGGGGTTTGGAAGGATAACACACCTCCCAGGCCCTCACAGTACAGGGAGCCCCCACTGCCTCCCGGCCGCGCATGCTCAGGCCCTGCAGAGTTGCAGGCTGAGATCCCACACCCCGAGGGCCACCGCTCTGATGCGTTTCATTGACGCTGCCTCTCAGCCCCTCTGCTTCCCATGGGGCTGAGATGGGAGGCAACAAGGACCGCCTGTCTCCTCTCACAGCTACGAGAAGTCGGACACGCACCGCTTCGAGGTGCCCAGGATGCTGTTGGAGGACCTGCCGTCCCTGGAGCTCTATGTGAATAAGATGGAGGATAAGTGAGTGCCCCTGTCCAGGCTGGGGGGACTGCACTCTATCTTGGAGGTTTGTTGGGGGCTGGCCACAGCTTGCTCAAGTGCCCCTCCCCAGGCTTCCTGCATGAGTGGGCAGCATCCCCCGGCTCCTCAGAGCCGGGCCCTCCATTTGGACAGAGCCCAGGGCTTCACCCTTGGCCCAGCTATTTGCAGGTCAGCTGGCATGCACTCTAAGGGTGGCACGGGGCGGGAGTGGGGGCCGTTCCAGGTCGGGGCAGGGCTCGGATGGAGAACCCTTGGCCTTGGGGCTGCCCGCAGGACCCTGTGGCGGTGGTGGGCACAGTACCTGGAGAGCCAGGGTGAGATGGACACCGCGCTGCACTACTACCAGCTGGCCCAGGACCACTTCTCCCTGGTCCGCATCCACTGCTTCCAGGGCAACATCCAGAAGGTGAGGGCCCTGCAGGGAGCCGGCCAGCCAGGCGCTCATGAGGCGGACACATGGCCACCGTGTCTTGTCTTCGGTGTCTTTGTCTTTCTAGGCTGCGCAGATAGCCAACAAGACGGGAAACCTGGCGGCCTCCTACCACCTCGCCCGCCAGTATGAGAGCCAGGAGGAGGTGGGGCAGGCAGTGCACTTCTACACCCAGGCGCAGGCCTTCAAGAACGCCATCCGCCTGTGCAAGGTACCATGCAAGGGTGGGGAGCCGGCACGTCCCGAGGTTCAGGTGGAAAAGTGGAGAGAGAGGATCATGTCAGGGACACGCTGTCTGGCCTCGCTCCTCACCCTGCCTGCCTCACTCGTCCACCCCGCTGCGCGCCTCCGTCTCACACTGTTTGCAAAGTGCTGCATTATCCCCAGATGTTTCCCAGGCTCCGGGGCTCCTGAGCAGCAGGTGAGGCTGCTTCACAGCCTGTGGCCTTGCGAACAGCAGACCCTCAAGGTAGCCGAGCGCCATGGGCCCTCCTAGAAAGCCGCTGGGCATTCTGCACCCGTACATGTGTCCCAACCCAGGCTCTCACTTCGGAAACATCTTCCGTGTCCGGTGTTTCTTGCGGTGCTCTGTAAAATAGAGCACAAAGCATCGGAAAACCCTTGTAGACAGACCCAGTTAGTCCTCAGCTCCTAAACCCACTACCGCAGAGATTGCTGAGCAGCACGCCCAAGTGAAGGGGTGGTTCATACCCGGCCACATTCCGGAGTCTCAGCGGGCCTGGGGAAGCTGGTGGGAGCTGCTTCCGGGCCCTGCCTCCCTCCTGTAGGAGAACAGCCTGGACGGCCAGCTCATGAACTTGGCCCTGCTCAGCTCCCCAGAGGACATGATCGAGGTGGCTCGATACTATGAGAAGGCCACGCAGGTGGACAGGGCGGTCATGCTGTACCACAAGGTGAGGGCCTGCCACCAGTGGGGACCTCAGGGAGGGCAGCAGGCCAGGGCACCCTTGCCCACGCGAGGCCTCCGTCCCGGGGCCCCTGGATCTTGGGCAGCTGCCCAGAGCCCACCACGTCCATCCGCAGGCTGGCCACCTCTCCAAGGCCCTGGAGCTGGCCTTCGCCAGCCAGCAGTTCATGGCCCTGCAGCTCATAGCGGAGGACCTGGACGAGACGTCAGACCCCGAGCTTCTGGCCCGCTGCTCCGACTTCTTCATCGAGCACAGTCAGTACGAGAGGGCGGTGCAGCTGCTGCTGGCTGCCAGGAAGGTACGGGGCTGGTGGGGTCTGGGCTCGGCTCCATTAGGCACCACAGCTCAGGGGCCCCTGTCACCAGAGGCCGTGGGAATGGCTGCTTACTTGGTTATGCATTCTCAAGAAAGGCTGTGGTGGGTGTCCCCTGCCCTGGAGTTCACCCAGGACTTCATGAGTGTAGACTCGCCATCCTTCAGGCTGGCGTCAGATCACACGCAGGGAGTTGCACTCACCTGTGGCGGGGGCAAAAATACACGACATGAAATTTACCATTTTAGCTTTTTATTGTTATTGTTGAGACAGGGTCTCACTGTTGCACAGGCTGGAGTGTTGTGGTGCCATCTTGGCTTATGCTATCTTGGCCTCACGACTCTCCTGCCTCCTGAGTAGCATGTGCCACCACCCCCAGCTAATTAAAAAACATTTCTAGTAGAGACAGGATCTTACTATGTTGCCCAGGCTGGTCATGAACTCCTGGGCTCAAGCAGTCCTCCTTCCTCAGCCTCCCAAAGCACTGAGACTATGGATGTGAGCCCTATGACTGGCTACGAACTGTTTCCTCTCAAAAGGAAATATGCTTGGTAGAAATACAGATCAAGGCCGGGTATGGCGGCTCGCACCTGTAATCCCAGCACTCTGGGAGGCCAAGGCCCATGGGTCACCTGAGGTCAGGAATTCAAGACCAGCCTGGCCAACACAGTGAAACCCCATCTCTACTAAAAATACAGAAATTAGGGCCAGGCGAGTTGGTTCACGCCTGTAATCCCAGCACTTTTGGAGTTTAAGGCGGGTGGATCACCTGAGGTCAGGAGTTTGAGACCAGCCTGACCAACATGGAGAAACCCCATCTCTACTAAAAGAAATAATAACAATACAGACCATAATTCATGGAGATGCCATTTTTTACTGGGCCAGTAGGGTGAAAAGGTGAGAAAACCCACTCACCTTTGGTGATGGGAAGCAGATACCCACCCAGCACCTATCCCCAGCCAAAGGTGTGTCTCCCTTGTCCCAGCCACCCCTTCCCTTAAGAGTTAACAGACACGTGCACGCACTCGTGAGCGTCGTGTTTACAGGGTGTGCTCCGCACAGGGTTTATGGCAGTGAGGGCACCAGCCCTCTGTCTGTCACCGGGACGTTGATCCTCAGGGATTCCTCAGCACCGTGGACACCTGCGTAGCAGAGAGCTTGTTGGCAGCTCCCAGCGTACTGAAACGGAAACACCTCCAAGGCAGAATTCTTTTTCTTCAGAGACATACTCTTTTTCCTTCTTTTTTTAGGGGTAGGAGGAGGGGATGGAGTTTCACACTTGTTGCCCGGGCTGGAGTATAATGGTGCGATCTCAGCTCACTGTAACCTCCACCTCCCGGGTTCAAGCGATGCTCCTGCCTCGGCCTCCTGAGTAGCTGGGATTACAGGCGCCCGCTACCATGTCCAGTTAATTTTATATTTTTAGTAGAGACGGGGTTTCTCCATGTTGGTCAGGGTGGTCTCGAACTCCTTACCTCAGGTAATCCGCCCGCCTCGGCCTTCCAAAGTGCTGGGATTACAGGCATGAGCCACCGTGCCAGGCCATATTCTTTTTCTGAATATAAATGTGTTATTGCTTCATATATATTTGTGGACTATTACTTTTTCTCGTTGTGGAGATGGGGGTCTCACTATCTTGCCCAGGCTGGTCTCAAACTCCTGGGCCAAAGTGACCCTCTTGCTTTGCCTTCCCACAGTGCGGAGATTACAGGCATGAGCCACTGTGCCTGGCCTAAAACATATTCTCAAATGAAGAATATCAGATTTTTCTTAAAATGTTAGGAAAATCAGGCCAGGCGTGATGGCTTGTGCCTGTGATCCCAGCACTTTGGGAGGTTAAGACGGGCGTATTGCTTAATCCCAGGAGTTCAAGACCAGCCTGGGCAACATGGCGAAATCCCATCCATCTCTACTGAAAATACAAAAACTGAGGCAGGAAGACCACCTGACCCTGGGGAGGTGGAGGCTACAGTGAGCCATGATTGTACCACTGCACTCCAACCTGGGTGACAGAGTGAGACCCTGTCTCAAAAAAAAAAAAAAAAAATCTTTAATTAAAAAAATTGAGAATTATACAAGAAAATTATCCGTTCCTTTTCTCTGAAATGTAATAATCTTTTGAGCATATATCACTTGTGACTATTGTTTCTGCCTTTCCCTTCTGGAATGTCGGCAGAGTGAGGAGAGTCATGTGATGCGAAGGCCTGTAGGTCGGCAGGGGTGAGACACCCTTGTCCCCTCCACACCCAGCCCAGCCAGACAGAGGCCTCTGCTCAGCCCAGGGGCCTGGTTTCCTGTCGAGCGGTGGCAGATGAGGGGCGTGCTTCGGTTCCCGGCCCCCTCGGCAGCCCTGTCCCATCTCTGCGCCTTTGCAGTATCATGAAGCCCTGCAGCTGTGCCTGGAGCAGAACATGACTATCACCGAGGAGATGGCTGAAAAGATGACCGTGTCCAAGGACTCCACGGACCTGCCTGAGGAGTCGCGGCGGGAGCTGCTGGAGCAGATAGCAAACTGCTGCATGCGCCAGGGCAGCTACCACCTGGCCACCAAGAAGTACACGCAGGCTGGGAACAAGCTGAAGGTGAGCGCCGGCCCCAGCCCGCCGTGGCTGCTTCACAGGCATTTAGGGTGCGGGCCCCCTGCACGCCTCTCCATTTGCCTTCCCGATTACCTGGAGCCAGGGCTGAGGCTTTCTGGCCAGGAGGAGCATGACCATGAAGATCTCTCTCTCGGGGAAGCCCTGAGCCACTCCTGGGAGCTCTGGGTCCCTGTGCTTGTCCCGGCCCAGCCCCTGCTTGCCTGAGCCCGCCTGCCTCTGCCTAGGCCATGAGAGCACTGCTCATGTCTGGAGACACGGAGAAAATCACGTTCTTTGCGAGCGTGTCCAGGCAGAAGGAAATCTACATCATGGCTGCCAACTACCTGCAGTCCCTGGACTGGCGCAAGGAGCCGGAGATTATGAAGAACATCATCAGCTTCTACACCAAGGGGCGGGCTCTGGACCTCCTGGCCAGCTTTTACGATGCTTGTGCCCAGGTGTGCACCCTCCCTGGGATTCCAGCGGGGTCCCCAGGAGGGCTGTGGAGCCCTGCGGGTCTTGACGGGTCTCATCTGCACAGGTGGAGATTGATGAATACCAGAACTATGGCAAAGCTCACGGGGCGCTGACCGAGGCTTATAAGTGCCTGTCCAAGGCCAAGGCCAAGAGCGCCCTGGACCAGGAGACCAGGCTGGCTCAGCTGCAGAGCAGGATGGCACTGGTGAAGAGGTTCCTCCAGGCCCGAAGGTGCGCCCTCAGGGCCAGCAGGGCCGGGCCGGGGCAGATGTGACAACAGGGCGAGGGTGAGGGCCGACCACGAGAAACCGCAGCCAGCAAAGGGGCTGGACGGCAGACAGGAGCTCACTTGGGACAGCGCCGCTGCTGAACGCACAGGCGAGCTCCTCACGTGAGCGCCCTCAGAGCCCGGCACAGCCTCAGGAAGGGTGCGACACTGAGAGAGCAACCTGGTGGGGGGGGGAGTGGGAGGAGGCAGATCTGGAGCAGGAGAGGGTCTGGGGGAGCTGCGGACCCATTCGGGGCGTGCAGGGACTCAGCAGGGGAGTCCTGAGTGAGGGCCGCGGTGTGACCTGGGGTGGGGGGGGACCATGGTGAGCAGAGGACAACTGGCACCAGCTCCAAGCTGGCGGAAAGGAGCCCCGGGCAGCCGTTGTCTCAGTTTTAGGACAGGCCAACATTCCACGTTTACTTGAAGAGCTCCCAGTCTTTATGTATTGGCAGATAATGGAGCTTTTCAAAGAGCTGCTGTGTGGGCAACACGGTGAGCATTGACCTGTGGGCTTCAGGGCCCAGCTTCTGTCTCAGCCAGCAAGGGTGTTTCTCTTATCCGAGAACCTTTTCCAAAACAAGAGTTCCAGAAGTACTTTGAATGTCCAAAGCAGCGCCCCTCAGAAGGGCACAGTCCGCTTGCATGTGGCAATTCTGGGGTATCCGCAGGTGCTGAGCTTGGGCCCCGGGAGGCAGGAGCAGAGGAGAATGGGCAGCGGCTGGTCGTCAGGGACAACACAGGACATGGGTGGAGGGGAGAGGATGTGTGAGGGCCGGGGGTGAGAGGGCAGGCCAGGCACATGTCTGGAACAGCCGAGTCAGGGGTGGCAGGATGGGCCCTGGACCCTCCAGACCTGGGAGCCTGAGCTCCACACGGCTCCAGTCGCCTGTCCTGGACCTTACTGTGTTCTAACAGCTCACCCTGCTGGGGCTGCCCCAGCTCACAGGCCACACCCTGCTCTGCCACAGACCCTCACTCCAAGTCGCACACTTGTGTGGGAGGGCCAGCCTCTCTACTTGGAAGGTTCTTCCCAGCGGCCTCAGGCAAGGGGTGCTGTGTGCCTCTCCACACACCCTATCCACAAGCCCCACGTCCCCACCGGGTCACACTTAGCCCAGACGTTTCTAGCCCCCTCTGGACTGTTCCATGGAGCAGGAACTAGGGGTTGGAAGTCTTTGGTCTTCATGTCCAAGCATAGGATCCAGCATAAAAGTGATCAGTAAGAGTTTGTTAAATGGATGAGTTAATTTATGAATGAACGAATTAAGGAATTAATTAACTTCATAGAAAGTTTCCTCCTGCCATCCCGGAGAGCTCCTCTGACCTCTGAGAGCAGTAGGTGTTGAGGGCTTCAGGGCTCAGGCCTCATCTCTGCTTTTGGCAGGACATACGCAGAGGACCCCAAGGCGTCCATCAAGCAGTGCGAGCTGCTCCTGGAGGAGCCGGACCTGGACAGCACTGTTCGCATTGGGGACGTCTACGGCTTCCTGGTGGAGCGCCATGTGCAGACGGAGGAGTACCAGACGGTGAGGCCTGGGCGCTGCTCACTGGCGGCACTCTGCTACTTGAGGCTTCTGAAGTGAATGTTGGCCAGATCAAACTGGGGCTTGCAGGGGGGCTCACACCTGCCATCCCAGCACTTTGGGAGGCTGAGGCAGGAGAATGACTTGAGCCCAGGAGTTCAAGACCGGCCTGGGCAACATGGTGAAACCCGTCTCTACAAACAATGAAAACATTAGCCAGGAGTGGTGACACCCTGGGGTCCCGGATGTCATGGCGCCACTGTACTCCAGCCTGGGTGACAGAGCAAGAGCCTGTCTCAAAAAAAAAGAAAACAATTTTGTCAGTACAGAAATTAACAGTCCCATTAACAGTATCACGTGGAAGTGACAGACGGGCTCTGAGGAAATGTGTGCCACGTCCCCAGGTCTGAATAACCAGTTTCTTTTTCAGGCATTTTTACAAAAACAGAAAATAGTGTTCCATTTGTTAGTGGCTTTATTATTTTTTGTTTGTTTGTTTTGTTTGTTTTGGTTTTTTTGAGACGGAGTTTCGCTCTTGTTACCCAGGCTGGAGTGCAATGGCGCGATCTTGGCTCACCGCAGCCTCCGCCTCCTGGGTTCAGGCAATTCTCCTGCCTCAGCCTCCTGAATAGCTGGGATTACAGGCACGCGCCACCGTGCCCAGCTAATTTTTTGTATTTTTAGTAGAGACAGGGTTTCACCGTGTTGACCAGGATGGTCTCGATCTCCTGACCTCATGATCCTCCCGCCTCGGCCTCCCAAAGTGCTGGGATTACAGGCGTGAGCCACCGCGCCCGGCCTATTATTTTTTTAATTTTAGAGACAGCATATACTTTGAAGCGACTAGCTAATGACACATTTAGCTACAGCGTTTTAGCGTTTCTCCACATCTTCACCACCGTTTTACCTTTGACTTTAGCCGTCCTAGAGGGTGAGTGGTGGTCTCTTGCTGTGCTTTGCATTTACATGTTCTTGATGAATAGTGATGAGGCCACCTTCTCACCTGCTGATTATGCATTTACACATCTTCTGTGACGTGTTCAAATCTTTTCTCAGCATTGTATTGGGTTTTCTCATACTGTTTTCTTTATATATTCTAGATACATTTTGTTGCTCAGGTATGATTTACAAATATAATCTCCCAGTTCATGAATAAGTTCCCTTTTTTTTTGACTCAGAGTCTTGCTCTGTTGCCCAGGCTGTAGTACAGGGGCACCGTCTCAGCTCACTGCAACCTCTGCCTCCCAGGTTCAAGCGATTCTCCTGCCTCAGCTTCCCAAATAGCTGGGATTACATGCGCGTGCCACTGGGCCTGGCTAAGTTTTGTATTTTTAGTGGATACAGGGTTTTACCGTGTTGGCCAGGCTCGTTTTGAACTCCCAACCTCAAGTGACCCTCCCGCCTGGGCCTCCCACAGTGCTGGGGTTACAGGCATGAGCCACCGCTCCCAGCAGCAGTTCCCTTCTATTCTTTGTCTCTTTCCTCTGCTTCTGGAATTCCAGTGACTTGTGTATACAGTACTGTCCCGCGCTCAACTCATGCTCTTCTCTCCTCTGGGGTATCTTCTGCTTTTCATTTTAGGGATTTGCCATTCCCCTCGCTCCAAGTTCCCCCGCTTTCCTCCTGCAGTCTCTCACTCGATACGTCAATCCCATTCATCTCTCTCATGGTAGGTGGTCTGATTTCACTTTGTTCCCTGGATCTTTCATGTCTCTCCAGTGCTGCACCTTCGTGAGCATATGAAGCATGCTCACTATTTACCGTATGTGTTACAACGCCCTTGTCTCCTAACTGTGTCCGTTCTGGATCTGTTTCTGTTGATTCTTATTATTATGGTTCACATTTTCTGCTGCTTCGCATGCTTGGTAATTTATTACTGGAGTCCAGACATTCCGAGTGTCTCTTCGCTCTCAGTCTCTCTCGGTGTGTGTGTGTGCTTTTAAATGTTTTTGAGCTGTGTTCTGGGAGAAGGTAGAGTTACTTGGGAATAATGTGGTCATTTTGCAACCTGCTATTTAGTTTTGATAGCTGGGTACAGAACAGCCTTGAATCTAGTGCTACTTTTGTCTCACTACCGAGCCGATCCCCTTGTGAGGCCTCTGCTCTTCTCACTGAGTCCCATATTGGGAGGTCTTGCCACTCTGGCTGGTGGGAGCACCAGTAGTTCCCGGCCATGTGTGATCACCCTCTGGGGATTGTTCCACCTGATGATTTCCTGCGGTCTTTCCCTGGCCTCGGTCACCTTCATCACATACGTGCACTATTGAGTACTCAGAGGAAGACTCGGATAGAACCCCCTGCAAAACTCCAAAGTGCTCTTTCTCTGTTCTAGTACCCTGTCCCACGAGTTCTAGCCACCTGGACCTCCCCAAACGATGAACTCTCTCCTCAGCACAGGGGGACTGCTGGTTCTGTTACCTTCTTCCTGCACTGTGGTCTGAAAAGTCGCAAGGCAGTAAGCTGGGAAACTGAGTATCTTTGTGAAATACCCCCTTTATCTCTAGTAAGCCCGTCTGTCTTGAAGTATACCAAATCTAACACTAGTACAGCTAGTCCTGCTGTCTTTTTTTTTTCCTTGAGACGGAGTCTTGTTCTGTCGACCAGGCTGGGGTGCAATGGCACAATCTCAGCTCACTGCAACTTCTGCCTTCCGGGTTCAAGCAGTTCTCCTGCCTCAACCTCCTGAGTAGCTGGGATTACAGGTGCCCGCCACCATGCCCAGCTATTTTTGTATTTTTAGTAGAGACGGGGTTTCACCATGTTGACCAGGCTGGTCTTCAACTCCTGACCTCGTGATCCACCCACCTCTGCCTCCCACAGTGCTGGGATTGCAGGTGTGAGCTCTGCGCCCGGCCCTGCTGTCTTGTGCAGTGTTGTGCCGTGTTGTGTGGTGTATCTTTCCACCTTTTACCTTCTGCCTATCCGTATCGTTGTATCTAAAGTCTATTGCTGATAGACAGCATATATTTGAGTTTTTCTGAATTTCTTATCATCTCTGCCTTTTAGTTGGAATGTTTTAACCATTTACAGTTAATATAATTAATATGGCTTGATTTCAGGCTACCACTTTTGTTTGGTTTGTCCTAACCGTTTTTATTACTGTTCCTTTGAACCTTCTTTCCTGCCTTCTTTTAAGTTAGTTGAGTATTTTTTACAATTTCAGTTTAGCTATCAGCTTTTTATCTATACTCCTCTCGTTGCATTGTATTTCCAACGTCTGCCCTGGGGGTCACCATAAACACACTTAGCACATTAGAGTCATAGCACTTAATGAACCGTGCCAACAGGTAGGTCCCTTTACCCACGCACGTCCCCACCTACGTTTGTTAGGTGTATAACATTGACATGTATTATAAACACAGTTCAGCCTTCAGTTTTTGCTTTAAACAGTCCTATGTCTTTTAAAGAAATTAAAAGGAAAGAAATAGTCTTTTACATGTACCTACTGTTCTTCTTCCAGCGATTCAGATTTTCATGTAGTGTCATTCCTCTTCAGCCTGAAGAACTCCATTTAGCATTTCTTCAAGTTCAGATCTCCTGATGATTCATTTTCTTTCTTTTCATTAGTCTGAAATGTATTTATTTTGCCTGTATTCCTTAAGTTTATTCTCATCAGATAAAGAATTCTGAGGCCAGGGGCAGTGGCTGATGCCTGTCATCTCAGCACTTTGGGAGGCCAGGGTGGGATTTCTCGAGGCCAGGAGTTCAAGTCCAGCCTGAGCAACAGAGTAAGACCCCATCTCTGACAAAACAGCAAGGCGTGGTGGCGTGCGCCTGCAGTCTTTGCTGCTCGGGAGTCTGAGGTGGGAGGACTGCTCGAGCCCAGGAGGTTGAGCCTGCAGTGAGCTGTGGTAGCACCACTGCGGTCCAGCCTGGGCGACAGAGCAAGATCCTGATCTAAAAAGAAAAGGCCTAATCGGACGGTTTTTTCCTTCAGCACCTGGATGTTCTCCCTGGCTCCAGGCCTCCATTGTTTCTGGAAAAGTCGGCTGTGGACTCGGGGCCCTTGCGTGTTGCGTGTCTGCGTGTCCTGCGTGCTGGCTGCTGTCACGATGCTGTGGGTCTGGGTTTCAGCAGTGATTCCCTAGGTGTTTTCGCCTCCTTCATCCGCAGCTTTCGGATCTATATTTATGTGTTTCACCAAATTTGGAGAATTTGCTTTTTCCCTTCAGAATTTTCCTGCCTCATTCTCTTTCTCCTTCGCCTCTGGGACTCCAGTTAAAAGTCAGGTCTTCCGTGTTCAGTAGGCGTGCATTTGTGGTTGCCGTTCGTCATCGTGTCCTAGCCTTTGGATTCATTTGTATTTCTCTACAGACTCTTTGGCTATCTTTAATCTGCGGTTAACTTCTCCAGCAATTTTTTTAGAGCTTGTATTTTTCAGCCCTAGAATTTACACTTGCTTTTCATTTATTGGCTACAATTCCCTGTTTTTTGTTTAGAATATATTTTTCTTTATATCCTTGAGTGCAGCTGTAACTGCTGACGTGGAGTCTTTACTACTAGTTCCGGCGTCTGGGTGATGTGGAATCGATTTCCATCGTTTGCGTGTCCTCCAGTGTGAATCACGTTTTCCTGTTTCTTGTGTCCAGCCATTTGTTCCTGTCACAGACGTTGGGGACAGTCGTTGGAGACTCTGCATTCTGTTACGTTATTCCAACGAGCACTGCTTTTCTTGGTTTGTTTTCGTAGGCAACCACCTTTGCTCAGCTCAGAGTCTAAACCCTTTCCCCTGTGGTAGACACCAGCCGAAATCCCTGCTTCTAGCCTGAGCTGGCCGTCTTGAGGTCTGGGCCTCCTCTCTCTCATGCGCAGGCAGTGTGCATTCAGGATTTGGGCTCTTCTCTATGACTCGCTGTATCCACAAATTCCTCCTCCACATTCCAGCTGCTGTGATCAACACAAAGTTGATTCTGGTTCTCTAAGCCTGGAAGAGGGCAGGCTTCCACGTGCCTCTCTGATGCCCACGCTGGCCCTGACTTGGGCCTGGCCTGAGGCAGAAAGTTGTGAGAAGCAGGAAGCCCACCCAGTGCCACCCTCTCCCAGCGCCGGCCTGCTCACAGCTGCCCCAGTGCCTTTCCATGTGTCTGTCGTCGCTAAGGGGAGGGCTGCTCTCACGAATCCTGCTACCATTGCCGGAAGCCTCTCTTCCGAGTCCGTTTCAGTCATAATTCTGTCATAGCCAACTCCCAGAATCCCGCCCCTGATTCGCCAGGCCTTGCACCTGTCCCGATGCCTGCCGTGCCTCCTGCCCACTCACCGTTTCCCTTCGTTCCCGGGCGCTCACAAACGGAGGATCCACACGTTCACTTTAGAAACATGCTGGCGACCGTGCCGGCCTCCCGAGGCTGCAGTCTCCAGATTTCACAGGAAAGCTCCTTGGCACTGGCCCTTCCTCAGGGCCGAAAGGTCAACTCCATGAGACACAGACTTCCTGACCCGGGTGCTTACTCCCCTCTGCGCCCTTTCACTTCCATTCACTGACCCCTTCTGCTGCTGGGAAAAAATAACTCAGTCCATTCCTAATAAGGCTGCTTTTTGTTGGTTTGGTGTTAAGAAGGGGTCTTGCGCTGTCGCCCAGGCTGGAGGGCAGTGGCGCAGTCATGGCTCACTGCACCCTCCACCTCCCAGGCTCAAGCGACCCTCCTGAGCAGCTGCTGTGCACCACCACATTCTGCTCCAACAGGGTCTCTATTTCTTGGAGAACTACTGTTTTATGAATAAAAGCAAAATTGGACTTGAGAGATGCCGAGACTGCTATATCCTCAAATTTTTTTTTTTTTTTTTTTTGAGACAGTCTCACTCTGTCACCAGGCTGGAGTGCAGTGGCATGATCTTGGCTCACTGCAACCTCTGCCTCCTGGATTCAAGTGATTCTCCTGCCTCAGCCTCCTGAGTAGCTGGGACTAGAAGCAGGCACCACCACACCCAGCTAATGTTTTTGTTTTTAGTAGAGACGGGGTTTCACCATGTTTGCCAGGCTGGTCTTGAACTCCTGACCTCGTGATTCACCTGCCTCGGCTCCCAAAGTTCTTGACCGTCTCTCTGGTTTCTGGAAACCTATGGGATTTGGTAACTCAAAATACAGAAGAGAAAGAAACGGGGAAGGCCAGCTAAACCAAGAAAGCCCAGGCATGCGTACTCCCTCCCTGTTTCAGCACCGCCTCCCAGGTCACGTGTCCACACCTCACCCCAGGCTTCCGCTCTCACATCCGCTCCGCTTTTCCACCGCCATGGGAGCCGAGCTGTACACACTCCTGACGCTGGGTGCTGGACATCTTCAGGGGCCAAGACCCCCAGCAACATTTCTGTCTCCACTCTCATGCCCACCCCACCCCCCAGCCCCTCACCCATCCTCCGCACCCTCTGCCTGCTTCTGGAAACCGCTTCGTTGTCCTCTCTGAAGGCAGCTCTGCACAGAGCAGTCACACGTGCTGCGCTTGGGTTCTATCAGGTGACACAGGCCCTTTCTGACCACAGGTCCCCCTTCATCCCTGGTTAACTCCTCCCTCCCGCCCTGTGCCGGCTCCTCACTACAGCATTGCCTGAGCTTGTTCTGTGTCCTTATGTCCGGTGTCCCCAGCACCGTGCCTGGCACGTGGCAGGTGGTTTGACATCTAAGGACGCAGTTTTCACGTGTAGGTGTTTGCCCTCACCCTCACTTGAGACTGCGTGGAAGGCTTGCACCCCACCAGCCACGCCCGCAGAGGCCTTCCTAAAGTCCAGGTCCACGGCCAGGTAACGGGAGCCGGCCGGCAAGCTCTTAATATCTGCACAGCTTCACCTTTCCTGATCTTTATAGATACATTCGTGTATTTGTTTTTCATGTCCTATTTCTAACTGTCCCTGTCCAAAATAAAACTGCTCTAAGAGTTTTATGATCTTTAAGAAATACTAAGATCTTTTGCCAAGTACAGTGGCTCACATCTGTAATCCTAGCACTTTGGGAGGCCCAGGTGGGCAGATCACCTGAGGTCAGGAGTTTGAGACCAGCCCAGCCAACATAGTGAAACCGTGTCCCTACTAAAAATACAAAAGTTAACCAGGCATGATTCTCCCGCCTCAGCCTCCTGAGTAACTGGGACTAATGCCTGTTGAACTTGGGAGGCGGAGGTTGCAGTGAGCCGAGATCACACCATTGCACTCCAGCCTGGACAACAGAGTGAGACTCTGTCTCAAAAAACAAAAAAGACAAACCCTAGATATTGCTGCCTGCCCTCCAGTCTGACATGCACGTCCACTCCCAAGACTGAGTGCAAAACGCAGAGCCTGCGGCTCCCCGGGAGGCTCTGCTGCGCATGCAGGGTGGGCGGGCTCCTGCACACAGCTGCTAAGGGACTTTCCAGGGCCCTGGCTCTGCATTTCCAGATGAAATGCTGACTGCGGCTTGCTGTTAACAGTCCACACACGGCACATGCACGGCCCACAGGCCCTGCATCCCCCATCACCGCTGGGAAGCCTCAGTGCACCCCATGGTCCAGCGGGGAGGCGCCCCCAGCTGCCTCCAGGGGCAGCAGTGCATGCTAGCCTGAGGGCAGAGCCGTGGTTATTCAGGAAAGCTGCGTAACAGCTGCTCCTCTGCCCCCAGGCCTACAGGTTCCTGGAGGAGATGCGGCGGCGGCTTCCCTCGGCCAACGTGTCCTACTATGTGAGCCCACAGGCTGTGGAGGCCGTGCACCAGGGACTGGGTCTCCCACTGATGCACGCTGCGCCCGAGCGGGTCCGACACAACAGCATGGAGGACCCCAGGGAGCCGGACGAGGAGGTGGTGGAAGAGGCCGACGACCCCTGATGGGCCTGGGCCCAGGGGCCTGCGTGCTGCTGCAGGAAGGCATCTTCCAGAATTCTCCAGCGGCCAGCTGCAGCACAGCCAGCTTTTTTGCTGGGAAAAACCATGTCTGTGTTGGAATATGCAAGAGAGCTGAGGGAAGATGCCATGGCCTGGGCCGGGGGAGGTGACCCATCTGCATCTTGCTCCGCCCCACCCGCCTCTGGGTGCCCAGCAGCTCTGGTAGATTTCTGGATTTGTTCTTTTAAAGGAAGTCGGGTTCACTCTTCCACTGTAGTCTCCCAACTATACATTGTAAAGCCTGAGAAACTTCTAGAACCTCAGGAATGGGGGCTGCAGCTGGAGGGCTGAGGCACCTGTCCCCGTTCCCACCATATCCTCCCCACACTCCCGCAGGGCCCGTGGCTCCTGAGCAACAGCTGGGACACCCAGATGCTCGTGGCCACAGCCCCTGCTAGGCTCTGCCCACCAGCCACCAACACTCATTTAATTCTAATAAAGTAGTTTATTTTCTGAGAGCCCGTGCCCTGTCCCGCCCCACCCCACGAGCCCATCCAGGACCACAGGCCTGCCTGGGCTGTGAGCAGAACAACTATGCTCTGGCCTTGGGGCTCCCTCCTGTTCTGGGGATACACAGCCAAGCCCTGGGACCTGGGACGGGAGCTGCTCTGTCGTGCTCGGTGGCTCTCAAAGGAGCGCCTCAGGGGCTGAGCAGCAGCTGTGCCATCTTCCCCTCCTGCCAGCCTGGTTCTGCCCTCACTGGAGGAGTCAACGCCGCCAGCAGCGCCTGCAGTCCCGGCCCCGACCCCAGCCCCACGTCCAGGCTGCCATGTCCCGATGGGCAGTGCCCAGGCCCAGTGTATTTTTAGCAGACTTGCTGCGCTATAAATAGCAGCAGGCCAGGCCTTCCTGCATCTGCACTCTCCGTACCGGATGCTGCCGCGGACCTGGCCTCGCTACAAAGCCTGGCTCTGCTGCTCTGGGCTGCTGCCGGCTTCCTTGCTGCTGGCGGGTGTGGGCCTAGGGAGGCCTCCAGGGACTAGGGAGACGCGGACGGGAGAAGCCTGTTCTTGAGTCTCTGCAGAAGCAGCAGGGCCCTCAGTGCCAGCGTCCTGCAGTCCTCGTCTGGGTCCTTCTCGGCCACATCTGCCAGACGAGAGCAACAGGGAAGGCTGAGACAGCGTCAGGGGCGCGTTCTCCCTCCTTCCATCTTCAGTCTGCCTGAACCAGCCCTGCCAGGCCTGACTCCACTGAAGAAAGGGGGCTTGGGTCTGCCGTGAGCCCGGACCCACCCCAAGGTCCACGTTCTGCGTGCCACAGGCTCTGTGTGGGCCACACTGTATGTGGAGGGCTGCCCTGAGCTGTGTGGGGACAGGTGGCTGTCATGGGAAGGGGCCGGGGCCAGGGACTGGGGTGAGGCACAACCTGGTGGGGTGAGGCACAGCCTGGGAACACAGGCAGGGCCTGCTGTGTGCTGGATAGCAGACATGGGCTGCGGTCAGAGGTGGAAAACCCCAGGAATCCGGGTGGCGGGCGTCGGGCATCTGGGATAGCATGCTGCTCCCCAGGGTCAGAGCCAGGGCCCTTAGCTGCCCGCAGTGCTGGGCCCTCACCAAGATCTCCTGCAGCCTAGGGTCCCAGGGAGCCTCGGGCTCTGCTAGCCACAGCTCCTCCCCAAATTGGGCTAGAATCTCAGGGTGAGGAAGGCACCTGTAATCCTCGGGGGAAGTGCCTATGAGAGGAGGGTGCCCTGCCCGTATCCCACCTGCCCTGAGTGGAAAGGGACCAGCTAAGGGCCACGCCCCCTGCTCCTCCTGGTGCTTCAGGCCCCAAGGCCCCCAGACAACTATGTCGCAGGCACCAAGTCTCTGGGGAAGGAGGCTGCCCAGGGACTGCGGGGAGTGTGCCCGCCTACCCAGCGCCATTAGTGGCTCCACTGGCTAAGGGGGCCTCTCTTCCTCTGGGCGGGGCAAGTGGGCCAGAGCACACTGAGGAGCTGGGCAGTGGCTCCAAGGGACCGGCGTCTGGGGGCATTACCCCCCTTGAAAGAAGCAAGCCCAGCACAGCACCCCTGCACTTTGGGCTAAGGACCCTCCAGCTGCTCCGTGGGAAGACATTCACAGCCACCCTGAGCATAGGTCCTGGGAGGGGACAGGGCAGAGCTGGGCCACCCTTCCTCTGTCCATCAGTCCTGTGCTCTGCTCCTTGGCCATCCCCGGAGACTCACTCACGGAAAACACCCACTCACACCCGACAGGCTGGCACTGCGCCCAGGTGGGGAGAGGAGGGATGGCAGGGGCTGAACAGGCACACAGCCCAGCCACATGGGAAAGGTGACTTCACCACAAGCACCCCCAGTGTCCCCCAGCATGGAGGCCTGAGGGCAAGTCCCCAGGAAGGACCTGCATTACCCGGGACCCTCCTGACAAACATGGAAGAGGCAGCGTCCACGAAGCCACCCTGAGGGCCCCACATACCAACCACTGGACCACAAAGGCAGGGAACCAACAAACTGTGCTGGCGACTGCACGGCCGGAAGAGCCAGGGAGGTGGGTGGGCGCTGGGGGGGCCAGCGGGGTCCTGGGTCAGGACCAAAGGGGGAAAGCGGCCAGCAATTGGGGTGGCCACACCTCCAGCCTGCAGGGTCTGTCTGTGTGGGCCCAAGGGATCCTGGTGGCCTGTCCTTAGGCCCAGCTCAAGTACCTACAGGCCAAAGGTCACAACGATCACAACTGACTTTGACAAGGGCCAAGCAAAGGAGCTCACGCCTGTAACCCCAGCACTTTGAGAGGCCTGGGTGGGCAGACTGCTTGAGCCCGGGCAATATAGCAAGACCCCGTCTCTACAAAAAATGCTTGTAAAAGTTATCGGGCTGTGGTGGCGTGCACCTGTGGTCCCAGTTACACAGGAGGCTGAGGTGGGATCACTTGAATGTAGGAGATGGAGGCTGCGGTGAGCCAGGATCATGCCACGGCGCTCCAGCCTGAATGCAGAGCAAGACCCTGTCTCAAAACACTAAGTATACATTAAAAAGAACATACATGGAGGGGAGCCAAGTGGCAAACCGCTCCCCGGGTGAGCCTGGGGGAGAGGCTCTGGGCTCGCGGGCTGCGCTGGTGGCCCCTGGAGGTGAGGTTCTTGGAAGAAAACCCATTTGCGGAGGGAGGCTTCTTCCCTTTCCCCTGCAGGATTCCCGAAGCGGCCGCGACAGGAACCAGGCTCTGGATTCCCCACTCTGGGGCCGCCATGCACCTCTGGACACCTGCGAGAGGGATGTGCCCCCCAGACGAAAGGCCTCGTTCTCAGACAGCTGGCCCAGGCCCGGCTGCAGGAGCCAGGCCACACACACTGCCGGCGCCAACACTCACCCGCCAGCCAGGACCGGGCTTCCAGCAGCTCGTCCGGCAGGTCCTCCAGCAGGCACACCGCAGGCACGCTGAGCAGGACAGAGGAGACGGCTGACAGCAGGCCCTGGCGCACGTAGCTGCCGGTGGGAAGGAGACGGGCTGAGCCTGGCAGGGGAGCGGCAGGGACCACCCCCAGGCCAGGGAGACCTACCACTTCCCCCGGGTGCAGTGGGCCACCCACGCTGCGGCCCTGCCTGGCACATTTCCCGTTCGGGAAGTACCAGGCCAGGCCGCCCGTCAGCCACCTCGAGACTCCCTGGGGCCCCCACTATGAGACCCCTGTGTCTACATGCACCCCTGGCCTGACCCAGCCCCACAAGCCACTCACGCATCGACGTGGAAGCGAAGGGCCCACACGAATTCCAGCAGGGCCTTGCCCATGGCCACAGCCACCTGGACACCAGCAGAGCGACAATCGGCCGGGGTCCCCATGCTGTCCCCACACCCCGGCACCCACGGCGGCTGACAGCCGAGGGGATGCTCCCGCCACCCAGGGGCCCACAGGCAGCCCTCCCTCCGACACCTGCCCCACGGGAGGCACAGGCCAGTGCCCGGCAGCCTCTCCCGGCTCACCGTGGTGTTAACAGCCAGGCACATCAGGGCCCCTAAGGTGTGCGTCAGCCTTCCGAGAACCAGCTGGTCATCGCCCAAGAGGTCGAAGGTCACCAGAGGCCTAGAGCACAAGATGGAGCCCAAGCTGCAGCGGGCATCTCAGGCCCGCCTCCCCAGCTTCCTGGGCCACTGCAGAGTCTGGGGGGTCCCCACACAGCCTCTCCTCCTGCACTCACCACCCTGCCTGCACCAAGACTGTACGAGCAAGTGTTTCCAGGTGGCCACTCACACTGAAGGGCTGCTGCCTGGCACACACCCACCAGGGCCAGGACTTCCCAACACCAAGACCCCACCCTGCTGCGCCATGACTCAGGCCCAGCGCTCCTCTGCTGTCCCAAGAGCCTCACGGCCTGAACATGCGGCCAGCACAGCGCTGGCTGAGTCAGGAGGCGGCGGGCAGGGGCCAGTGGGTGATGGTGCTGCTCACGCGCAGGCAGCACTGCCAGTCATGCCACAAGCCCAGCATCAGAGCAGACACCTGGCGCTTCACAGCAAAGCTGAACCGCAGAGGAACCGTGCAGAACGTTCCCTGACACTTAACACAGGCTTCAAAAACCAAAGCACAGCTGCGGCCCTGTTCACACCCAAGCCCACTCAGACTCCAGCTGGAAGCCTCTTGACCACTGGGGTACGCCCAGGGTCTCTGTCCCCAACGTCCACAGGCCCATGGAAAACCCACTCACCTGTCAAAGTGCTGAAGGAGGGGAAAGAAGAAGTGGCCGGCCACAGAGCTGAACCTGTTAGGGCTGCCTGCCGGGCGCTCCCTCGGGCCACCCTGCCGGACACACACGGTGCTCACGAACATGCAGGCCCAGCAGCCGGCCCCATCCCCAGCCCTCCCCGCTCGTGAGGATCCCGCGGAGCTTCTCGGACTCCAGCCTCGCCTCACCTGCCTGGCTGCTCCTCACCCCCGCCCCGCTCCCAGGCCCCGTGGGGTTGGTGACCGGACTCAGCCTGGACCCCGGACCAGGCCTTCCCAACCTCACAGGCAGGACATTAAGGCCGGAGGAGCATCATGTAGGGACTGCCCTGGACATGGCAGGATGCCTCCCTGGCCTCCACCCACCCCAGCAACAACCCATCTCCAGACACCCCAAACACCCTAGGGTGAGACAAGACCACCCCTGGCCTACATGGGCTGTGAGGACAGAGCACCCAGCAGGGCGCCTGTTTCTAGAGCGCCCCCGAGCCCCATCTGGGTCTCCTGCAGCAAGGGTCCCATTCCTCGGTGACCACAGACCCAGCCTTCCAGGAATCCTGGCGAAGCCACCATCCCCAGCAAACACAGCCGCCCTCGCTGGAGACCACGCCTGGAGGTGTCTGACTGCCTTTCCTGCCTGCCTGCAGCCCCCATGCCTGTGAGGAGCTGAGCAGGCGCCCACGAACCTTGGAGAGCCGCCGGGTTTTGCTTCTGATCCGCTCCTCCACCACCACCCGCCAGTCGGACGCCACAGCACTGCCAGGCTGAGAGGCAGCTGCCACCTGCAGGCACCGGGTACCAGGACTCGGGGAGCCAGGGTGCAGAGCCCTCCTGAGGCACCCAGGCCCCGACAGCTCCTGTGCAGCCAGAGTCAGCACCTGGAGGGAGACAGGCCTGGGGCAGCTGCCATTGCTCCAAGAAGAACATATCCCAACAGTCAAGTCATCGCCGAAGCCCCAGGTCAGAAACAGGCCCAGTGGCCCTCACAGTCCGGGGGAAAGGCGTGTTCTGGGAACAAGGAGAAATGTCACTTCCCCAAAACTCAGAGTGACTGCGCCTTGGTGGGTGGGAAGGTGGGGAAGGTGGGCTCCGTGCTCCCAGACATGAGAACACACCCAGGGCCCAGCGCGGCCTCATCCCAGAGCCACACGCCCATCCCCCAGGAACTGGCCTCACAGCAAAACCAACACTGCAGTGGCACATGCCACAGGCGGGTGGCCCTCAGAGCATGTATGCGGAGGAGGTGCCCAAGACCTCAGGGCGTGCCACCATCTCCAGGACACCTCAACAGGCCAGTGCTCACTGGCCGGAGGCTCCCGAGCCGGGGGGTGGGGAACGGCTGCCGACAGGGACGCTGTGGGACTGGACGGGGCGGCTGCACGACACTCAGGGTGTTCCCAGCATGCACTGGGGAATCAGTTACAGCCGGCTCCACCTCACCTTCTTAGTCCTCGTGAACCCCTCCCCTGCGTTTTTTTTAAGAGACAGGGTCTTGCTCTATTGCCCAGGCTGGAGGGCAGAGATGGGATCATGGCTCACTACAGCCTTGACCTCCCGGCTTACGCATCCTCCCACCTCAGCTTCAAGAGAAGAGGGGCCACAGGCGCCACCGCAGCCGGCTGATTTTCTTCTGGTGGAGAGAACAGGGTCCTGCGGTGTCGACCAGGTTGGTCTCAAACTCCTGGGCTTGAGCGATCCTCCCACCTTGGTCTCCCCCAGCACTGGGACGACAAGCATGAGCCCATGCCCCACCCATTTCAACCGTTTCTAAGCGCACAGCTCCACGGCATCGGTAACTACACCCACGTGGGGCAGCCGTGGCTGCCGTCTCGCCGGAACTCCTTCCCTCCCAAGACGAGGCTCTGTGCCTGTGAAACACGCCCTCCGCATCCCCTCCCCAAGCCGTGGCAGCTGCATCTGCTCTCTGTGACCCGGCTTCTCTGGACGGTGCACTTGAGGGAAACGGAATGACACGTGGGCCCTGGGGCTGCTTTAACTAAACATTCTCAGGGTTCACTGCAGCACGCAGCAGTCTCGTCACCTTTGGGAGTCTCTATCACAGCCCCCTGCAACCTCGACCTCTGGGGCCTCCTGAGTACCTGGGACCACAGCCTCAGGCCACCACACTCGGCTAACAGAGATCGGGTCTCATGTGGCGCCCAGGCTGGTCTGGAACTCTGGGGCTCAAGCAGTCCTCCCGCCTCAGCCTCCCAGTGCTGTGATTCGAATTTCTTTCTCATTGCTAAGTAACGTTCCCTGCACAGCACACGTTACCTACAGTGGTGAATTTTACGGTGTGTGGATTCTGTCAGAAAAGCTGTGATTTTAAAGAAACGAAACACTGGGCCTCGGAGCCCCGACTCCCCACTGCCGGGTCCCACACGGTCACTCGTGAGCACAGCACACAGGCCTGCATGAGCCTCTCGGGTCCAGCGACAAGGACACCTGGATTTTGGCAGCCCCCCTCACCCCAGCTTAGGGCACCTTGGGCCAGACCAGGAGGACCGAGGGGCCTGGAGGGACTTACGTCCAGGATGTCCATGCGCTGCCGGAGGCTGTAGTTGAGGGCGTAGAACTGCGAGGTCAGATAGTCAGCCACCTGAGGGGCCAGAGACGCTGCTGTGGCCGGGGACCCAGGGCTGCACAGCCAGCTCCAGCCCGACAGAGCCTCGGGCACCGCAGCTCCCCACGCTTCCTGCTGGGCCTGCCCTGGCCAGGGCCACCGGTGCGGAGACTCACCCCGGCTGGGTCTGTGACCGTGACAGCCACCAGGGCTCTCTGCCGCAGCCGCTCAAATCCCACCACACAGGTCTTCTCCTCCAGATGCAGAAGCACCTTAGCCAGCTCCACGCTCACCTGCACACAGGGGTGAAGTGTGGGAAACCTGCCGGCTCAGACACCCACCCCTCCAGAAGCCCCAGGCCGCAGGCCTTCCGGGAGAGGAGCAGCCCTGAGTCACACACGGGAGCCAGATGTCACCCTCAGCGGCCAGAACACAGACAGCGTTGGGGGAGCTACCACCTTGGGCTTCCCACCCACTCCTGTCTCAACTCACCTCCCGAGTGGCCGTGGGGTTCCTGGAGACCAGACCCTCAAGGGCCCGCAGGGCCGCCTCCCAGCGCTCCACGTCTTCAGACGTGGTGAGGGCTGCACGGAACCCAGACAGGTCTCAGTCAGTCTCGGCGCTGATCCTGAGCCGGCAAGAGCCAGCAACACAGTCGGCACCCGGGGCCCGTGCCTACCTTCCACGCAGTCACGGACATAGGCAGGAGCCTTGCTGCTCTTCAGCTCTCTGTCCCCTGACATGTCATAGGGGACAAACTCATCATCGCTGTGGGAAGGCAAAGCAGAGAGCAACAGCCCACAGCCTGTGAGAGGAAGTGCTGAGCGGCAGAGCCAACCCTTCCCTCCTCCCAGAGACAGAGCGCTGGCCTCAGCCCCTGTGCCTGCAGAGCTGGGAGCTGTGGGTGCCCACATGACAACAGAGGACAAGGGCGGAGCAGGCAGGGAGCCCCACGGGCCGCAGCTCGGAGGACGAGGGGTTCGCCTCCCAGCCTCCTGCACGCTGCCCACCGGGCCAGGAGAGCCCTTACCTGTCCAGGTCCGAGTCAGAGCCCGCCAGCCGAGCCTGGGGGACGCCGCCATCCACGATCTCTGCGGGGGTCTCTGCAGGGGGCTCTGCTGTGGCTGCAGTGAGGGACGTGCTTTTAGGAAACAAGGAACAAATGATTCAGGGTCGCCTCCAGCCTCTGGACTCGCAGGACTGAAAGAAAGGCTCTCACCCCTCCCGTCCCAGCAGCAGAATCCAGAGCGACAAGACGTGCACGCGGTGGGTCCCGGGGCGCAGAGACCCTCACCCTGCCTCTGAGGTGCCGTCACCCGCAGGCTGGTGGGAAGCCAGGGCCAGCAGCTCGAGGCTCAGTTCATCTTCTTCATACTGCAGCAGAGGCAGGAGCGAGGCAGGCTCAGCGGCACCCCACGAGACGGCGCTGCCGGAGCCACTCTGCACTGCGGCCTCCTTTGCAACTGAATCACTCAGTGGCTGGGCCCGGGACAGCCAGGTGTCTTTTTAAAAGCAACTTTCCAAGAGGCCACCTCAGGCAAAGGGTAGCACTGGGTGTGCTCAAAGCTGGGGGGCTGCGGCCCTCCCAAAGGAGCTGGGACCCCCCCACCCAGGCCAATGCCCCTTAGAGGATCCCAGCTTCTCAGCGGATGAGAAGACAGGCCATCACTTCCATAGCCTGAAGGCAGGCGGCACCCACGCCGGGCAGCGGGCAGCAGAGGGGCCGACACCCACAGCCACGGATCTGGAGCAACGTGGCTGCCCTGTAGCCCAGGACGAACAAACTGCTGGGGCGGCTCCCTTAACCCCCAGCCCCCGCTGTACCCCCATCTAGAGAGTCTGTGAATGTGCCCTGGCAGTCCTCCCAGGGGGACATGTGCTCACCCTGACCCTGTGTGGCCCCAGGAGCCCAGGCCTGAGCCTGTCACAGCGTCCAGCTTCAGCCCTGTGAGAAGCCAGCACGGACGCTCTGCCAGTCTGGCCCCCGGGAACGCGCAGGGAGCGGCCAGCTCACCTGGAATTTCAGGGGAGGCCCCTCGGGGTGGATCCGGGCGCTGATGACCTCGGCAACGATCATGCCCAGATGGCGCACGGCGGGCAGGCTGCTGTCCAGGCGGCACTTCACACCCACCATCATGCTGGCCAGCAGTTCTGCAAGCACCGCACGGGCCCCTGAGCACCTGGGGGTGCCTGGGGCCGGTGGGGGAGCCCAAACCACCTGCTCACCATCCCGGTTGTCCCGCAGCTCCGGCTCCCTGAGGTGCACCAGGCAAATGAGAATGGCCTTGCTGACGTGGCGCTGCTGCAGCAGGGGCGTGTGGCGGACGGCACTGCTGCTCCCCCACGTCTCCAGCAGCTCCTTCAGCACCTGGCAGGTGGTATGGCCCGGGACTGCATAGGGCTCGGGGCCACCCTGAGGGATCTGTGGCCCCAGCCCAGCCAGCCTCACCCTGCCCTGCCCCCAGGGTGATCCCCACATGGCCTTCTCCCAGGGCCTTGCAGGACGGAGAGCCAGAGGCTCCTACCTGCAGCAGGAGAGGGCGCCGCTGGCTGTCCGTGGCCAGATAGCCCAGCAGGCTCTGCAGCATGGGTGTCTGCAACAAAAGCAGATGTCCCATCCACTGGGCTGGGGCTCCCAGGGTCAAGACCCCTGCCAGGACTGGGAGCGGGCTAGGGACAGCAGACGGACAAGGAGCACAGGGCCTGCTGCCTCCTGGAATGCAGGGCCCCTCCCCTCCTGCAGAAGCTGCCCCCTGGACTCACCAATCCACCCGCCTCAAACTTTGAACTGAACATGATAAAACGCTTTCGTATAAAAATGTGGGATGCAGCTGCTGCGGGGTGAGGCGAGGTCTCCCCATCTTAAGTTCTCATGTGAGCCAAGGAGGAGACAGTGAAGCAACCAAGAATCAGGCCAGGCACGGCGGCTCACACCTGTCAGCCCAGCATGTGGGAGGCCAAGGCAGGCGGATCACTGGAGCTCAGGAGTTCCAGACCAGCCTGGCCAACGTAGGAAGACCCCGCCTCTACCGAACACTTTAAAAATTAGCTGCACGTGGTGGTATGTGTCTGTAGTCCCAGCTACTGGGGAGGCTGAGGCAGGAGGATCACTGGAGCTGGGCGGTCAGCACTGCAGGGAGCCTCAATCAAACCACTGCACTCCAGTCTGGGCAGCACAGCAAGATGCTGCCTCAAAAACCTGAGAGACTTGCACAGGACAGCAAGTCCACGATCCTCTCCTCAGGGGTCTGCTGGGTCCACCTCTCCCCATCCCCACCCCAAGTGACGAGTCACAGCTGGGCTGTGTGAGGCCCAAGCTAGTGTCTTCCACCTTCCCACCTCAGGCTGTGGGTACTTCACTACCCTGTGGCCAGGTGGGAGAGTCCCCTTCCCCCCGGAACCCTGCACCTCTGACCTCACACAGGAGCCAGGCTCAATCACCTCTAGGCAAACCCTGCAGCTGCCCCTCCCGCACACCAAGGGGCCTCAGGCTGTCTGGACATGGCTGCCCTGGCATCACACCTCCTCCCTGCCCTCCTGCTCACCACAGCACAGGCCCCTGGCCAACTCAGGCCAGCCCGGTCACTCCTACCCAGTGCTCGGAGGCCACCTGCCCACACCTCTGGGCCAGGCCCTGCCACACCCCACCCAAGCGCCTGATCAGCAAGGTCTGTGCCACCCGTCTCAGCCCTGTGTCTGCCTTGTGGGCCATGGGCAGCTGGTGCCACAAGGGAGAATAGTCACTCTCATGTCCATGCCAGATACCCAGCACCCAAGAAAGGGCTCGGCACAGGGTGCACCCAGACACTTGCTGAAAACAAAGCCATGGGGCAGGGGCCTGGCTCACCCACCCTGGGCGGCTCCAGGCCATGGGGACAGGAGTCACAAGTCCCAGAAGCACATGGCCTCCTCTGTGTCCTGACCTATCCCCCACCCACCCCACCACCCCTCAAACCCCTGGCACAGGATGCAGCTGGGGAGCATGGCTTCTCAGGGGTCTAGAGGACTAAGGGACAGGAGAAGCCGTCACTCTGCGGCCATCATACAGGGGCAGAGGGGGCCACCCTGAGTCCTGTGCAGTGTCCCCAGCCGGGGCCGCCCCAAGTCCTGTGCAGTGTCCCCAGCCGGGGCCACCCCGAGTCCTGTGCAGTGTCTCTGGCCGGGGCCACCTCGAGTCCTGTGCAGTGTCCCTGGCCGGGGCCGCCCCGAGTCCTGTGCAGTGTCTCCAGCCGCAGACACCTGCTTCACCCCACGTTTTGCAGCAATTCTTGCTGTGACGGCGCAGCATGCAGCCTCCCCAGCATCCTCACCGTGAGCCGGGACTGTAAGAACAGAAGCTTCCGGGTCATCACAAACTGGGCCTTCTTGTTCTTCACCACCAGGTTCCCCAGCAGTCGCGACAGGACCTCAGGCCTGCAAGGTAGAGTCAGGAAGCCAGAGCCACAAGCTGGCCTCGGAGGCAGGGAGGAGGGAGAGCATGGCCTCCGACACCCACAGACCCCGGCCTGCCACTTCCCAGCCTCGCCTCTGCTTCCATCCTCTGACAGCCTCAGCTGGGCCTCCATCCTCCCTTCTCCGGGGCATAAATGCAATAGCCCAGAGAGCACCTGCGCCCCCGCCACGGCGAAGGCAGATCTCCACCCACGGCCTCATATACGGCAGGGCAGAACCCTTTTCCGCAAAGGGCCGGAGCCTAAGTGTTCCAGGTTTATGGACCAGAGTCACGTCGCAGCCACGCCACGCTGCCACCCTAGCTGAAAGCAGCAAACACGTAAACCGATGAATGCAACTGGTGCCAAAAAGCATTATTGACAAAAACATACAGTGGGCTGAACTCTGCCCAAGCGGCCTGCAGACCTAGACTGAGAGCCGCCCGCCCGGCAAGCGAAAGGTCACGGGCTCCAGAAAGAGCCCTGTATCTCTCCAGCCAGCGTGGAGACATACGGCTGGATTTCTCCCGCACTCATCACCTAAAATTCCACAGAGACAACAGCTAAAAAAAGATTTCGGAGGCCAAGGAAGGAGGATCACTTAAGGCCAGGAGTTTGAGGCCAGCCTGGGCAGCAAAGTGAGACCTGTTGCTACAAAGAACGTTTAAAACTGAGCTGGGCACGATAGCACACGCCTGTGTAGGAGCCTGCTGTTCCGGAGGTGAGCTGGGGAGGGGCTTGAGTGCAGGCAGTGGAGGCCACAGTGAGCTACGACCACACCACCGCACTCCAGCCTGGGAGACAGAGCGAGATCCTGTCTGTACACACGATGCCCTCCCCCCAAACAAACCGTAAAGTAGAACGTACTCACGTAACTCACAGAGAGAGCACTACGAATCCTTTAAACATGCACACCCTCACCCAGAACCAAGAATGCCAAATCACCCAGGTGCGGTGGCTCACGGCTATAATCCCAACACTTTGGGAAGCCAAAGTGGGTAGATCTCTTGAGGCCGAGAGTTCGAGACCAGCCTGGCCAACATGGCGAAACCCTGTCTCTACTAAAAATATGATACTTGGCTGGGCTTGATGGTAGGTGCTTATAATCTCAGCTACTCTGGACAATAAGGCATGAGAATTGCTTGAACCCAGGAGGTAGAGGCTGCAGTGAGCCAAGATCATGCCGCTGTACTCCAGCCTGGGCGACAGAGCGTGATTCCATCTCAAAAGAAAAGAAAAGAAAAGGAAAAAAAAAAAAGGAGGAAATGCTTTGGGAGAGAAAGATGCTTCGTCACACCTTCAGCGGGGAGGAGAGGCTTCAGAAGGTAGGCGAGCTGGCAGGATTTGCAAGGGTTAAAAGGCCAGCAGTGGGGAGGGGAGGCATCAGAAGGTAGGCGAGCTGGCAGGGTTTGTGAGGGTTACACCACGGCCAGCAGTCCTGCCTCCAGGAATCCACCCTTGATTCTCCCGCACAGGTGCACAAAGACGTGGGGAAGCAAGTCACTGCCCGCCCCCCATGTCAGAGCCCGGTGCTGGCACACTGGTGTGCGAGGAGGCCACCGTGGAGGAGTGACCACAGGCACAGACGGGGTGTGTGGCCCAAGGTGCAGGCGCCTGCAGGGTGCATTCACACATCAATGCTGTTTTCATAAGAAAAAGGGACCCTGTGACGCAGAGGTCACCATCAGCACACGCAGAAGCCGAGAGCCACCATCCATACCCCACGGACTGGACATACAGGTGCCAGCCGCAGCATGGCGCCCAGGAGGAGCCACGTAAAGGAATGGCAGCCCAGGGGTCCAGACCCCCACCCAGGAAGCAAGGTCCAAGGGAGGAGAGCTGGCTGCTTACCCCTGCGCGGCCTCCACCAGTCCGGTCAGCACCGCCTCCATGGCCCGGTCCGGCACTTGCTCCACCAGGCGCCAGCAGACGCGCTGGTGCAGGCAGCTGCCCTGGGTGAGCGCCGCCAGCCGGGGCACCAGCACGCCCAGGATCTCCTCTGGGGGTACAGATGGAGGCCCTGAGCTTGGGAAGCTGCACCTGCCTGGGCGTCCGGGGGCTGTGGAGGTCCGACGTGGACAGTCCCACAGCTCCCCAGTCAGCACAGCCGAGCCCCAGACCCCAGGGTCCCAGAACAGGCCAGACGAGGGGGCCCCACAGAGGGCCAGGGTCAGGAGGGAGGGATTCCTGGCCTTCTGGAGATGGCTGACAGAGTGCAAGGGTCAGGGCAGGTGGGCAGGAAGGCGCTGCTCTACTCACGCTGCCTCCCGTGGATACAAGCCTTCCCGAGGACCTGGGACACAAAGGACACAGAGGAATCCAGGCCACCTGGGACAGAAAGAGAGACCAGCTGAGGAGGCCGGGGACACGGGCACAAAAGAACACCCAAGTGTGGAGAGAGCTGTCCTCAGTCAGACAGACTCCAGATGAAGGCGGAATTCACTCAGGACACGGGCTGCCGCCAGTCAGCCGATCCCAGCAAATCTCAGCAGGAGCTGGGACTTCACCAGCAAATCCACCCTTCAAACCTTCACCCGGCCGGGCGCGGTGGCTCACGCCTGTAATCACAGAACTTTGGGAGATCAAGGCGGGTAGATCACAAGGTCAGCAGTTCGGGGCCAGCCTGGACAACACAGTGAAACTTCGCCTCTACTAAAAATACAAAAATTAGCCAGGCCTGGTGGTACGTGCCTGTAGTCTCAGCTACTGGGGAGGCTGAGGCAGGAGAATTGCTTGAACCTGGGAGGCAGAGGTTGCAGTGAGCCGAGATCACACCACTGCACTCCAGCCTGGGTGACAGAGTGAGACTCCATCACAAAAAAAAAAAAAAAACCCTTCATCCATCTTAGCCCACTTAAACATCACGATGATCCTAGAAGGTCAGGACAGGTATGACATCGCCAAGGAGGGAGAGGAGGCACGGGCAGGACCCAGCCAAGTTGGGTCGGCCACACAGGGTAGGCCTGGGCCCTGAGCCAGGCATGACACACAGGAGCAGCGCCACCAGCACAGCCACGTGCAGGGAAGGAGTTCACACCAGGGAATGTGGGGAACCCAGAGGGGCCGGTCCACACCAGCTCCAGAGAAGAGCTGGGATGCGGGGAGCAGCAGGCACAGAGCCGCATGGGACAGGGACGGCCCTGGCCAACGAGTGCATGAAAGAGACGCGTCCCACACATGTCCCAGATGTTTCCAAAGCCTCCTTAACCCTTCCGCCCACGCAGAGCAGCAGCTGCGACCCAGGGCTATGTTGGGAAAAGACAGGAGGGGCTTGGTAGGGGGCTGCAGGAACCCCCAGGTGAGGCGAAGGGGACTCGGCCAGATGGGCACCATGCCGGGACTTGAGGGGCCCAGCTTCCTCCTGGGCTCTGAGGGGGCACCGGCCTGCTCCATGACCCCAGGTGCCGACCCCAGTGAAGGAGGGAGTTTCAGAAAGAGGCGGGGCAGCACGTGGAGCAGGAAGGGGAGACCAGACCCACATGCTCGACCTGTGTCTGAGCAGCTGCCTGGAGCCCAGGAAAAGCGAGAGAAGCAAGGGCTCACCCTGTGGGAGAGGCAGACGCTCCGGTGCCGTGCAGGCCCCAGCCCAGCCTCCTCACCACTGAAATGCACACTCACGGCGGCCACCTTCTGATGCCCTGCCCCAGGGAAAACAGCACGGGCACCCATGGGGCCTGAAGCCCAGCGGTGGGCGAGGCTGTTTCCATAGAACCCACTCTTCGGGCACCGCCAGCCCTGAGACCCTCGAGTACCCCCAACCTCGTGCTGCAGCACAGCTGGGTCCCGAAACCAGCAGCGGCGGCAGGGACGGAAGGAGAAGTTCACATAGAGGAGGGCAGCGGACTTCAGCCCGTGGCAGACGGGCCCTTCAGTCACTACTGCCCGGGCCAGGGACATCCCCACCTGCCTAATGGCACCACTCAGAGACTTTATGGTTTCCAGAGGCCGTGAGGCACCAGGGAGAGTGGCAGGAGACCATGGCCCAACAAGACAGGTCACAAAGGGGTCTCCAAGGCAGGGCCTCACCTTGGAGAGAGTCTACGACAGCCTGTAGCACCCGGATGACCTCCTCGCCAAGCAGGCGGAAGTAGTTCTGGGGTAAGAACTCAGACAAGTTCTCCCGCTGCAGGCGGTTGCCCAGGTGATCGGGCAGGGCCACCACCTTGCCCAGCAGCGTCTCCCGGAGCAGGGGGAAGCAGGGCTGCGTCTCCTGCCGACACTGTGTCTCCATCAGCACCGCCAGCCGGCCCTCTCGCAGGAACCTAGCCAGCAGCTGTGCCATCTTCATCAGCCGGAAGCTGGGGCTGAAGACACGGGCATGTTGGGCAGAGCCCCAACCCCCATCCTTGGGGCCCCCTTCCTGCCACAAGGAACCGGCAGCCCAAGTCCAAAACCACAAGCAAAACGGGAAAATATGTTCCTCCATTCCTCAATAACTGCAGTCACTAGCGGGATGCGAGAGCTTCCGGGCCGAGCGGCCGCCCCAGCCTGGCGTCTCACTGGACGTCCCTCCCTGCTGTTGACACCGGTGACTCAGCGCTTCCTTCATCACAGCAACCTCTGAAAACCCAGCTTCTCGAAGGTACAGCGTCCTAGCAAGGACCTCAGTGTGGTCTGAGGCTGAGCCTGGGGACCGGCTGGGGCTGCGAGTCCACATGGGACACGTGTCGTGACAGCTATGCTTCCCTGGAAAACCTGGACCATCCCAAGCTGACTAGCTGCCTCTGCCACCTGGGAGGGAACACTCCCACCCCATCCCTCTCTGACACAGCCGGACAGGGAATGAGGGAGGGACTTTGTGAGAGACAGCAGGTACCCCCATTGCAAAGGAGCTAGAACAGACTGCTTCCTCTGTTTGGGGGTTTGGCCAGGAGCAGGGTCTCTCTCTGGCCCCTCAGAGAGCCTCCTGGTCCAGTCCTTCCAGCTACTCTCATCACTTCTGAGGCTACCAGCAACCCCAGGATGGGCCCAGCTCACTCACCCTGCGGCCCCCTCGATGGCCTCCATCAGCACGAGGAAGGCTTGGTCCGCGGGGCCCTCCAGGAAGAAGCTGGCCCACAGCTCCTCCAGGCGGCCGTCGGGGAGCAGCTCCAGCCAGCCCGGGCTCAGCCTGCTGGCAAGGCATCTGAGGACCGGCGAGAAGTGGACGGAGGCAAACTCCTCCTTCTCCCCGGGGTGAGCTGGAGGCTGTGTCTCACCCAGATACCGCTTCAGGGACCCCAGGGTGCAGAAAATGTGGTCGCCATCCTCCGAAGACGAGAGGGTGTGAATGGCTTCCCGGACGGCAAGTCGGACCCTTGAGGGTGCTGGCTCCATCCTGCAGAACAGACCTGGGCGTCACGGGAAGGCGACCTGTGGCGTGGACACGGGGCTCAGCTTGGGGCAGGGAATTAATCCACACACGCTCAGGGAGCGCGCTGGGACCCCATGCCCCTCGCCCCGGGTCCCACACAACCCTGTCCCCAGCGGCTTCCTGTCCCGCCTCCTTCCCTGCAGTGCCTGACGGTTTCCACCCGGAGTTCGCTCCTCCACTGGGACCCCCACGCTACCCGCCACTGCAGGGCTTCTCAACTCGGGCCACTGTGCCCAGGGGACATTCTCCGTTGTCACAACGGGGGTGCCGCTGGCGCGAGAGGGAGGTGGAGGCCAAGGATGCCGGTGAGTGTTGCCCGGGCACAGGGCGGCCCCACGCGTCCTCGCACCAACACGGGAAACCCGGCCCACGGGAGCTGCTGGCCCTCCCGGCTCCCTGAGCGGTGACCGGTGGCTCCCGTCGCCATTCCTCTGCCCCTCAGAAACCGCGTGCGGGGGACACGGTTTGGAGGCCAGAGGACCCGCACGTGGACCCAGCCCCCGACGCCGACCTGGACCCGACCCAACCAGATCCGGAGCCCAACCCGACCCCCGACCCCCGACCCCCGACCCGACCTGGACCCGGATCCCGGGTGACTGCAGCGCGCTCAGACCCCCGTGCCACCTATTCGTTGCCGCCGATTCGCCACGGCCGCCCGCGGCCCCGAACGAAACGCGATCGCAGCCCAGCCAGGTGGCCCCGAGCACGAGTTCCTGGACCCAGGCGGAGCTGCCGCGGATTTTTTGGAGCCTCTGGGGTGGGTCCCCGCCGGCCTCTCAGCGCGAATCTGCGGAGGATGCCGGGCGACAGGGCGCATTTGCGCCTGCGCTGCGTGGAGACGGGGCGGAGCCTGGGGCGGGGCCGGCGGGCGGTGGGTGGGCGGGGCCTGGCGCGTGGGTGGGGCTTTGCGTGGGGTGGGGCCCGAGGGCGGGGCTGCCAGCCGGGTCCGGTACGCCCGGGTGGTTGGTCCTCGCGGTAGCGTCTCCCATCCCGGTCCCCTCTACCCTGGAGTGTTTTCAGCCGTCCCTTCCCTCCGCCTGGGGTCCCGCGCTCTCTCCAGAACGCCGGCCGTTCTCTACTGCAGATGTTTACCAAGACAGGCCGGTCGTCCTCCCCGAGGGCAAGGCCCTGCTTTCAAGGGTCAGAGGCCAGTGAGAGAAACGCGGGGTACACAGGGAAGTAAAGCAACGGCCGAGATCGTGTCAGATGTGAGCGAGTGCGGCCCTGTAGACGAGGCCGGGTCGTGGAATAAAGACTGCCACCAGGGCCGGGCCGGTGGCTCACGCCTGTAATCCCAGCACTTTGGGAGGCCAAGGCGGGTGGATCACCTCAGGTCGGGAGTTCGAGAGCAGCCTGGCCAACATGGTGAAACCCCCGTCTCTACTAAAAATACAAAAATTAGCTGGGCGTGGTGACGCAGGCCTGTAGTCCCAGCTACTCGGGAGGCTGAGGCAGGAGAATTGCTTGAACCAAAGAGGTAGAGGTTGCAGTGAGCCGAGATCGTGTCATTGCACTCCAGCCTGGACGACAAGAGCAAGACTTCGTCTCAAAAAAAACTGACCACGGGGTAACCGCTAGAGGCATGGGGCTCTGTAAGTTAACACCATCTCAAGGGCCACGCACTACCTGTGGCTGTGGCCGGACACTGAACATTCCAACATGCAGCGCCTGCTGTCAACCACACTGGAGTATGGGTGGGCCTTGCCTTTGGGGAGGGGGCGCCATTTCAGGAGCGGGAGATGTGGGGAAAGCTGGGAACCACTTATCCGTTTGACAAGCATCGATTAAATGCCCGCTTGGTGCAGCAAGCCCTGTGAGCAACAGAGGATGCCAAGTTCCTGCTCACGTATCGGGGACACATCAATTAATTACATACGCAATATGCCAGATGACAGGTCCCGAGCAGAAAAACTGGCAGAGTCTGGGCCCGCTGGCAATTCCTACACTGGGAAGCTAAGGTGGGAGAATCGCTTGAGCACAGAAGTTCAAGACTGGGCAAAATAGTGAAACCCTGTCTCTACACACATTTAAAAATCAGCCAGGGATAGTGTCATGTGCCTGTGGTCCCAGCTACTCGGGAGGCTGAGGTAGGAGGATGATTTGCGTGCAGGGGGTTAAGGCTGCAGCGAGCCATGTTCATTACTGCTGCCCTATAGTGTAAATAACAGAGCGAGACACTGTCTCAAAAATTCGGGGCGCGGGGGAGGAAAGAAAGGAGGCTGGGTGCGGTGGCTCATGCCTGTCGTCGCAGCACTTTGGGAGGCCGAGGTGGGCAGATCACCCGAGGTCAGGAGTTTGAGACCAGGCTGGTCAGCATGGTGAATCCCCATCTCTACTAAAAATACAAAAAAAAAAAAAAAAAAAAAAAGCTGGGCGTGCTGGCACACACCTCCAATCCCAGCTACTCGTGAGGCCGAGGCTGGAGAATTGCTTGAACCTGAGAGGCGAGATGGCGCCATTGCACTCTAGCCTGGGCAACAAGAGCGGAATTCTGGCTCAAAAAAATAATAAACAAAAATCAGTGAAAGACATGGTCAGGAGATCAAAACCATCCTGGCCAACATGGTGAAACCCCACCTCTACTAAAAATATACGGAAATTAGCTGGGTGTGCTGGCGCACGCCTGTAGTCCCACATACTTGGGAGGCTGAGGCAGGAGAATCGCTTGAACCCAGGAAGCAGAGATTGTAGTGAGCCGAGATTGCGCCATTGCACTCCAGCCTGGGCGACAATGCGAGACTCCACCTCAAAAAATAAAAATAAGTGAAAGAAAGGAAGAGCCAGCAGGGTAAGAAAATGCGAGCCATGGCCGGGCACAGCATCTCACTCCTGTAATCCCAGCACTTTGGGAGGCCGAGGCAAGCGGGTCCCAAGGTCAGGAGATTGAGACCATCATGGCCAACATAGAGAAACCCCATCTCTACTAAAAATACAAAAAAGTAGCTGGGTGTCATGGCGCACAGCTGTAGTCCCAGCTACTCGGGAGGCTGAGGCAGGAGAATCACTTGGATCTGGGAGGTGGAGGTTGCAGTGAGCCAAGATTTCGCCACTGCACTCCAGCCTGGGCAACAGAGTGAGAATCCATCTCAAAAAAAAATTAAAAGGAAATGAGAGCTTTTTGTACTTAAAAAGCACAAAAATTAGCCAGGCGTGGTGGTGCGCGCCTCTAGTCCCAGCTACTCGGGAGGCTGAGGTGGGAGAATTACTTGAACCCAGGAGACAGAGGTTGCAGTGAGCCTGGGCAACAGAGCGAGACTCCATCTCAAAAAAAAAGAAAGAGAGAGAGAGAAAGAAAGAAAAAAGGAAGGAAGGAAGGAAGGAAGGAAGGAAGGAAGGAAGGAAGGAAGGAAAGAAAGAAAGAAAACAGGCACCAGAGAGCAGTGGGTGTTATCGTAAATGAGGTGAGAGCTCTGAACAGGAGGCCCTAGAGCAGAGCCCAGCATGTGGTGATGCCCTGGGGGGAACGTCTCCCTGGCAGGAAGACCTGAGGCCACAACTGTGGCCAGGGAGGTGGAACTGAGGGAGGCTGGTTCTGACACTTGACAAGGGTAGCCGCAGTGCCACTGATGTTTCCCTGGCCTGGCGCCCTCTGGGCTCACGGAGGGGCAGGGCCTGGAGGGAGAGAGGCCGTGGCCGGGCCACACAAGGCCCCAACGGGGACTGAAGATGTTCCTCTCGTGGCAGGCAGCTCCTGGGGGCAGCAAAACTAATGAATGAATGAATGAATGAATTTAGGTGGTTTCCTGTCGCATTTCCATTGCCTTACCAAGAGAGAGATGGAGCCTCCCAGGTCGCAGCCGTGCATGGCCTGAGTGACAGATGCCCATGCAGACCTGGCTCTGTTGGCTCCCCGCACGGCCTGAGTGGCAGATGCCCGTGCAGACCTGGCCCTGTCGGCTCCACGCACGGCCTGAGTGCCAGATGCCCGTGCAGACCTGGCCCTGTCGGCTCCCCGCACGGCCTGAGTGGCAGATGCCCGTGCAGACCTGGCCCTGTCGGCTCCCCGCACGGCCTGAGTGGCAGATGCCCGTGCAGACCTGGCCCTGTCGGCTCCCCGCACGGGCTGAGTGGCAGATGCCCGTGCAGACCTGGCTCTGTCGGCTCCCCGCGCGGCCTGAGTGGCAGATGCCCGTGCAGACCTGGCTCTGTTGGCTCCCCAGCCCCAGTGCGTTCCCGTCCTGCTTCGACTTCTCGCGAGCACCAGTCCCTGTGCTCCTGGTGAAACCATCACCTCCCGTCTGCTTTGGAGCCAACTGGACGAGGGCTTGCACCCAACTGAACGATTCTCCAAATAAACTGTTTGCATCTGTTTGAAGATTGTCTCCTTGGGAACCTGCGATTCTCAGAGCCCACTGGCTTGAAGGCAGATGCCTTTCATGGAGGCGACAGGCAGAACCTGATGTCCAGCCAGGGCCAGACAAGGAAAAACGCTCAGCAGGAGAGCTGGGAGGAGCGTGGGATGAGACAGACACACGGAGCCACCTCCACCCTCTCCCGCGGCCAGGAGGGAGACTGTGGGGCCTCGCCGTCCCTCCGGATGGGTTGCGTGTGGAGGAAGACCTTGTCCTTCTTCCTTGTTTTTGTGCCCATATACCTACATGGGGCTTCGTTGCAGGAAGCTGCCCCAGCGGGGCCAAGGAAACCCTTTTTTGAGAGGCTCCGTAGACTGGAGGAGCAGGCAAGTATACCCCTGATGTGGGGTGGTCGGTGTTTTAAATTGGCAACGTGAAAGGCGGCTGCTACAGAAGCAGAGCGGTAAGCTCCGGGCTTGGTGGTGTTCCTTCCATAGTGAAGAGTTCACCTGTAGCTGGACCCAGTGGAGGGGTGTGCCGGGCTCCACTCACACCAGACACAGGCCTCATAATGTGGGGGTGGGTCAGGTGGGGCCAGAGGCTAGAAGGGGGTCTGGAAGGGAGTCGGGGGAGTTGAGGGCCATGGGGGCCGGGCTGTGTCATGGGGAGTGGCAGCTGAGAGGTCACGGGTCCACCTTGAGACAGAGGGTGTGGTGGACAGCCTCCCGGACTCCCACGCCGGGTCGACGGACCATTCTGGAGCGCTCTGGCCTGTCGTACCTACGCTGGGTGCTTCCTCTTAAAGCACTCCTGAGGCCACCCTGCTGTCCCCACTCACAGGCAGGAACTGGGGTTCCAGGGGGAGTGACTTGCTGGTGGCTGTGGGGGCTGGGGCAGGGGTCAGAGCCCCGGCTGTGGGCCTGCAGTCCACACCCCACGTGGGGTTGGTCCGTGGCATGCTCCACATCTCACCGCATCACAGTGGGATCAAGTCGGTGGGCGGATAGCCAGTGCCCACCACAGGCCTGGCATGCGGGCCGTGCTCCCAACATGAGGGGCCAGGTCTTCCCGGCCTGCCCCGGCCCGTCACTGCCGCGTCCTCGTTACAGTTCCGGAGACTCCAGGAAGTGACCCTGACGCACCTGCAGAGCGTCGCCAGCAACTACAACGTGTCCTACAACGTGGACGTCCGGTTCCGGAGCCTGGCGGAGGAGAGCCAGGCCGTGGCTCAGGCGGTCAACCGGTCGCAGGCCGCGGTGCAGGAGGAGCTGGCGCAGCTCAGGGCCTGGGTGAGGAAGGCATGGCGCCGAGGCCGGAAGGTAGACACGAGGCTGCGGGCCCTGGGCGAGAGCAGCCGGCAGCAGGCCCGGGAGAGGAAGGAGCACAAGGCCCAGAGGGACGCCCTGCAGGACTCGCTGGCCCGCCTGGAGGGCCTTGTCCACAGCCAGGGCGCCAGGCTGGCAGCTCTGGAGGGGCGGCTGCCCGTGATTCACCCCGGCACTGCAACCCTGGGACCGGCCCTGGTCCCAGCCCCAACCCAGCCTGAGCAGCTGAGCCTGAGCTCCCTGAAGCTTCAGAGGGACAGGCAGGAGCTCCCAGCCGCATCTGAGCAGGACTCCTCTGCCCCTCTCCAGGGGACAGGGGAGCCCACAGCCCCAGGCAGCCATCGGGCACTCAGCGGGGCTGCCACAGCTCTGAGAGGCCCCCCGCAGCAGGCACAGGCCCCCCAGGGACCAGGAGACAGTAAGTACCGCAGGCCCCCCTCAGCGGCCAGGCTTCCCTCCAGCTCCACCTTAGACCAGGCCCCCTGGAAAAGGCTTCTCAGAAGGGATGGAGTTAGGGGCCTGGAAACAGGGAGAGGATCTGGGATCATGCGGTGGGTCCGCGGTTATCATGGGGTCCTTATAAGGGGAGGTAGGAGGGACAGAGTAGAGGAGGACTTGAGGACGGAGGCAGAGGTGGCAGGATGCACAGACGGGGCCCCACACTGAGGGGTGGAGGCACCCCTGGAAGCTGGAAAGGGCGGGAGATGGCTTCTCCTGGAGCCTCCAGAGGAACCAGCCCTGCCCACAGCCAATTTGGGCCCTGGGAGACCACACTGGGCCTGTGACCTCCGGAAATGTGAAATACTAAACCTGCGCCGTGTGAGTCATGAAATTTGCGTGCAGAGACTTGCTGGCAGTGAGGGGTGCTGGCTCAGCTGTGTGGGCTGACAGCTGGGGCTCCCAGCGGGACCCCACACTCCCTAACGGCCCTCATGCTTACTCTCCCACCTGTGGAATTGGGGTGATCCCATCGAGAGGGCGTAGGAGACGCGGCAGGGGAGCCGTCGGCCAGGCCAGCGCGGCAGAGTCAGTGCCCCATGAAGCGTGGCTGCCGGGAGTGGGGGCCGCAGCGCCGGCAGTGGGACGGCATCCACACAGCATGCGGGCTTCTGGACACTTCTGCACGGCCTCCTGCACAGGGCTGACCCTCCCTCCTCTGTTCCTAGCTTGCAGCGTGGGCCCCGCCCTGGCTTTCCCCAATGCCTCCACGGAGAACGTGGTCTTCCTCAGACCCAGCTTCGTCTCTGCCCTGCGAGCCCTGTCCTTCTGCAGCTGGGTCCGCACCGCCTCCGGACACCTGGGCACCCTCCTGTCCTACGCCACCGAGGACAATGACAACAAGCTGGTGCTGCACGGCCGAGACTCCATGCTGCCTGGCTCCATCCACTTCGTGATCGGAGACCCGGCCTTCAGGGAGCTGCCCCTGCAGCCGCTGCTGGACGGCCGGTGGCACCACGTCTGTGTCATCTGGACATCCACCCAGGGCAGGTACTGGCTCCACGTGGATCGCAGGCTGGTGGCCACTGGCTCCCGCTTCAGGGAGGGCTATGAGATCCCTCCCGGAGGGTCCCTCGTGCTGGGCCAGGAGCAAGACAGCGTTGGGGGAGGGTTTGATAGCTCTGAGGCCTTCGTGGGGAGCATGGCTGGCTTGGGCATCTGGGATCGGGCACTGGTTCCCGGGGAAGTGGCAAACCTTGCCACTGGGAAAGAGTTCCCGGCAGGTGCCATCCTGACGCTGGCCAATGCTGCATCGGCAGGCGAATTCATGCAGAGGACCAGCTGCACCTGCCCGGAGCGCTGTCCGTGAGGCCACGCTGCACAGGGCTGTGGCCAGCAATTGGAGCATGCCCCTGTCCACGTTCCACCAGCCCCGCTCAGCACATTCCTCAAAGGCCACCCAAACCCGTCCTGCTGTGCACACCTGCGCCCTCACATAGCAGCGCCTCTTCCCTCCTGGGCGGTGGGGGGGAGGTGGACAGAGAAACAGCAAGCAGGGACAGAGAGAGCCTGGGGTCGGGGGGTCCACAAGGCCATGTTCTTTCCATCAGCACAGTGTTCTTTTCTTACCCCTCTGCACTTCCTTTCTTCCTTTCTTTCTTTCTTTTTCTTTTTCTTTTCTCTTTTTTTTTTTTTTTTGAGACAAAGTCTTCCCTGACTCCCAGGCTGGAGTGCAATGGCGTGATCTTGGCTCACTGCAACCTCTGCCTCCGGGATTCAAACAATTCTCCTGCCTCAGCCTCCCACGTAGCTGGGATTACAGGCACATGCCACCATGCCCTGCTGATTCTTGTATTTTTAGTAAAGATGGGGTTTCAGCATGTTGGCCAGGCTGGTCTTGAACCCCTGACCTCAAGTGATCCGCCTGCCTCAGCCTCCCAAAGTGCTGGGATTACAGCATGAGCCACCACACCCGGCCCCTTCATTTCTCCCTTCCTTTCCTTTCCTCTCCTTCCTTCTTCTTCTTTCTCTCTTTCTCTCTCTTTCTTTCTGATACGATCTTACGCTGTCACCAGGCTAGAGTGCAGTGGCACAGTCAGAGTTCACTGCAGCCTCAACCTCCCTGGCTCAGCTGATCCTCCCACATCAGCCTCCTGAGTGGCTGGGACTATGGGCACACACTCCCACACCTGGCTGAAAAATTTTTCTTTTTCTTTTTTTTTTTATTTCCCCGAGATGGGGACTCATTCTATCTCCAGGCTGGAGTCCAGTGACACAATCTCAGCTCACTGCAACCTCTACCTTTCAGGATAAAGCGATTTTCCTGCCTCGGCCTCCCGAGTAGCTGGGACTACAGGTGCACACCACCATGCCCAGCTAATTTTTGTATATTTTGTAGAGATGGGGTTTTGCCATGTTGGTCAGGCTGGTCTCCAACTCGTGACTTCAAGTGATCCACCTGCCCTGGTCTCCCAAAGTGCTGGGATTACAGGCGTGAGCCACTGTGCCCGGCCCAGGCAAGACTTTTTAAACAACTTTATTGGCTTGGCATGGAGGCTCGCGCCTGTAATCCAAGCACTTTGAGAGGCTGAGGTGGGTGGATTGCTTGAGTCCAGGAGTTTGAGACCAGTCTGGTGAACACGGTGAAACCCTGTCCCCACTAAAAACAAAAACAAAAAATTAGCCAGGCATGGTGGTGTGTCCCTGCAGTCGCGGCTTCTTGAGAGGCTGAGGTGGGAGAATCGCTTGAGCCTGGGAGGCTGAGGCTACCGTGAGCTGAGATTGCACCACTGCACTCCAGCCCGGGCAACCGGAGTGAGACCCTGCCTCAAAAAACAAAGCATCCTGGGCACAGTGGCTCACGCTTATAATCCCAGCACTCTGGGAGGCCGAGGCTGGTGGATCACCTGAGGTCAGGAGTTCGAGATCAGCCTGGATAACATGGTGAAACCCAGTTTCTACTAAGAATAAAAAAAAAAAAAAAATTTAGCCAGGCATGGTGCTGCGTGCCTATAACCCCAGCCACTCGGGAGGCTGAGGCAGGAGAATCGCCTGAACCCGGGAGGTGGAGGTTGCAGTGAGCTGAGATCGCGCCACTGCACTCCAGCCTGGGCAACAAGATCAAAACTCCTTCTCAGAAAAAAAGCAAAACAAAACCTTATTGAGGAAAACTTACATATGATAAAATTCACCCGTTTTAAGCACATAGTTCAAAGGTTTGCAGTGAGTTCATCTAGTTGTGCAACCGTCATCGCAACCGCGTTTTAGGACATTTCTGTTCCCTTCCCAAAAACTTGTGTCTGTTGCAATCACTCCTGCCCTTCCCCCCCCCCCCCCGACGCCCTCCCCAGCCTCTGGCGGCCACACATCTGTTTTCTGCATCCGTGGATTTGCCGGTCTGGACGTTGCATCTAAACCAAACAGTAATCGTCCGTGTGTGTCTCGCTTCTTCCAATTAGCACAAGGTTTTTGTGGGACGCAGAAAAGCTCCTTTTCAAAGTTTCGTTTCTTGTTAAAGGGTAAGTGTGCTGGTGGCTCTTTGTTCAACCCTGTCCTACGCAGCTGTTAGACACGCCATGCTCACAGGCACGTAGGACGTCCTGTGTCCTTGTATTTTAACCAGGACATCTGTACTGGACGTGCTCACAGGCCTGTCCCAGCTCTCCACTGCTTTTATCTGTTTAGAAAAGTGTTAAGTTGTTAGCCAATTTCGAGTTTCAGTTTAGATTGTGAGGTCTGGCTCCAGCCAACGGAGATCAGACACAGCAGAAAGGACGACCCCAAAAGCACAAGGGATAAATGTGTCTGTTTTCTTTTGTTCACTGTACTCTCGTGGCAAGATGGCCAGTGCGGGTCCCCTTCCTGCAGTCCAGGAAGTGAAACTGCGTTGCTGAAAGATCGTCTGTCTCAGTGCTGGTTTTTCTTGAGGCACCGAGCATCTGTTTCCCACGGTGTTCAAGCTTCGTCCCCGCTGAGGTGTGTGTCACTGTTTCACTTGCACTGGTGTCGGGCGTCACGTTGTACGATGGACGCGTGTGGTTTATCCACTCGCCCGCGGGCGGACATCTGGGTGCTCGCAGTGGGGTTACTGTGGATAAAGTTGCTCTGAGCACTCTCATGAGAGTCTTTGTGTGGGCGTTTGTTTTCTCAGGTGGATACCTAGGAGTAGAATTGCTGGTCATATGGTAAATTCATGTCTAGGCTTTCAAAAAACACTGCCCACCTATTTTCCAAAGTTGCTGTATCTTTTTTTTTTTTTTTTTTTTTGAGATGGAATCTCACTCTGTTGTGAGGCTGGAGTGCAGTGGCACCAGCTCAGCTCACTGCAACCCCCACTTCAGGGGTTCAAGCAACTCTCCTGCCTCAGCCTCCTGAGTAGCTGGGACTACAGGCACGCACCACCTTGCCTGGATAATTTTTTGCATTTTTTTTTTAGTAGAGATGGGGTTTCACCATATTAGCCAAGATGGTCTCAACCTTGTGACCTCGTGATCCACCCACCTCGGCCTCCCAAAGTGCTGGGACTGCAGACGTGAGCCACCACGCCTGGCCTGCTGTATCATTTTTCATTCCCACCAGCAATCTATGCAGGTTCCCGTGTCTCCACATTCTTGTCCACATTGGTTTTGTCTGTCTTTTGACAGAGTCTCACTCTTATTGCCCAGGCTGGGGTGCAATGGTGCAATCTCGGCTCACTGCAACCTCCGCCTCCCGAGTTCAAGCAATTCTCCTGCCTCGGCCTCCCAAGTAGCTGGGATTCCAGGCGCGCAACACCATGCCTGGCTGATTTTTTGTATTTTTAGTAGAGATGGGGTTTTACCAGGTTGGCCAGGCTGGTTTTGAACTCCTGACCTCAGGTGATCCACCAGCCTCAGCCTCCCAAAGTGCTGCGATTACAAGCATGAGCCACCAGGCCCAGCCTGTCTCCCTTTTGGATGACTTTTGTAAATTTTTTTTTCAATTCTTTTCTCTGAGACGGAGTTTCGCTCTTGTTACCCAGGCTGGAGTGCAATGGCGCGATCTCGGCTCACCGCAACCTCCGCCTCCTGGGTTCAGGCAATTCTCCTGCCTCAGCCTCCCAAGTAGCTGGGATTACAGGCACACGCCACCATGCCCAGCTAATTTTTTGTATTTTTAGTAGGGACGGGGTTTCACCATGTTGACCAGGATGGTCTCGATCTGTTGACCTCATGATCCACCCGTCTCGGCCTCCCAAAGTGCTGGGATTACAGGCACGAGCCACCATGCCCAGCTAATTTTTTTTTTTTTTTTTTGTATTTTTAGTAGAGATGGGGTTTCACTGTAGGGCACGTTGGGAGCCAGATATAGGGCTGAGGGCCCCACAAGGTTGTGGGGTGTCCCTTATGCTGTGCTGAGGCGCAGGGTCCGAGAAATAAAGAGACAGGACACAGAAGTACAAGGAAAATGCAGCTGGGCTCGGGGGGCCACGCCACCTATGAGCAGAGTCAGGCGAGGCCCCAAATGTCCAGAAGCATGAGTATTTATTGTGTATAGGTTACTGGGCAGGGCAGTGAATGAAGTCATCTTTAAGGACAGTGATAGGGTCGTGGGCAATAAAACATGGGGTCCGCCCTCATTAGGTCACCGAGGCCAGGAGGTGGACAGTGCGCAGCAAGGGGCCCGTTCCCACGAAGACAAGGGCCGTGCGCAGTAAGGGGTCCACCCCCATTAGGTCACCGAGGCTTGAAGGTGGGCCGTGCGCAGTGAAGAGGGTGCAGTGCGCAATACCTCTATCTATGGGCAAACTACTCCTAAGTAGATCTATAGGAGGATGCTTTAGGTCACACAGCAGTGACAGAGCTGTCAGGGTTACCGCCCCCTGCTGGCAGCTTCCAGTGGGTTCTATGGGAAGATGCTTTTCGAGCAGCACAGCAGCAAGAGCTGATAAAGTTCACAGTCACAAGGTGGATTGCCGGTCTGAGGGCAGCCTTCACCAAGAACTGGAGCAGGGTCCTACAGCTCCTTTGTCAGGAGGAGTGGCTCTCGCCCCAAGCCCGCCATACAGCGGGTATCTTTATGATTCTGAACGCTGCCGCCTGGGCCATGGGTTCTTGTCCTGGTGTAACTGTTTTCCCTTAAATCATGCTCTGCACTGTGTCTGCTCCAGACATTCCTCCGACTGTAAGTGGCTTATTCCTTAATCCGTGCTCTGTACCGTGTCCACTCTAGGCATTCCTCTGATTATGAACTGAGATATAACTATATGTAGGGAAATATTCTTTAGGCACTCAAACCATCAACTATTAGATGATCACATGTAGAGGATTATATAAAGGGATCCTTCAAGCCCTAACTCTATAAACTAACATATGATTGTATAAAGGATGTAAAAGGAAATTGCTAGGTAGTAACACTATAAAGTGAGCTATTCCTCAAGCCCTAACTGTGCCAGGGTTCTGCTTAGTTCTCATTCCTCGGTGCCTGTATGGGGGGTTACCCACATTTCACCATGTTGACCAGGATGGTCTTGATCTCTTGGCCTCGTGATCCACCCACTTCGGCCTCCCAAAGTGCTGGGATTACAGGCATGAGCCACCGCGCCCAGCCCATTGTTTTCAGTTCTTAATCATGGAGGGTAAAAAACATCACTTGTATTGACCATTTGAACACACATGTATCTGATGTACATTGATCATGACGTTGGAGATTCCCAGGAAAAACCCAAACACAAGACCTCCAAGAATCAGAGTCAACTGGTGCAGACAGGAGAAAGGGGCGTGGGGTGGGGTAGTCACAGCGAGGGGCCCAAAACCACTGACCAGGAGAACAGGCCTGGTTCTCAGAATTCACCAGTCCCTCCCGTTCTCCCTCTTCCTATCTGAAAAGGGAGGAGGCCAAGGAGAGAGTCCCACGGCCTTCACTCGCAGATCCACGAGGGGCCCGAGACCCTTCTCTGCCCAGCATTGGGTGGTTTCAGCCCTGCAGGTGCCTGGGCCCTGCCCGGCTGGCCCCTGGGGAAGGGACCCTCAATCAGTCCCTTGAGTCTCCTAGCAACGTCTCTGCAATGTCTGCCTGTGGACCCAGCATTTCCTGGCCTTCAGGTCAAGATCAGCCCGGCCCACCTTCCCCAACACCCCCTGTGCGTGAGTCAAGGTCGGAGACGGCATTTTGGAGCTGGAAAGCCCGAGGCCCCGGTGTGACCGCTCCCTGAGTCACCCGCTGAGTTCCGCTTCTGCACAGTGGCGTCTAGCCCCAGGGACAGCAGCTCCTTCCCGACGGCTTCCTTTCCCCAGCCTCCTCTGCTGTCCCTGCCTTTGCGGAGGGAGCCACAGAACGTCATTTTGGGAAAGATTGGTCATTGGGGTCATGAATACTGCTTCTGACAGCGATGTCCTTAGAACAGCTGTTTTGCCCGAGGTCCCAAGGAGATGAACTGGGGCAGGGCTTTGAGGCAAAGGTTCTAGGGACGCCCCCAGAAGGGAGTGGAGGCAGGGCGAGCAGAGGCGGGGCGAGACGGGAGCTTCCAGGACCTGGAGGCCCAGCCCCTCCCCAGCTTGCCCATGCTTCCAGCACCCTGGGGGACCAAGATGATTTGGGGGCTGTGAGGGAGCTTGGGGAATGTGGGGATTTGGGGTGAACGGGACTCAGGAAGCCCGTCCAGGGTTTGGAGCAGGGGGTCTGGGCATCCATGTCACGTGGCTCACAAACCCCCCTGGGAGCAGCAGCAAAGCAGAATCACACCCATGCATTTTGAGGTGTGGACCACAAATGGCCACCGAATCCCACCTTTCACCAATTCTGTTACATTTCTGGGTGGGAGGACAAATCCACACAAAACACAGCAAAAGAAAACCCACAGAGGCCCTCATCTTGCTGGGGAGGTCAGGTCCTGATAAGGAGTCCCTCCCCCACGCCATCCCCACCATGACCCCTTCCTCCCAAGCTCTGCTCTCGTGGGTTCTGCAAACAGTCCCACCACGCCCCGCCCCGGCACTCTGCTCAGCTCTCTGCCCACCTGGGTGTCTTCCTCCAAACCCTCCTCATCCCACGAGACCCAAGCCCATCCATTCAATTCAATCAATAACGTGCTGCACTCCTACCGCGTCAGGAGGCACGGTGCCTGCCTCCGAGGAAGCCAGGGAGGGGCCTGCCCCACCTCTGAACCCCCCGCCCCACCCTGGGAGACTTGCCGTTAGCCCCTGACTCAAATCATTTGAAAGCAAGTCTAACCCAGGTTTGACTCCTGCCTGCTTACGGGAGCCTTGGAAAAGCCAGCTTCATTCTCATCCTTTTTTTGGGGGGGGACTGAGTTTCTATCTTGTCACCCAGGCTGGAGTGCAATGGCATGACCTCGGCTCACCGCAACCTCCGCCTTCCGGGTTCAAGCAATCCTTCTGCCTCAGCCTCCCGAGTAGCTGGGACTACAGGCAAGCGCCACCATGCCCAGCTAATTTTCTTTTATTTTTTTTTTTGGAGAGATGGGGTTTCACCATGTTGGCCAGGATGGTCTCAATCTCTTGACCTCGTGATCCGCCCGCCTCAGCCTCCCAAAGTGCTGGGATTACAGGCGTGAGCCACCGCGCCTGGCCATTTTTTTTTTTTTTTTTTTTTTTTTTAGTAGAGATGGGGTTTCTCCATGTTGGTCAAACTGGTCTCAAACTCCCGACCTCAGGTGATCCGCCACCGCAGCCTCCCAAAGTGCTGGGATTACAGGCGTGAGCCACTGCGCCTGGCCTTCATTCTCGTCTGTAATGCTCTTGCGTATGACACAGGGGTGCAATGACCTTGTCACCATCCCTTAAAAGGGCAAAGGCGTCCTGGCATGGTGGCTCATGCCTGTGATCCCAGCACTTTGGGAGGCTGAGGCCGGCAGATCACTTGAGGTCAGGCGTTCAAAACCAGCCTGGCCAACATGGTGAAGCCCTGTCACTACTAAAAATACAAAAAATTAGCCAGGCATGGTGGCGGGCGCCTATAATCCCAGACACTTGGCTGAGGTGGGAGAAATTTGAACCCAGGAGGTGGAGGCTGCAGTGAGCCGAGATTGTGCCACTGCACTCCAACCTGGGTGACAGAGTGAGACGCCATCTAAACAAGAAAACAACGGGCAAAGCCAGGGCACGCCCCTGAGAAAAACGCCTTTTTTCAGAGAATGTTGTTGATGGTATGTCAGAAGTCTTGCAGAGTAATCACGGGGAAATGCAAAACCCTGTTAGATTTCCTCCTTATTGTGGGCTTAGTTTTGGTTTTATTTTGAATGATACCGGGGAGGGACGGCTCCATTATCTTCTCAGCTTTAGAGGCTCTAAGGAACTTTTCTTTTTTTTTTGTTTTTGAGACGGAGTTTCGCTCTTGTTGCCCAGGCTGGAGTGCAATGGCTCGATCTCGGCTCACGGCAACCTCCGCCTCCTGGGTTCAGGCAATTCTCCTGCCTCAGCCTCCCGAGTAGCTGGGATTACAGGCACGCGCCACCGTGCCCGAAGTGCTGGGATTACAGGCGTGAGCCACCGTGCCCGGCCCGCTCTGAGGAACTTTTAAACTCTTTTAATTTGGAAAAATTTCAAGCTTGAAAAAGTTGCAGACAAATACACTGCACATCCTATGGATTTATTCCGGAGTCTTCAAGTGTCAGCTGCATTTATTTATTCTTAAACTGTTATTTTAGGCTCGGGGTACATGCGCAGGTTTGTTATGAGGGTAAACTGATGTCACGGGGGTTTGCTGTACACATTACTTCCTCACTCAGGCGTTAAGCCGAGTGCCTGGTAGTTATTTTGTTCGGTGTTGTTTTTGAGATGGAGCCTCGCTCTGTCTCCCAGGCTGAAGTGCAGTGGCATGATCCCAACCCACCGCAACCTCTGCTTCCCGGGTTCAAGTGATTCTCGTGCCTCAGTATCCCAAGTAGCTGGGATTACAGGCGCCCGCCACCACACCTGGCTAATTTTTGTATTTTTAGTAGAGATGGGGTTTCACTGTTGGCCAGACTGGTCTCGAACTTCTGACCTCAAGTAATCTACCTGCCTTGGCCTCCCAAAGTGCTGGGATCACAGGCGTGAGCCACCGGCCCGGCCTGCATGTCTTTTAACGATAGAACGATTCACATTCCTTTGGGCATGTGCCCAGTAAGGGGATTGCTGGATCAAATGTTAGTTTAGCTGTCAACACTCAAAGTATGAATTTTAAACAGGTTACTGGGGGTTCATATCCATCCGCTTGTTCACATTTAGCACTGGTCTCATTGCCAGCAGCTTCTCCAGGACAGTGACCTTCCCCACGAAGCTGGAGTTTTCCCAACACAAGTTGGGGCTTCTCCTGCATAGCCCCTCCCCTCCCCCTTCCCCCCTCCCTCCCTCCCTCCCTCCGTCCTTTCTCTCTCTCTCTCTTTCTTTTTGACAGAGTCTCACTCTGTCGCCAGGCTGGAGTGCAGTGGTGCCATCTCAGCTCACTGCAACCTCCACCTCCTCGGTTCAACTGATTCTTCTGCCTCAGCCTCCTGAGTAGCTGGGACTACAGGTGCACCACTAAGTCCAGCTAATTTTTTTTTTTTTTTTTTTGTATTTTTAGTAGATTCAGGGTTTCACCATGTTGGCCAGGATGGTCTCCATCTCTTGATGTCCTGATCCACCTGCCTCAGCCTCCCGAAGTGCCAGAGTGCTGGGATGACAGGCGTGAGCCACCATGCCCGAAGTGCTGGGATGACAGGCGTGAGCCATCGTGCCCGAAGTGCTGGGATGACAGGCGTGAGCCACCGCGCCTGGCCAGCATTTTGACTTTTCTAAGGAAGACGTCCTGGACAGGATCGCTGGAGAGACTAGGGAGCCTTCTCTGTGTGTCTCCAGTGCTGTCTGCCACCAACGTACGGACTTCTTTTGAGTAATTTGTCTGCGCTTCTTGAGCCATGAGTTCCACCATCCTTTCCAGATTGGCAGGCCTGCCTGTAAGAGGCCCTCCCCTTCTGCTCCCTGCACTGCTTTCAGGAAACCAACACAGAACAGATGAGGAAGTGACCCTCTGTGGTTCTGAGCTTCCATTGTGGTCTGACTCTTTTTTTTTTTTGGTCACAGGTAAGGTTCACGCCATGAAAGCTGGTCAGGCTGTTTTTGTACCAAACATCCTCAGTAATCAGTTTGAATTTTCCCAGGGCCGGGCGTGGTGGCTCACGCCTGTAATCCAAGCACTTTGGAGGCCAAGGCGGGCGGATCGCCTGAGGTCGGGAGTTCAGGGTCAGGAGTTCAAGATTTTCCCACCGCAGCCTCCTCACTCTGCAGATCAGCAGAACTCACTTCAAAGACCTGGCTCTTGAGGCCACAAGGTGCAGTTTCGGCTCCTTGCATCCCTGTGCTTGGTGTTTTCCATACTTCCTTTTTTTTTTAAGAGACAAGGTTTCACCGTGTTGGCCAGGATGGTCTCGATCTCCTGACCTCATGATCCGCATGCCTCAGCCTCCCAAAGTGCTGGGATTACAGGCGTGAGCCACCGCGCCTGGCTGTGTTTTCTATACTTCTATGCCAAGCGCAGCTGACACCTTCGCCTCATGCCAACCCCTCTCAGACAATGGACCAACCTTTCTTCCTGGCTCCTGTGGGAAGCAGAAAAGCTCCTCTTCAAAGTTTCCTTTCTTGTTTAAGAAAAATTCTTAAGTGTTAGAAATAATGGTTTGTTTTAAACACTTTCTTCAAAAGCCTTCTTGTCTTTTTGCTAGAGGCCCTCTCCTATGCAGCTGTTAGACACGCCATGCTTACAGGCACGGGGTACGTTCTATGCACTTTAACCCCCTGAGCCACCGAGCCCGGCCAAAATATCAACCTTTTAAAGGGAAGAGGCTGAGGTACAAACTATAATTTAAAGCGTTTCACTCCTCTGGAGGCCAAGGTGGAGGAGGGATCATTGGAGGCCAGGAGTTCGAGAACAGCCTGGGCAGCACAGTCACAGCTCCACACGGCTCGAGTCCAGGACGTGAAGGCTGCACTGAGCAGTGACCGCACCACCACCCTCCAGCCTGGGCGACAGAGCGAGACCCTGTTTCAAAATAAACAAGGTGGGGACGGGGTGTGGGCTGATGTCAAGTCGTCACGAACTCTCTCTGCTTTACGGAAATGCCACTGACTGGCCACGGGCCGCGCACTGTGCGGGTACGAGGTCCGCGCGGCGTTATCTGGTGAATTCAAACCGCGGTTTCCCGAGGGGACCCCAGCCCCGGGAGGGCAGGGCGCGGCTGCTGTCTCCCCAACTATCTCTGGGGGCCTGATCGGGGACGACCACTCGCCTTCCGTGGGAGAGGCGGGCAGGACCCGAGGCTGCCCGCAGTAAGTGCCCGCTGCCTGCGCGACCGTGAGGCCTGCCTGGGACCGTCTCATTTCATCCTTCCGGTCTTCAGCGGCCGCCCACGGCGAGGCCGGGTCTGGCCTCCGCCTGCCTCCCTCCTCCCTTCCCCAGGCCCCTCCAGCCCCGGGGCGTCTCCCTCGGCCCCACTCCCGGGCGTGGGGTCCCTGAGGTGGCCATTGGCCTCCCAAGAATTCGGCGCCGCCTTTGCGGTCGCGCGTGCAGAACCGGGTCCTCCCGGCCCCGCCGATTCTCTCGGGGGGGCGGGGTGGGGGGGGCGGTGCCACGACCTGCGGAGAGCGCGGCTCCCAGGAGCCCCCGCGGGCCGGGCCCTCGGCGGCCGCCGTCGTGCGTCACGTAATGGCCGTCGCTCGTCACGTGGTCGCCGTCGTGCGTCACGTAATGGCCGTCGCTCGTCACGTGGTCGCCGTCGTGCGTCACGTGGCTGCCATAGCCTGTCACGTGGCCGCCGGCTCAGGTCACGAGAACAAACACGGGGGCGGCCGTCACTTCCCGGCCGGTGTCGCTCGGCGGCGGGCCATGGCCAACGTCTCTAAGAAGGTGTCGTGGTCCGGCCGGGACCGGGACGACGAGGAGGCGGCGCCGTTGCTGCGGAGGACGGCGCGGCCCGGCGCGGGGACGCCGCTGCTGAACGGGGCCGGGCCTGGGGCCGCGCGCCAGGTGAGTTCGGGCAGGGCGCGAGCGGGGAAACTGAGCCCTCGCGCGCCCCGCAGCCCACACCCTCGTCAGCCTTCTGGCGGCGCCGCGTGTCCCGGTCCTGGAGGCGACCGAGGCGCGGTGGACCTCTGAGGAACGCGCCCCGGGGCTCCTCGGCGGGGCCGGGCTGACAGGGTGGGGGGCCTGGGGTCCGGAGTCTTCAGAGGCAGCGCCGGGCGCGGAGGCCTGGAGGGCTGGGGGAGCGGGCGGAGCCGGCTGGACCCCGCGGAATGAGGGGCGCCGGGGCAGCTGTGAGGCACGTCCATTCCCCTTTGGTGTCCCCTAGAGTGCCGTTAAAGGGGTACATATGGCTTTCTGTTCAGGCGACATTTTTTGGGGGGGGGATGGAGTCTCCCTCTGTCGCCCAGGCTGGAGTGCAGTGGCGCGATGTCTGCCCGCTGCGACCTCCGCCTCCCGGGTTCAGCTGTTCTCCCGCCTCAGCCTCCTGAGCAGCTGGGACTACAGGCTACGCCACCACGCCCGGCTAATTTTTTTGTATTTTTAGTAGAGTAGGGGTTTCACCCTGTTAGACAGGATGGTCTCGAACTCCTGACCTCGTGATCCGCCCGCCTGGGCCTCCCGAAGTGCTGGGATTACAGGGGTGAGCCACCTCGCCCGGCCTCAGACGATTTTTTAAAATTGTCCTACTACAGGAGCAACTAATTTCACTTGATTATCTTTGACCCCCTGGGAGATGGTCACAGTTAAGATCGCAGCCGGTCCTCTTTCAGTGAGGATGACTGGGCGCCTTTATCTGCCGTCTTTCTGTGTGGCGATCAGTCCCGACTTTCAGGTCATTCTGGGCGTGACAAGTATTTGTACTCAGTCTCCCTCGGCTCCGAATTGAATTTGGAATGTGCAGGCAAACACGAGCTGCAAGTCGGAGGTGGGAATGCGTTCCGCATGTCACCCTGCAGTTTGCGTCTAGACAGCGTTAAGGTCAATTACATGTGTTTCGCTGGCTATGTGTTGCGTTAGTTTTGAGCTAATGAGCCGTTTTGTCAGTGTATTGGTTTTACTCTGCTTTGCAGTCATTCTTCACCTTTTCTCCTGTCTAGAGTTCTTTAAACACTTGTCTTGTGCTTAAAGGTTAGGAAGGGTTCCAAAATCAGGCTGTTTCCATAGAACTTACATTTAGGTTTTCCCAGTTCCTTAGAAGTGCACCAATGAAGGTCAAAGTGTGTTTTTTGCTGATAGGAAGCAGGAGCCCAGCTCCCTTTGAAGTGGGATCTTCTGCTCTTCCTGCTGTAATCTGCATGAAAAGTGACCTGAAGGGATTAATTTGAAGTGGGGCCATGGGTGATTAGGGATGTGTGTGTGTGTGTGTGTGTGCGCGCGTGCCTGTTTCTTTTTCTTTCTTTATTTTTTTGAGATGGAGTCTTGCTTTGTTGCCAGGCTGGAGTGCAATGGTGCGATCTGGGCTCACTGCAATCTCTGCCTCCCAGGTTCAAGCGTTTATCCTGCCTCAGCCTCTGGAATAGCTGGGATTACAGGCACGCACCACCACAGTCCAGCTATTTTTGTATTTTTAGTAGAGACGGGGTTTCACCGTGTTGGCCAGGAAGGTCTTGATCTCTTGTCCTTGTGATCTGCCCACCTCGGCCTCCCAAAGTGCTGGGATTACAGGCATGAGCTACTGTGCCCGGCTTCTGTTTCTGTATTAAAATAAAGCAAGGCCAGGTGCAGTGGCTCATTTCAGTAATCCCAGCACTTTGGGAGGCCGAGCCTGGGGGAGGATCACTGAGCCCAGAAGTTCAAGACCAGCCTGGGCAAAATGGTAAAACCCTGTCTCTAAAGAAAAGAAAGAACAAAATTAGCCAGGTGTGGTGATGTGCACCCGTAGTCCCGGCTGAGTTGAGATGGTGAGTGGAAGAGTAGCTTGAGCTCAGGAGGTCAAAGCTGTGATGAGCCACCATTTTTTTGAGGTAGGGTCTCACTTTTGCCCAGGCTGGAGTGTGAGAACCTACCTCAAAAAATTTTAATTTTTTTTTGATTAAAAAAGTTAATCTGGAGTTCACAGGGTGGTAGGAATAAACCGCCTTTAAGGGATGACAAGTGAAGGGTGTGGAAACCTCAACGGAGGTTGAATTTGAGTTTCTTTTGGGACTAGATGTGCTTGGGCTTTCTTGTTTCTCTTTGCAAATAGAAGAGTTGATTTTTTTGGGAAATAACCTGTTAATCTCTTACCTTAGAAAGTATTGTATTTTAGCAAGCACAAAAAAAAGAAGAAGAAGAAAAGAAAGTATTCCCAGCCAGGCGCGGTGGCTCACGCCTGTAATCCCAGCACTTTGGGAGGCCGAGGTGGTTGGATCGCCCGAGGCCAGGAGTTCAAGAACATCCTGGACAACATGGTGAAACCTTGTCTGTACTAAAAATACAAAAGTTGTAGGCACCTGTATTCCAGCTACTTGGGAGACTGAACCTGCAAGACAGAGGTTGCAGTGAGCAGAGATTCGTGCCACTGCACTCCAGCCTGGGAGACAGAGCAAGACTCCATCTTAAAAAAAAAACAACTATTCCCTTAAAAGTCATTGCAAGCTTATTTGTTTGTGTTAAACAGTAGATCCCCTGCTCATAAGCAATTAAAAGAATAATTTAGCCTGGTGCCGTGGCTCACACCTGTAGTCCCAGCACTTTGGGAGGCTGAGGCGGGCGGATCACCTGAGGTCAGGAGTTTGAGACCAGCCTGACCAATGTGGTGAAACCCTGTCTCTACTAAAAATACAAAATTTAGCCAGGTGTGTTGGCGCATGCCTGTCATCCCAGCTACTTGGGAGGCTGAGGCGGGAGAATCGCTTGAACCCAGGAGGCAGAGGTTGCGGTGAGCCGAGACGGTGCCTTGCGCTCCAGCCTGGGCGAGAGAGCAAGACTCTGTCTCAAAAATAATAATAAGAAGAAGAATTGATTGTGTACTTGCTCGGTGGCTGCCTGAGACACAGGCGCCTAAAGCTACTTCCTTCCTGCTGGAGACAGGCCCAGTGCCCTGTGCTGATGTTCTGCAGGGCCCGGGGGCAGGAGCCGTCACACAGCTTGGCCTTGAAGAGTGCAAGCTTCTCAGGCAGGTGGACGGATGGGAAAGGACAGAGGGAGTGTGTGTTTGGGACGCACCACGGAGCGTGGAGGTCGGCCCTGCTGCACACATGATGAGGCTTTGAGTTTGGCTCACATCTGGGGGAGCCCGTGGGAAGTTGGAAGCTGGGGTCTCCATGTCTGGAGGATCCTCAGCCTCCCCTTGGAGACAGACTGGAGGCTGAGACCCCACCTCTTAGGTCCGGCGTCCTCGGAGGCCTCTGTGCTCTGAGCCCTGGACTCGCCGAGGGTGTCTGCAAGATCTGTAACTCCTTGTGCCCAGTTTTCCCATCTGAAAAAGTGAACAGGGACAGCGTAGATCATGGCACCTGTCAGAAGCCACGCTCTGAAGAAACGTGAGTCCTGCCCGTAGGGTTAAACCAGCATCACGAGGGATTTGGCCTCCAGTGTGGCTGTCCTGCGTGACTTCCTTGGCAGCTGCTGGATTTCTTGGTGCTGTTTTTCTGGGGGAGGGTCTGCTCCAACTGGTGGGCACAGTTTACAGGCTCGGGCACCCCGATGTGGCCGCAGACAGGGTTCTGGAAGCTCCTCTTGGGTTCAAGGCCCCCAGGGCTGTTTAGAGCTAAAATACCCACCCAGGCCGTCACCTGCTCACGGGGGTGTTTGGTGAACTGAGCATGAGAACTTGCCCTCGCTGCCTCCAGGCTCTTCGTTGTGGGATTTTCAGGTTGGCTGGAGGTGGCGTTGCCACGTCAGGATGAGCACAGCTGGCCACACGCTATGAGGTGGCTGCCCTGGGCGGGTCAGGCTGTGGAGCGGCTCGTTGGAAGCTGGGGGCCAGCTGAAAGTGCAGGCCCTTCAGAGCCGCCTGGGGGTCACTGTTCCTGTTCTCAGGCCTGTCTTGCTTGTGTGGGGTAGTGGTGGACTGACCGAGCCAGTCGTGGCTCATCTGGTGTTGGGACAGGGTGAGGGTGAGGTCAGCCAGCCCTGGCTGTGTGTGGGCAGCAGGAAGCGGAGCTCCTTGAGAAGGGAGAGGGGAGAGCGGCTCGAGCCAGGAGCACTTGGGTCTTGTGGGGCGGTGAGAATTTGCAGGTCACCCCTGCGAACTCATGTTGGGACACTCCACTAAGACCGCAGCAGGCCAGGGGTCTGGATGGGAACCTGGACACAGCCTGAGAGAGGCCTGTGGGTGCAGTGAGGCCACGGGTGGGGGTCTGGGGTCGTCCCCAGTGGCCCCTCAAGCCCTGCCCTACTTGAGGAAGCGCCTCTTGGTTCTTTCTGGCCTCCAGGAAGTCCCCTGCCTGCCGGGAGGGTTCCCCTCCTGTCCCCTGTCCCTCCCTGCCTTCCAGCATCACTGTTATGTGCCTGTCTTGCTTTAGGTCTCTGACTCAATGCCATGTGGCTCCACGTGGACAGCAGAAGCCTCTCCTTGGTCTCGGAGGCCTTTGTGCGTCTCCTCATTTTCCCACCCCCTCGGGGCAAACGTGGCATCCTCTGTGCCTGGCGTGGAGCCTGGCCCTGGCAGAGGCCTGCCGAATGTTAGAACGCAGTGCGGGCCGGGCACGGCAGCAAATGGCCTTTAATATGTTTTAAGTTTTTAAAAAATTGTGGTAAAAGAAACCACATACCGTAAATTTACCATTTTAAGCCCGGCGTGGTGGTGCCCATCTGTCCTGCCAGCTACTTGGGAGGCCGAGGTGGAAGGATTGCTTGAGCCCAGGAGTTTGAGGTCAGCCTGGGCAACATAGCAAGACCCTGTCTCTGAATTTTTTTTAATTAGTATGTAATAATTCATGAGTGCGCAGCCGGTAGGATGGAGCATGCCCGTAGCGTTGTGCAATCATCCCTTGCAGAACTGAAACCTCGCCCCTTCAGCGCTCCCCTTCCCTCCTGCTGCCCAGCCCCCATGCTGCCACCCGCCTCTGCAGACCTGACGGCTCCGGGGACCTCGTGCCAGTGGAACCCCGCAGGAGCTGTGTCTCTGTGTCTCTGTGACAGGCTTCTCTCACGGGGCATCATGTCCTCGGGGCCATGGTGCTGCAGCACGGGTCAGTGCGTCTTTCCTCTTTGCGGCTGGATTATTCCATTGCCTGGAGAGGCCACGTGGCCTTTGTCCACTCATCCATCGGTGGAGGCCAGCTGCTTCCGCGTTCTGGTTACTGTGAACGGTGTACACACGCGACCTTCAGTTGCTGCTTTGGTTTTTGTTTTGTTTTTGGTTTTTTTTTTTTTGAGACGGAGTTTCGCTCTTGTTACCCAGGCTGGAGTGCAATGGCGCGATCTCGGCTCACCGCAACCTCCGCCTCCTGGGTTCAGGCAATTCTCCTGCCTCAGCCTCCCGGGTAGCTGGGATTACAGGCACGCGCCACCATGCCCAGCTAATGTTTGTTTGTGTTTTTTTTGAGACGGAGTTTCACTCTTGTTACCCAGGCTGGAGTGCAATGGCGCGATCTCGGCTCATCGCAACCTCCACTTCCTGAGTTCAAACAATTCTCCTGCCTCAGTCTCCTGAGTAGCTGGGATTACAGGCACGCACCACCATGCCCAGCTGATTTTTTTTTGTGTTTTTAGTAGAAATGGGGTTTCACCATGTTGATCAGGATGGTCTCGATCTCTTGACCTCGTGATCCACCCGCCTCGGCCTCCCAAAGTGCTGGGATTACAGGCTTGAGCCACCACGCCCGGCCCTAATTTTTGTATTTTTAATAGAGACAGGGTTTTGTCACGTTGACCGGGCTGGTCTCAAGCTCCTGACCTCAAGTGACCTGCCCTCCTGGGCCTCCCAGAATGCTGAGATTACAGATGTGAGCCACCGCACCCAGCCCTTTTTTGACTTTTAAGTCACTCTGGATCCATAGGAAGCTGCGAGGTTGCACGGGTGGCTGTGTACCCTTCACCAAGTTTCCCCCGGGTTTACCTTTTTGTGACAGCATGGCACCAAAACCCAGAGATTGTCATTGATACAACGCGTGTAGGTCCCCGTCAGCACCTGGAAGGAGACAAAGGCCGTTCCCAGCCCCCTCTTTCTAGTCCCACCCATCCCCAACCCTGATGACCTTGCCGCCTCCAGCCCTCGTCCCCTCACTCGGGATTATAGCAGCATGTGTCCCCTGGGCGTGCCTGTTTCCATCAGTGTCCAGCTCTTGGGACCACGCAGATTGCCGTGTGCGTCAGGAGCGTGAGAAACAGCAGCTGATGTTTAATTTATAATAACTCGTTTAAAAAAGAAAGTAACAGCACGGAACGCGTCACTCAACATGAGGTAAACGTGATGTTTTTCCATCATGAAAGGTGCCTTCTCAAGTCCTGGGTTAAGGAAAGAGATGCTGAGAAGGGAAGGCGGTGGGGAATGGCCCGCTGCCCACCTGCTCCACCGTCAGCCTTTGCCTTGTCCTACTCCTGCGGGATGGCGCTGATGTGGTATAGACGGCGCCCCACCTCAAGGCCTCTGGAGCCTGGTGCCCAGGACATGTGGCTGTGGCTGTTTCATGTTTTTTAAAAAATGTTTTAAATTTAGAGAAGGGGTCTTGCCATGTCCCCCAGGCTAGAGAGCCGTGGTGCACTCATAGCTCAGTGTAGCCTTGACTTCCCAGGCTCAGGCAATCCTCTTCCTCAGCTTCCTGAGTAGTTTGGACCACAGGTACATGCCTTTTTTTGTAGAGATGGCATTTCTCTATGTTGCCCGGGTTGGCTTGGAACTCCGGGGTCAAGCGATCCCCTTGCCGCAGCCTCCCAAAGTGCTGGGATGACACAGGCTTAGCCACCGCTCCAAGCCAGAATGAGCCATTATTTCCAACAAGCAGCAGCCTCAGAAGCACAGCGGACCACACAGTGGCGTTAGGAGAGACGTCCCGCCTCCTGACTGATGCAGAGAGTGGCCCTGTGGGCAGGGTGTGTCCCACCGGGTCCCCGTTTGGACGTGGGGTCCCTCACAGTGAAATGGTTCCTTTGGGTTCCAAGGTCTCTGGGGCACCTGTCCACCTGGGAGCTGGGGGTCGGAGGCCCAGCTCCGGCCCGGGGCTGTTTTCTGGTTGTGAGACCTGGAGTCCGTGGGCTTAGATGTGAGCGGGAGTGGGTGGGAGGGGCCAGCCAGGCCACCCCTTCCATCACCCCTGGACTGCGGTGCCTGCCTCCTCCCACCCTGTCAGCCTGTGTGGTAGGAGAGTCACGCTGTGAGTTTCGCTTTGACTGAGGGCTCAGGGAGAGCCACTGGTGTGTGACAAGGTTGGGGGCAGTGGAGGGGCGGTGCCCTGTGACTCAGGGCTCTGTCCAGGAGGACCCACACAGTCCAGCCCCTCCTGCGTGCTCCCCTGGGCATGGAGGTGGCATGGCGGGCACTGGCGGATCTGTCTGGCCGGCTTCTGATCCTGGCTTCTGAGGGGGGTGGCCTGGGGGTGCTCCTTGCCTGGGGAGAGGAGGAGGGTCTGACTGGTGTCTGCCAAGGGCCAGTGGCCTGTGCCCATGTCCCCCCGCCAGGGCCACTCACTGGGTCATCATCACGGGGGTGGGGGGTGGTGCACACCAAGGACAACGGGAGGATAGCAGGGGAAGGGGTTCCTGAAGGGCAGTGGACTGGAAGGTCAGGTTCTTTTTTTTTTTTTTTTTGAGATGGAGTCTCCTCTGTCGCTCAGGCTGGAGTGAAGTGGTGCAACCTCCACCTCCTGGGTTCATACGATTCTGCCTCAGCCTCCCAAGTAGCCCGGCTAATTTTTGTATTTTTAGTAGAGATTGGGGTTTCACCATGTTGGTTAGGCTGGTCTCAAACTCCTGGTGTCAAGTGATCCGCCCGCCTGGGCCTCCCAAAGTGCTGCGATTACAGGCATGAGCCATTGCGCCCAGCTGGAAAGGTCAGGTTCTGAAGGCTTGTTGGGATGGCGGTGTGGGGAGCCGGTGTCCCTCAGGGGTGGGCCTCGACAGGAGGCAGGAACCCTATCCCTGACCCGCAGCGACCTCAGATCCCAGCCCCTCCTTCTCTGCATCCCTGTCCTTACCGGTCTGTGGTGATGGTGATCCCTGTGGGTAAGCACAGGTTGAAGGAGAATCAGGCCCCAGTGCAGGCTCCCTGTCCCCACCTCAGCCCAGTGGGCTCCTGGAGTTGTCACCTGCAATTCTGTCCCCAAGAAGCACTTGCAGGCCCTCCTGAAACCTCATGAGGGAGGCTGAGCCAGGGACGGTAGAGGGAGAGATACGGGAGATGAGAAGGGGGACAGTGCTGGGGGCCAGGAGGGCATTTGCTGAGGGAAGCGAGCGGCAGCCTTGGGGTGGTCTTGCCATGACCAGTGCCTTCCACAGGCCTCCTCCGCTGCTGATGCTTTCCTCGTGGGCACATGGGCTTTCTGATCAGATAGCAGGCGCCCTGGGCACATGGCCCCTCAGCCTGGGACGCAGCCCTTCTTCCCTTCACACCCCTAGATGTTGGTAAAGATTCAGGACATAGTGGAAATTGGAGCCATCTATCTCCAAAGGACCTCTTTGGGGAAAGAAGGCTGAGGTCTTGGCTCTTCCCAGCCTGGCCTCAGTGCCTTGGCGCCAGCGAGGAGCCAGAGACTGGGGTAGGAGCTCTGTAAGTCACACATGCACCACACCACCTGGGGCCCAATGCCCTGCCCCTGCCCTAAGCTGGGACGGCCACAAAGCCTTGGGTGGCTGAGACCCTGCCCGGCTCTGCCTGACAGCCGGCCATCCTGTGGGGAGGGCAGCGTGAGCACTGCAGAGTTGTTTGTGTCCCAGGACCCAGAAAGGCTGAAGTGGAGGGGACTTTGTGGAGGTGCCAGGTGGCTGAGCAGGGCCTTAGGAGCAGGGGTGGGTGGGCTGGCCTGGGCCACAGTGGTGCTCTCCAGCTGTTCTTTCCAGGTGGGTGGCTGGTGCCTTGCCTGCAGTCTAGCGCAGGGAGCTGGCGCCCTGGGCTCAGGCTGGATGTTCCATTGACAGCCCCAGGGGCGCCTGGAGGGACGGCGTCCTGCTTCTGGCACCCAGGGAGGCCCATCCTGGCCCATTCCTGAGCTCCCGGGCACGGCCGGGGTGTGGCAGTGAGGATGAGAATGCACAGTGCAGGCCGTGTGATGCCTGACGCCCTCGTGATTTCTCTTCTGCTTTCAGTCACCACGTCCTGCACTTTTCCGAATCGGACAGATGAGTAACGTGGAGCTGGATGATGAGCTTCTGGACCCGGTGAGCGGGGGGTGCTGCCTGTCCTCCCGTGGAGCTGCATCCTAGTGCAGGGTGGCAGCGATGGCCAGGGGCAGAACGGCAGGGACACAGTGGGGCCGCAGAGCCAGGGGCTCAGGAAGGGCTTCCGGGAGGGGGTGGGGGACGTGGTCCCTGAGGCCGAGTGCGCAGAGGCAGCTGGACTAGCAGACGGGCGGAGTGGCTCAGGTTGAAGCGCAGGGCACCAGGGCTCTGGTTAGGGCTGAGAACAGTGCCTTTCTCCGCTGACTTGTTTTGATGCCGTTGTGGAAGGTCGATGGGCTGTCCATGTTTGGGATTTCCTTGTGGACTCTCAGCTCTGTGCTGTTCCTCTGAATGTCATCCTTGTGCCAGTACCATGCCCCCCCCCTTTTTTTTGCCTTTTTTGTTTGTTTATTTTTTATTTTTATTTTTTGAGACGGAGTTTCGCTCTTGTCACCCAGGCTGGAGTGCAATGGCATGATCTCCACTCACCGCAACCTCCACCTCCTGGGTTCAGGCAATTCTCCTGCCTCAGCCTCCTGAGTAGCTGGGATTACAGGCACGCGCCACCATGCCCAGCTAATTTTTGTATTTTTAGTAGAGACGGGGTTTCACCTTGTTGACCAGGATGGTCTCAATCTCTTGACCTTGTGATCCACCCATCTCAGCCTCCTAAAGTGCTGGGATTATAGGCGTGAGCCACCGCGTCTGGCCTTTTTTTTTTTTTTTAGAGTTGGGGTCTCACTGTGTTGCCCAGGCTGGGTGGATCACTTGAGGTCAGGTGTTTGAGAGCAGCATGGCCAATATGGTGAAACCCTGTCTCTACTAAAAATACAAAAATTAGCCAGGCGTGGTGGAACACACCTGTAATCCCAGCTTTTCGGGAGGCTGAGGCAGGAGAATGGCTTGAACCCATGGAGGTTGCAGTGAGCCGAGACTGAGCAATTGCACTCCAGCCTGGACAACAGAGTGACTCTGTCTTCAAAAAATAAAAGATGAGGGTGTTGCTCTGTTGCCCAGGCTGGTCTTGAATTCCCAGCTTCAGCTTATCCTCTTGCCCCCACCTCCCACAGTGCTAGGATTGCAGGTGTAAGCCACCCCACCTGGCCTCATGGACTGATTTTGGGTATAAACTGCCCTGTGTTCCCAGGCTGAATCCACTTTGGCCCTGGCATTGCTGGAAGCGTTGTGCTTGTGTCTTGCCAGAGATCTTTGCATCCGTGGTTGTTGGGGTGTCGGTCTGTGGTTCTGGTTTTTTTTTTTTTGAGATGGATTTTGTCACCCACACTGTAGTGCAGTGGGGCGACCTTGGCTCACTGTGTCTCCCGGGTTCACATGCTTCTCAGCCTCCGAGTAGCTGGGATGACAGATGCCCGCCCCCAAGCTCAGCTAATTTTTGTATTTTTTATTATTATTATCATCATTTTTTTATTTTAAAAGATTTTAAAAAATGGTCTCGATCTCTTGACCTCGATCTCTTGATCCACCCACCTCAGCCTCCCAAAATGCTGGGATTCCAGGCGTAAGCCACCGCACCAACCTGTAGTTCCCTTGCCATGCTCTTGTCCTTGGTGTCGGGGTGATACCCGCCCCGTGGGTGAGCTGAGGGGCGCCCCTCTCCTCTGTGCCTTGTTCCTTGCAGGTGGCCTTTTCACCTGTGGCCTTTTTTTTTGCCTTTTTCTGCCACAGGATATGGACCCTCCGCATCCCTTCCCCAAGGAGATCCCACACAATGAGAAGCTCCTTTCCCTCAAGTATGAGGTGGGTGCCCCTGTCCCCCTGTCCCCCCCCCCCCGCCCTCAGACTTGGCCTCTGCCCCTCCAAGCCCACTCCCGGTCTCCTGTGCCCACCCCGGAGCGTCGGGTGGGTGCTGAGCGCTGGCCCTGCTGTCCCGGCCTGCAGAGCCTGGACTATGACAACAGTGAGAACCAGCTGTTCCTGGAGGAGGAGCGCCGGATCAACCACACGGTGAGCTGGACGCCACTCCCCACAGGGCCACGGTGCAGGACCTGGGGAGAGGTGACGCTCCCTCCCTGTCCTCCTCACACCCTGCGGTTCCTCTGGCTTCTGGAGATGGTGGGACAGTCACGGGCCCCGTTACTGAGAAGGCTGCTCTTACGACCGCCAGGTGCGGTGTCCAGTGTAGCAAGCACTGGTTGTGAATCTGTGGGGAGTCACCACCTACCCGAGTCACCCTCAGGCCCCGGGTGCCCCCTGGTTGCTCAGATGTTAGCCAGAAACTGCGCTTGGTGGGACTCAGTGCACTGGGGCCTTCAGAATCCCGGAGCCTGCAGGCGGCCGGGGCCATCCTGCTGCTGCCAGAGCGACCTGAGTTAGGGTCGCTTGCCCTGCCTGTGCGCCCACAGGCCTTCCGGACGGTGGAGATCAAGCGCTGGGTCATCTGCGCCCTCATTGGGATCCTCACGGGCCTTGTGGCCTGCTTCATCGACATCGTGGTGGAGAACCTGGCCGGCCTCAAGTACAGGGTCATCAAGGGCAGTATCCTTCCCAGCGTGGCGGGTGCAGCTGGGGGTGGCTGGGGGTGCGGCCTGGGCTTGGTCCCGGGCAGAAGTCCTGAGCCTGCTGTGTTCCAAGGCTGATGGAGGTGACCTGGCTGCACTAGCCACGTCCCTGTCATGTTTGGGCCCTGAGATGTTTCTGGGATGTTTAGTGAGCATCATGGCTCCGCTGAGCAGCGTGGCATCTGCCAGGCTGGGCCATGGGGCAGGGCCGGGGTTTAGGGTGGGTGGTCCTAACAGGGAAGCTGCAGACCCTCCTTGATGAGCCCCAGATATCGACAAGTTCACAGAGAAGGGCGGGCTGTCCTTCTCCCTGTTGCTGTGGGCCACACTGAACGCCGCCTTCGTGCTTGTGGGCTCCGTGATCGTGGCCTTCATAGAGGTACGTGGCGGTGCCCCCGGGCTGTTGGACCCCATGTGGGATTGGGGGTGTGGGTGAACGGGTGGGAACCCCTGGAGCTCACCTGCCCCCACTGTCCCATTGGCTGGCAACTTTATAGAATCACGTGGACCTCAGGAGGAGCAGACACACCAGGGCCTCTTCATGCTCAGAGCCCTGGGGCACTGCTCCTGACCCAGCACCACAGGCCCAGGCACCCCCACTCTGCTCCCTCCCTTCTGCAGCCTCCCCACCCTGCTCCCTCCCTTCTGCAGCCTCTCCACCCTGCTCCCTCCCTTCTGCAGCCTCCTCACCCTGCCCTACCGTCCATCTACCTCCACCTCCACCCCCACCGTGTCCTTGATCTGTGTCTGGGCCGGGAAGAGTGAGAGCAGCTGAGCCCCTGCGACGCTGACCTGGGTGCTGAGCAGCCTGGACCTGGGGCTGTGGGGTATGTGTCAGCCCGGCCGTGACCCATCACCTGTGCTTCCCGTTTCAGCCAGTGGCAGCCGGCAGCGGAATCCCGCAGATCAAGTGCTTCCTCAACGGGGTGAAGATTCCCCACGTGGTGCGGCTCAAGGTGCGGGCGCAGCGGGCCTGGCTGGCCGTGGGGTGCAGGCTCTTCACCGGGTCGGGAACAGCTCTGTTGTCTGCCCGCCTTCCAGAGCTGGCTCGGCCACCTTGTGTGCTGGTACACCGAGTGCAGACGGGCTCTTTTTTTAAGTGGTAAAAACTGGTATTTGCACATGCTAAGTCATGTAAAAAGTGAATAGGTCACAGAGAAATGGCGCATGTTGCATGTACCGCCACAGCTGTGCCGTGCGTCTGTGATGCGGCCTGCGCGGCGGTGACTGGTGCACGGTGGCGACTGGTGCACGGTGGCAGCTGTCGCGGTGGTGGGCGTCAGCAGTATTTCCCGTTTACTGTTGGCCTGTGCTCACGTACTCCTGCTGTTATGCAGAGCATCTGATTCTGGGGGCGCTGGGAGCCTTGGCCCGGTTCTGCTGTGGTTGCTTCTGTATGTACCGCCCACATTCTGTGGCCTGAGGCTTGCTGGAGTCCCGGCACATCTGAGGAGGACTGGACAGTGTGGCAGCTGCCCCCAAGAGTGTTTCTGGGGCCTGGTCCCTGTGGCCAAGGTCTGGGGGCGGTGTGCCCCTTCTGGCCAAAGCTCCTGGGTGACCTTGGGGTACCCTTGCCCTGCAGTGGGAGGTTGGGTTTCCTGAAGCAGCTGGGAATGGTGGCCGGCCTGTCACCCATGCCAGGCTGGCTGGAGCCTTCTGGGGTATTGCTGCCTGTTTTGTGGCTGAGGGTTGGGGTTGCCTTCCTCGGCATCTTTAACATGAGCCAGGCCCGCAGCTCAGAGCGCCCTTCTGTTTGGGGTCTGCGGCCTCTTGGCTTCTGGCCTGGGGCATGGAGGCTGACGGCAAGCACCTTACACAGCCCTCAGGTGGAGAGGGTGAGGTCCCGGACGAGGAGCGGCTGGGGGCATTGTGGAGCTGCAAGTGGCCACTCCTCCTGTACCAGGGTTCTGTGAGGGGCCGCACTGAGCCTGGCTGGGCTGGTGGGAACTCCTCCCCTGTGCTGGCCGCACTGGCCAAGGCAGGACACGCCGGTATGATGGGGTGGGCGGCCCAGCATTGCCTCAGGAAGGAGGAAAAGGGAAGTGCCCCTTCCCTGCTGAATGCCGAGGCCCACAGAGGCAGGACCCTCCAGCCTGTGCAGGGACGCTTGGCTGCTGGGTAGCGTCCACTGTGGCCGGGGGGAGACCCAGCCATGGGGGTGCCGGCCCATTCCGGAGGCCCCGTGTCCCAGCTGCCCTGCCTGATCAGAGCTGTGTGTGCAGTTTTACAGCTCAGGTCCAAGGACAGCTCCTGCCCTTTCATCAGAGGCCACTTGTTTTCCTGTGTTTCAGACACTGGTGATCAAGGTGTCCGGTGTGATCCTGTCCGTGGTCGGGGGCCTGGCCGTGGGAAAGGTAACAGTGACGTGGTCACCCAGCTCGGGCCGAGAGGGTCGCCGTGCCCGCCTGTCTGAGTGCCGCTGCTCCTGGTCTTCCAGGAAGGGCCGATGATCCACTCGGGCTCAGTGATTGCCGCCGGGATCTCCCAAGGAAGGTCAACGTCGCTGAAGCGAGATTTCAAGGTGAGTCCCATCCCGTGCCAGCGTGGGTGCTGTGGGCGCGAGCACAGGGAGACGGGCTGCCCTCTGCAACCCTGCCTGCGAGCCCCAGCCCTCTGAGGACAGCCCGGTGGTGGCTCCCAGAGCCGCTGGTCACAGTCCCTGGCCGCGAGCCCTCTCCACTGCTCCATGCGGCTTCTCGGAGCAGCACAGAACTGGGGACTGAGGGTGACCACCTGGTGCTCGTTTCTCAGGATACACTTTGGAACAGTTTTTTCCCAAAAAGTCCCCAGCACGTTGATGGCGATAGAGTTGCGTTTGTGTGTGAATTTATTTTTCTTTCTTTTTTTTTGAAGTAGAGTCTGTCTCCCAGGCTGGAGTGTGGTGGTGCGATCTCGGCTCACCACAGCTTCCACCTCCTGGGTTCAAGCGATTCTCCTGTCTTAGCCTCCCATGCAGCTGGGACTACAGCAGGCACCACCACACCTGGCTGATTTTTTTGTATTTTTAGTAGAGACGAGGTTTCTTCATGTTGGCCAGGCTGGTCTCGAACTCCTGACCTCAGATGATCCGCCCGTCTCAGCCTCCCAACGTGCTGGGATTACGGGTGTGAGCCACTGCGCCCAGCCATGTGTGAATTTCGAGGCAGGCAATGTTCTCGTGGTACAGACATCAACAGCAAGGCTGGGTTTCCATCCATGCGGTTTTCAGTAGAGGGTGGAGGTTTTCGGAATCTTGCGTGTCCTGGAAAGTTGAGTTCCTAGCTGGGTCTTTCTGCGTTTCTCTGGGCTGCTGGTGGCGGTGCTGAGCCTGCTGTCTCTTCCGTGGTCTGCAGCACCGTGCTTTTCTGGAATTAGAGCTGGTGACTCAGTGGTCCCGAAAGCCCCTTCCCCTGCAGAGCCCCCCTGTCTGGGCCGCCCTCGGCCACTCTCTCTTTATGAGACCTGTGCCTTCAAGGAACCTGCCCCAACCCTGTGTCTGTCCCTGCTGCAGATCTTCGAGTACTTCCGCAGAGACACAGAGAAGCGGGACTTCGTTTCCGCAGGGGCTGCAGCCGGAGTGTCAGCAGCATTTGGAGCCCCCGTGGGTGAGGAGGGCCGTGCCTGGTCCAAAGCTTTGCCCTTGGGAGCCTCGTGCTGGCTGGGTCTGGGAAGCTATGCTCATGCTGCGTGTTGGAGGAATAGTCTCCTGTCTGTAGGCCCAGTGCCTGCTGAGGGTGGGCAGAGAGAGGCTTGGAGTCACAGCCGGGGGATTTGGAAGCGGCAGGCAGTAGCCGTCAGTGTACACGGGCCTGGCCCTCCGACCTCCCTCGGGGTCCCTCTCTGCGTGGCTGGGGCCCACCCCAGTAGCTTCCTTCCGACGTGGTCTGGGCTCCCTGCAGCCTGTGGGCAGGAGCTGGTGGTCGGCATGGTGCCCTGTGTCCAGCTGGCACCTGAGTCAGCCCTGACTTCCAGGTGGGGTCCTGTTCAGCCTGGAGGAGGGCGCATCATTCTGGAACCAATTCCTGACATGGAGGATCGTAAGTGCCTGCTGATGGCTGCTGCCCCATCAGGGTGGGTGCTGTGCCCTCAGTCCCCATCCTGGGGCCACCATCGAGCTGCGGCTGGAGCTGGACCCCCTGTGGGTCTGTCAGGCCTCAGCCCTGCCTAAAGCGGGGGTCACGTCTTTGCTGCCCAGTTCACCCTTGGTCTCGGGCAGCACTGCCAGCTCCAGATGGGGGATCAAACAGCCGGGTACCCAGACCCTGCCCCACCGTCCCCTCTTGCCCTCCACTGGCGAGTCCAGAGAGTGCTGGGCACCTCCTTCCTGGCACAATGTGCCTGCCCCTGGCTCCAGCCCCTTCCCTTCTTCCTGGGGCGGAGTCTGCAGACTCCTTCCTGGCCCCCAGCTGACAGCGGGGCGGTGGTCCCTGCTGGTCCTTGGCCCTGGGCTGGGTGAGGCTCTGAGGCCCTGGTTTTCTGCTCTCCACCACAGTTCTTTGCTTCCATGATCTCCACGTTCACCCTGAACTTTGTTCTGAGCATTTACCACGGGAACATGTGGGACCTGTCCAGCCCGGGCCTCATCAACTTCGGAAGGTTTGACTCGGAGGTAAGCTGCCCGGCTCACCCCCTTGAGTCCTGGGCCAGGACCCTGTTTGCTTAAGGCCAGACTGAGAATTCGGTCCTTTGGAAACTCTGGCTGGTCGCTGTGGAGCTGAGCGCTTGTGTGAGCTCCAGGGCCTGAGGGGCTGCAGGACGGCACCCCAAGCTGCCTCTTGGGTCCGGGTGCCCTGTGCACACGTCACACAGCTGTGGCATGCTTGGGACCTCCCGCAGCCTGGGGGTACGTGCAGCAGCCGCTGTGGGGGCCGGTGGGCTCGGGCCTTGTTTTCAGGGCAGCCTGGGGCCTGGGCTGCGGCCTCTCCGTGCTGTCGACAGGGCAGGTTCTGGACGCACTGCAGGACGGCTCTGTGTGTGGGAAACCCAGGGCTCACGGACTGTGTTCCCAGTGCTTGGGCGCTCCCCGCCCCAGGTGCCCAGGGTGGCAGGAAGTGGCAGAGGCATGTAGGGCCAGGCCTGCTACAAACACCCAGCGTGTTTCTGTCCCGTGGACTTCTGTGGCCTGCATGGAAGTGCGGGAAGGCTCCGTGTGGGGACAGCTCTCATGATGGTGGTCCTGACTTTCAGCAGAGAGGAGCTGTGGGCCCTTTCCCTCCCCTCTTCCACCTTCTCCCTCTCTCCACAGAAAATGGCCTACACCATCCACGAGATTCCTGTCTTCATCGCCATGGGCGTGGTAGGTAAGGGCTCCCCCAGCGCTGCAGGCCGGCCTGTGGGCCGAGCTCAGCCGTGACACGGCCAGAGAGGCAAGGACAAGAGGCCACGACAGCCTCGAGCCTGCCCCCACCCCAGGGCCACCAGGGGCCTGCTCCCTCCAGATGCGTCCACGGGCAGCGCACACTCGAAGAGCTTTGCTTCCCGGTTTCCTGTTTTCTTCTCTGTGGGCAAAGCCACAGGGCTCAGGGCGGGCGGGTTTTCTTCCAGGAGGCAGGATTGGTCCTAACAGCGTTTACTGCACCTTTTCCCTGGAAAGAAGGCAGAGCCTTTGAGAAACAAACGATGCAGAGGAAGCATCTTACCAGGAACCCCACCCCACCCTCTGCCAACCCCTTCCCTCTGTAAACCCTGGAGCTTCTCCTACCCTCTGGGAGCCGGTGGAGGCCTGCGCCTTCCCTCCCACGTAGCTGACTGGGCTTTCCCCTGGCTGCAGGCGGTGTGCTCGGAGCTGTGTTCAATGCCTTGAACTACTGGCTGACCATGTTTCGGATCAGGTGAGGGAGAAACCGCCTTGCATATCGCACTGGCAGGCGTGGCCACACAGGCCCTTTGAAAGCAGATGTAGTAGGCAGGGCGTGGTGGCTCACACCTGTAGTCCCAGCACTTTGGGAGGCCGAGGCGACCGGATCATGACGTCAGGAGGTCAAGACCATCCCAGTGGTGGTGGGCAAGTGTAATCCAAGCTACTTGGGAGACTGAGGCAGGAGAATCATTTGAATATGGGAAGCAAAGGTTAGAGTGAGCTGAGACCATGCCACTGCACTCCAGCCTGGGTGACAGAGTGAGACTCCCTCTCAAAAAAAAAAAAAAAGACGTGGTGTGGGGTTTATGCCCTTTGGCCACGTCTGGAAGAAAGGCTGTGTGCTCAGTGCCCACCCTGTTGGCTTCATTGCTTGAGCTGCTCAGAGATGTGTCCTGGACCCTGGAGGGCATAGGCAAGCCTGAGGCTGGGAGAGCCAGGGCTCCTGGAGGACGGCCCCTGGGGAGGGAGCGAGGCTGCTCTGGGTGCAGGATTGGGCCTGGTGAGGTATCCCCGGCCTTTGCCCAGCTCTGCCCTGGTAGCAGCTGGAGCCGTCCTGGGACTCCGGGAGCTCCTAGCTTATTCCTCCTTGGTCTGTGCCAGTTTCAGTACTGCTAGGCGCAGCGGGAGCACTGGCAGGGCCGCCTCCCACTCGTCAGGAGGAGTTGCTGTGGGAGTCCTTGCCCCAGGGACATTGGGCGGCCTGACTGCTGCTGAAACACAGGCCCAGTGTCCTCAATCTGGGATGCAGGCTGCCTGGCAAATGCCAAGGGGCCGTGCCGCCGTCTCGCCCGTGGTGCAGCCTGACTCTTGGTTCCAGGTACATCCACCGGCCCTGCCTGCAGGTGATCGAGGCCATGCTGGTGGCTGCAGTCACGGCCACAGTCGCTTTTGTGCTGATTTACTCGTCTCGGGATTGCCAGCCCCTGCAGGGGAGCTCCATGTCCTACCCCCTGCAGGTAGGAGGCCCGGGCCGGGCGGGGTCCAGCAGGCAGGGCAGTAGCCGCAGGACTGCCTTCAGAAGCCTTGCTGAGGCCTCGGGAGGGGGCTGCCCGCTGCATGGAGTTCTAGACGCACACTGGCTGGCATGTCTCAGGGAGGGCTAGCGCCGTCTGCCCAGATGTCAGAGCAGGCCAGGTGTCTGCCAAGGTGTCGGGAACAGGCGGTGGTGTGGGGCCAAAGGCTCTCCCAGTCCTCTTCCCAGAATGGCAGCCCGACGGGAAGAGCCTCAGAAGCCCGGGGCCCCGCAGATGTGGACCCAGGAGAAATGCAAATCTCCATCCATACCCCAGCCTGTGCCTGGTGCTCATGGCTTACCGTAGCCCATGTGTCCTTCCACACGGTGACACGGTTGCCCTGGAAGACACGGTGCTCAGAGGAGCCACACAGGAGGCCACCTAGTGTAGCCCTGTTAACGTGAAACACCCAGAACAGGGGAAGTCACAGGCCCAGCAGACCAGTGAGGGCCGGGGCAGGCCAGATGTGGTGGGTGCTGACAGGACAGGCGTGAACAGTCAGAAGTGTGGGAGGCCCAGGCTGTGGGGTTGACCAGCCTTGCTGTACTCTGCTGCCATCCGTGGACAGCACCCCCAGTGCTGCCGGAGCCCAGAGACAGCCTCCTCTAGGAGCTGATGGGAGCGTCTGGGCCCACCTTCCCCTGGCTCCAGGGATGGACGGTTTCCCAGGCCAGGGGCCTACTGACCCACCCCAGGGCTGGACGTGGCTCTGCAGCCCCTGCTGGGTCTGGGTCTGGGCCTGGGCCGCTTGTCCTCCTTCCCCTCTGTGGCTATGGCCCTGACCCAGTGGCAGGGTCATACGGTCTCTCAGCGATGCTGGCCAGGCAGCATACACGGTGCACATGGCGACACCAAGTCTGTCTGAGCCCTCCGGCCTGTCTCCCTCCCAACGTGCTCTCTCCTGACCTCACAGCTCTTCTGTGCGGACGGCGAGTACAACTCCATGGCTGCGGCCTTCTTCAACACCCCGGAGAAGAGTGTAGTGAGCCTCTTCCACGATCCGCCAGGTGTGTGCTGGCAGTGCCACCGGGCAGGTGCTTGGATGAGGGCATGGGTCATGCCTTCTGGCTGAGTGTCCCTGTGGGCTGAGGTTGCAGCCCTGGGCGGGGGGATCATCCCCAGCGTGGATTATAGCACGGGCTTGCTGCTGTAATCCCAGCAGTTTGGGAGACCAAGGCAGAAGGATCGCTTGAGCCCAGGTCAAGACCAGCCTGGGCAGCACAGCAAGACCCTGTCTTTACCAAAAAAGCAAGATTATCTGGGACAGAGGTGTGCCCACAGTCCTGGGTACTCAGGAGGCTGGGGTGGGAGGATCACTTGAGCCCAGGAGGTTGAGGCCACAGTGAGTTGTGATTACACCACTGCACACCAGCCTGGGTGACAGAGTGAGACCCTCTCTCAAAAAAAGAGAAGAAAACCCAGCCTGGTTTGAGAGAGCGCGAACCCTCAAACCGTGCAAGGTCTGGCCTGGCCCGACCACAGCTTTTCGTGGAAGCCGGACCAGGGCTTCGGAGTGCCTGCTTTATACCTCTGCGATTGCGTCCTCCAGTGGCCCCGCTTGACCCACACCCAGTACAATGCCGCCTGCCCCAGGAAGGGACCTCCAGGCTGTGGAGGGCGCCCTCTTCCCAGAGCCAGGCTGCACGCTGCACCGTGGTGCCCGCCTGTGGAGTCTGGACCTGGCTCCTGCTGCTGCCGCCGGCATCAGAGCCCTGTGGGAGCCTCCAGCCTTCCTGCTTCCCCGGGAGGCTGAGAACGGGGAGGCTTCTGGGAACCGCGGGGCCTGGGGTTCAGATTGCTAGGCTCCTGGAAGGTGACTGTGAGGCCTGAGGCTGGGCAGCGGGGCCCCTGCCTGGGGCGCGAGTCCCGTGAAGGCCCCATCAGCCCCTCTTCTTCCCTAGGCTCCTACAACCCCCTGACCCTCGGCCTGTTCACGCTGGTCTACTTCTTCCTGGCCTGCTGGACCTACGGGCTCACAGTGTCTGCCGGGGTCTTTATCCCATCCCTGCTCATCGGGGCCGCCTGGGGCCGGCTGTTTGGCATCTCCCTGTCATACCTCACAGGGGCAGCGGTGAGTGGGGCTGGAGAGGCTGCGGGGCCTGCCGTGAGATGTGCAGGTCTTGCGGCCTCCCAGGGCGCTGCGCCTCGCGTGGTTCACTGGCTGTGGCAGTTGCCCCACTGTGGGGAAGCACGCTCACTGCGGCGGTGGCACAGCTCCCGCGTAGTCTGACCCCGGCCGAGCCTGGGGGCGGAGGCTCCTCTCCTCATTCGTGAGAATGTGATGAAAAGCAGGGGTGACTCTGGGCTGCTGCAGAGGTGCTGCTGGACTCCACGGGGCAGACACCCCACCAGGGCTGCTCTCCGGGAGGCCGGGGCCAGAGCAGCATTCGCTGCCTACCAGCCCTCGGCCCACAGGCCTGCCTCCTCCGCCTGCCTCCGCTGGGGCTGGGTTCCTTCGTGTCCTCCATTTCTCATTTCAGTCATTTAAATGACACTGGAAGCCCCCCTCCCGCTCCCCATGCCCGTGTGCTCTGCTTGTCTTCCTCTACACAAGGGCTTGATTTGGTTTGATTTTTAACATACAAACATGATTCACATGCCATGAGGTTTACCCTTTTAAAGTGGACAATTTCTTAGCGTTTCTCACATCCATGAGGTAGTTTGATTGTCACTAACACTTCTAGAACTTTCTGTCATCCCAGAGCGGAAACCCTGGGCCCACATGCACTCATGCCTCAATTTCCCCGGCCCCTAGCCCCGGCAGCCACTGGGGTCCTCCAGACTCTGGCTCTGCCTGCCCCCGACATTGCCTCTAGGGGGAGTCACCGTGAGTGGCCTTCCGTGCATGGGTTCTGTGACCAAGCCTCATGTTCCCGGGGCCCTCTGTGTCCTGTGTGCTGGAGTTCCGCTCCTCAGGCTGGGTGGTGCTCCCCAGTCGGCGTGGGCATGCTGTGTGGGTGGCTATGCCCTTTGCACCCTGCATTCCTGTCGCTCAGGCACTGAATGCCGGGTACAGGCAGAAGGCGCGGTGTCCCCAGCAGGCCGTGCTGTGCTCAGTTGTTCTGTGCGTGTGTCTGCCGCCATGGGGTTCGCTCCTGGGCGTCAGGTTCCGGGGCAGGCCTCCTCTGTATCTTGGTGGGTTTGGGAAGGGGCCTGCCACCACCTTGACACCTCCATGTCACCTCCCGCAGATCTGGGCGGACCCCGGGAAATATGCCCTGATGGGAGCTGCTGCCCAGCTGGGTAGGTCCTGGCTCTTGCCTGGTGGGCGCGGGGGCTGGCTCCACAGGGTCAGGAGGGGGCTGTGGCCATCCTTGCAGGGCTCGGGTCTGGGGCAGGCGGACCGTGGGCTGTACAGAAAAGGCGGTGGCCATGTGCCCCTGAGCTGGGAGGGTGGACGTGCCGGGGCTCATGAGTGCTCCCGCAGGTGGGATCGTGCGGATGACGCTGAGCCTTACGGTCATCATGATGGAGGCCACCAGCAACGTGACCTACGGCTTCCCCATCATGCTGGTGCTCATGACCGCCAAGATTGTGGGCGACGTCTTCATCGAGGTGCACAGGGCTCAAAGCCTCACCCTGAGAGTGTTGGGGTGGTCGTGGGGGAGGGCCCTCTGAGCGCCCAGCCTCCAAACAGCCTGTCCCGAGGGGTGGGCGTGGCCTCCAGCCCCGTGTCCCGTCCGCCTGCAGGGCCTGTACGACATGCACATTCAGCTGCAGAGCGTGCCCTTCCTGCACTGGGAGGCCCCGGTCACCTCGCACTCGCTCACTGCCAGGTATGGCACGTGGCAGCTGTGGGCAGGGAGGGTGTCCAGTGGCTCTTGTTGCACAGGGGTGGGATGTGCGGCTCGCGGGCTCCAGGCGGCTCCGCGTTTCCCACCCAGCAGCTTCACACCGCAGCAGCCTCTGGGGGTGACCGTGGGAGTTGGTGGCGCATGACGGGCCTGTGTGGCCGGGCTACTCCGGCAGGGAGGTGATGAGCACACCGGTGACCTGCCTGAGGCGGCGTGAGAAGGTCGGTGTCATTGTGGATGTGCTGAGCGACCCGGCGTCCAATCACAACGGCTTCCCTGTGGTGGAGCATGCAGACGACAGCCAGGTACCGGGCGCCCCCCAGGCTGGATCTCACTCGCGACACCTCCGTCCAGCCCAGCGGTGGGAAGCACATGGGGAGGTTGGCAGGATGGGGAGGCAGCGCATTCGGGTGCACTGTCGGTTCCAGGAGCGCTGGGGGCTCACTGTGGGGCCATGTAGGGCCGTGTGGGTGCCGAGGCTGGGTGGGGTTGTGGCCTGTCAGGGCCTTGAGGTCAGCACCCGGGCTGGGCGTGGCCAGGCCTTCGTCAGGAGGTCCTGACACAACACGCAGCTCGGCCACTGCCGTGTGCCCCTTGGACATGGCCACTAGGGGTTTGGGGATGGTTTTTATTGGGCACAATGGAGCTGCGTCTACCCTGCAGCAGAGCCCCCCTCCCTGGGCCCTGGCTTTCTGCTATGTGCAGTCAGACCTCCTGCCCTGTCACCCATCCTTGGGAACCTGTGGCATTGTGCACATGGAATGCCACGGTGAGGCTGGTGTGAGCAGGTGGCCATTGACACAGCACACACACCCAGATGGGGCACTGGGCTAGAGCAGGGTCGGAGCTGGGGCCCAGCACAGCATCCCAGCACGGCCCCGCCTCGGGCACCGTGGCTCTGACAGCAGGCGTCTCTTGCAGCCAGCCCGGCTCCAGGGCCTGATCCTGCGCTCCCAGCTCATCGTCCTCCTCAAGCACAAGGTACATGCCAGGCTCTGGAACGCCGGGAGGCAGGAGCCCCTGGGATGCTGCGCAGCTGCCTGACGGGGAACCTGCCGCCCGCAGGTGTTTGTGGAGCGCTCCAACATGGGCCTGGTGCAGCGGCGCCTGAGGCTGAAGGACTTCCGGGACGCCTACCCGCGCTTCCCGCCCATCCAGTCCATCCACGTGTCCCAGGACGAGCGGGAGTGCACCATGGACCTCTCCGAGTTCATGAACCCCTCCCCCTACACAGTGCCCCAGGCACGTGCAGAGTGGAGGCATGGGCTCGGGGCCAAACAGTGGGCTATGTGATCCAGAGCCTCCTGGAGGAGTGGCCAGGGGCACAGGGGAGGGCGAGAGGGGGCCAGGACTCAATGACTCTGTCTCCCGGGAAGGGGGCCTGGCAGGACTTCCAGGATCGCTGGGCAGCAGCAGGGATTGAGGGTTTGGGTTGCAGAGCCAAAGTCGGGGCCGAACAGGCTGACCAGACGGGTGTGGGGGCCCAGGACGTGCCTAGACACTGTGGAGTGGGTGCTGGGAGCCAGGGGAGGTCCTGCCTGCCTCTGGCGTGTGGGCAGGTGCTGACTGCTGCGTCCCGCTGCAGGAGGCGTCGCTCCCGCGTGTGTTCAAGCTGTTCCGGGCCCTGGGCCTGCGGCACCTGGTGGTGGTGGACAACCGCAATCAGGTGAGCGGGGGCGGGGACGCGCTGGGCTGCGCAGGGCCCTCTGTCTGCTGCACATGTTTATCTCATCTCCGTGCCGGGGACGCTGAGGCGCGGACTCAGCACCACGGCCCATGCCCCGTGCTCAGCTTGGGCTGTGCTGAAGCCCGCAGGGCTCCCCGGCTGTGCTGCCCAGGGCCCTCCATAGGCAGGCGGGGGCTGACCCATGGGTCTCTGTGGCCTGGCCTTGTCCTGCAGGTTGTTGGACTGGTGACCAGGAAGGACCTTGCCAGGTACCGCCTGGGGAAGGGAGGCTTGGAGGAGCTCTCGCTGGCCCAGACGTGAGACCCAGCCCCGCCCATGGTGGGCACCAGAGCTGGCACCGTGGGCCCCCTCCACACCTCCTCTCAGAGTCACTGCTTTCTCGGCCCAAACCACGCTCCCCAGCAGCGGCAATGGCGTGCACCCTGCAGCTGGGCCGGGGACGGCAGGCCTGGGACGGACTCTGGAGGGACTGACCCTGTTGTGGTCTCCACCCTTGGCGCCTCTCTGCGCAGGCCCAGCTGCCACCCTCATCACCTAGGTTCCTTCGCCTCGAGGGATCAGCTGTGTATGTGTAGCCCCCTTCCAGGCTCTCAGGCTCGGGAGCCAGCAGCAGGGCAAGAGACAGAGCCCTCAACCCCGCTGCTGTCCTGAGGGCCGTCCTGCTGCAGAAGGGCTCCTCCTGCCTCCACACCAGCGGACTTACAGATGTGAGCCGGCCTGTGGTTCCTGAGCTTGAGCCGTGGACATGTCACGCCAGGGTTTAGAGGGTGGGACAGCCCTGAGAGCAGCCTCACGGCATCGCCGCCACAGGGAGATCCCGACGTGCACTCCCCAGCCTGCATCTGACTTGAGGACACAGACCCGGAGAACTGGGGTGACAGGCCCCGTGCTGCGGTGTCAAGAGGCCCTGAGCCCCATGCCCAGCCCTGCCTGGGTCCCCCTACCCCTGGAACTAGGAGTCTGAGCCCACCCCCAGCCCTGCCTCGGTCCCCTGGCCCCTGGAACTTGGAGTCTGAGCCTACGCCCACCCCTGCCTTAGTCCCCGAGCCTCAGAGCTTGGAGGCGCTGCCCTGTGGAACTGGCTGGGAAGGCAGGCCTGCTAGCATGTGGGGACCCGGCCGTGGCTCCTCCGTTTCCCTGGAGTGGGCAGGCGTTGTACACCTCCGTGCCCCACCCCTGCCAGCCACCAAGTGCAAATGCAGGAGTCAGTCTCCTGCTGGCCTGGGAGGACGTCTGGCCTAGCCCAGGTGGCTAGGAGGGTTCGTGGGCACTGGGGCTGAGAAGACCCCCACCTGCCCACCTGAGGGTTCCTCGAAGGCTCCCTGCCTGCCTGGCTGGGCTGGGTCTCTGGTCACCACAGGGCCATTTCTCACAGGGCGTTGGAGGCAACCTCAGTGTCCCTGTTAGAGCAACACTGGTCCCTCCGTGGGGGGCGCTGGATGCGGCCTCCTGTCCTGTATTTCCTTCCCAGGGAGTGGGGCCTCCCCATGAGCTGACGCCGCGCCCTCTGCTTAGCCCTTACAGGGCCCCAAAGTGTCTGAGTGTGTCGGGTCTGAATGTGTGAAATAAATCAATCCAGCATCGTCCCTGCCACCCGCCTGGACCACTTCTGACAGCCTGGGACTTTTGGGGCCCTGGGGTTGAGGTGCTGGGTGGAAGAAGAGGCATGAAAGACAGCCGCTGCAGCCACCCTGGCCGACAGGACAGGAAGTGCCTGCCCTCACCCGGGGCACCAGCCACGCCCTCTTCCTCATCCCCACCCCTCAGCCTGCCTCCTGGGGGCCGCTGGCTGGTAGGTCTGCGGATGAGGCCGAGGTGCTCCCACTGGAGGTGGGGCAGGGGCGGTGCCGCAGGGTCCTGAGCTGCACTGAAGCAAGGGGGAAAGCTCAGGGCCTCTGCGGTGGCACCGGGAACTCTGGGCAGGGTTCCTTCACGGTGGTTCTGTGCTGAGTACCTGGAAGTGATAATATTTTGAATATATTAGGTTAAATAAAACCAACTGTTAGGATTCTCATGGCCTCTTTGTTTTTTAATGGGGCTGCTGAGCAAGGCTGAGGTTACGTGGAGCCTGGCTGCCCCTCCCTCCCTATGGGTGCTGCCCAGGCCTCGGGCTCTGCTCAGCTGGCTGGGTCTGTGCTGTCCTGAGGCTCTCAGGTCCCTCCCTCCTGCCCCTCCCCCAGCAGCTGAAGGAAGCCCCATTTGCCAGAGGACAGGTGTCTGTACCCCCTCAGGAATGGGCCCTTGATCTGTCCGGAAGCAGGCAGTTGGGGGGCCTGCGGGAGTTGGGGAGCTGAGGGCTCCAGGGCCACTGGCAGTTGGGCTGTGAAGCCACAAGGTTCTGGGGAGGGAAGGAAGGTTCCAGAACAGCCCCACTGGCCCTCCCATACCTGCCTCCTCGGGGACCCTGGGAAGGCATCTGGACTAGGGCAGCAGCTCATCTGAGACGCCAGAGGCCCCTAGTCTTCACGGGACTTCCTCCCTGTGGCCCCTGCCACCCTGGCCCGTGCCCAGGTCTCAGAGGCCCCAGGCGCGGGTCACAGCCTCAGGCAGAGTGGCTGGTGTAACCCAGGCAGCCATGTCAGGTGAGCCAGAGCCAAGGGTGGGGAGCGGAGGTTCGGGGGCCCAGGGAGGGGCCTGCCGTGGGTGTGGAGGTGGAGGCAGCTCTGCTTCTGACCCCGGGGCTCCCTCTGGAGCTGGCCGGGTGGGGTGCCACCATGCTGCTGCCGCCCGGTGCTGTGTGTCTTTGGGCCCTGGACTGAGCTGAGCCCTTCGGGATCCTGTATAACGGGGAGATGCGTTGGGCTCTGGGTGGTGGGCGAGGGTCCTGCAGGGATTTGGGGCCCTGTTCCCATAAGCTCCAGTGGGAGCCGGGCCCCGAGGGGTGATCTCCTAAGCTTCCTCCTTGCAGAGCTGGCTGACAGCAGCCCCTCAGGGCCATCGGGGCTTTCCCAGCCGATTGCCGTCACCCTGGAAGACCTGGGGCTCCTGGCTGGAGGCCTGGCCAGCCCCGAGCCCGTGAGCCTGGAAGAGCTCTCGGAGAGGTACGAGCCCAGCCCCCCAACATCCACGGCCTCTGTCCCCGAGCAGGACACCACCAAGCGCTGGAGCCAGCTGGAGCAGTGGTGAGCCCTGCGGGGGGCGCTGGGGAGGGCAGACCACGCCGCAGCCACCGCCTCTGCCTCCGCCGGGGGCAGCTCCAGACTCACCCACTCTCACCCTGGCCAGGGTGGTCGAGCTGCAGGCCGAGGTGGCCCATCTGCGGGAGCACAAGCAGCGCTGTGAGCGCGCCACGCGGAGCCTGCTGGGCGCCCTGCTGCAGGCGTGGGCTCGCCTGGAGCTGCAGGGCTCGGAGCTGAGGCAGCTGCGGCAGGAGGTGTGGCCGGCGGCCCAGGCCCCCGAGAAGGAGGCACTGGAGGTGAGTGGCGCCCCAAACCCGCAGGTCCAGCTGCCCTTTCCTGGGCGTTAGGGGCAGCTGCTTCTGCGCCTGGAGCCCAGCTCACCCCTGCTGCCCAGGCCCAGAGCTCCCATGGGCCGGTGGTGCCGGAGCTGGGTGGACTCTAAGGGCAGGTGCCAGCCCCGGGTCTAGGCCCAGCCCACGGCCTCCTCCTCTTCGTCCTCCTCACAGTTCTCTGGCCTGCAGACCCAGATGCAGGCCCTGGACAAAAGGTAACCCCCACACACCCAGAGGCGCAGGCCCGGGGCGGAGAGGCCGCAGCGGGAGAGCAGTGGCAGGTCTGGTGGGGGTCCACTTCCCCCGCAGGGTGTCCTGGCGTAAGGGATACGCATCCAGGTCCAGCTAGAAAGGGCTGGGTTTGTACACCCCTGGCCAGCCTGCAGAGACTGGGGAAAGCCATGGGAGGTGGCTGCAGGGGCCCCTCAGCTGGACCCTAGCTCCCAGAGGCTGTTCGGCCTGCCTGGGCCTCTCGGGAGCGGCTTCGTTGTGTGCCAGGCTGGTGGAGGTCCGGGAAGCCCTGAGCCAGCTCAGGAGGAGACAGGCACAGCTGGAGGCGGAGCGGAAGGGCGCCGAGCAGGAGGCCGGCCTCAGGTGGGCATCTGCCACCCAGGGCTGGCTGCGGACCTTGTGTGGGTCATTTGAGAGTCCCTGGCTGAGCCAAGATGTGGGTCTCCCTGCCATGCTTCCCCAGTAAGCCAGAGGGCACCCGCACTCGGTGCTGAGCTTGCTGAAGAGCCTGCGCCCGCTGAGGACCCTCCGTGGGGAAGAGACTCGCACCAGCCCTGCCCTGCTCCTAGTGCTGTGTTTCTTTGGAGTGGGCGGGTGTCATCCACCTGCTGCGTGGCCGGCCTGTGGGTCCACCTCACCCTGGTGTGACCGCAGCTGATGTCTCTAGGCTGGCCAAGCTGACCGACTTGCTGAGGCAGGAGGAGGAGGGCCGGGAGGTGGCCTGCGGTGCCCTGCGGAAGGACCAGGAGGACAGCAGCCGGAGGGTGGACCTGGAGGTGGCCAGGATGGAGGTACCACTGGGCCAGGCCCAGCCTTCAGGGGGCCGGTCCAGGTCCAGCTAGAGGGCGAGGAGGAGACATTCCTCCTGGCCGGTGCCGTCCGATGTGGCCACTCACCACATAGCTGTGTCCACTGAAATCAGCTACGATCGTAGATGATTTAGAACAAAATTCCTGAGTCAGACGCCCCATTACAACAGCTCAGGCCACGTGCAGTGGCTTATGCCTGTGATCCCAGCACTTTGAGAGGTGGAGGCGGGAGGATCACTTTAGACTGGGAAGTCAAGACCAGCCTGGGCAACACAGCAAGACCCCATCTCAAAAAAGCAAACACTCAGTGGCCACGTGAGGCCAGCAGCTGTACACCCGGGCGCGCTTCACCCCAGGAAGCTGCCTGTGTCCTGCCCCTGCAGCCCTCCCCACACAGCCAGCTCCTGCTGGATCGACAGAGCTCAGCCCCGAAGCGCCTTCCATGGCCACTTTCAGGCTTAATTTTCCCTGCACACAAAGCGGGGGTCGCCTTTCTGAGGACACGAGCTCCTAGAACCCAGGGTCCCACCCACCGGGCCAGTGCAGCTCCCCCTCCCACTGTGGCCTTAGCAGGGCCCCCCTGCTGCAGCTGGGGAGGGGACCAGGCAGCTGCACATTTCTGCAGCCCAGGCCTGAGCTTCACAAAGAGAGACGGGACTGTAGGGGTTCCCGTGCGCACCAGGCTGCACGCCAGGTGTGGGCCAGGACTGCCGGGACGCTCCACTGCCACCCACATAGCTCCGCTGCCCTCTGGAAACCTATTGAGTGGCTGTGTGGAGCAGGCAGAGGCGCTGGGCTGAGGATTCCCGAGGTGCCAGGTGTGGGGGAGCTGCCGCTTAGGAGGGCGTCCACCTTTCCCTGAGCACGGGTGGCTGAGTGCTCTCTAGGGCCAGAGGCAGCAAAGCCAGGCCACCACTTGTTTCTTATTTTGAGACAGGGTATTGCTCGTTTGCTCAGGCTGGAGTGCAGTGGTACAATCACAGCTCACTGCAGCCTCGACCTCCCAGGCTCAAGTGATCCTTCTGACTCGGCCTCCCAAGTAGCTGGGACCGTGGGCACGTGCACCCTGCCTGGGTAATTTTTTGTCTTGTAGAGATGAGGTCTCGCTGCATTGCCCGGGCTAGTCTTAAACTCCCGGGCTCAAGTTTCCTCCTACCTCGACCTCCCACAAAGTGTTTTTTCCTTCTGAGACAGTCTTGGTAGGGGAGAAGACTGGAATGCAGTGGGACAGTCTCGGCTCACTGCAACCTCCATCTCCTGGGTTCATGCGATCCTCCTGCCTCAGCCTCCAGAGTAGCTGGGACTACAGGCACCCGCCACCATGCCTGGCTGATTTTTATATTTTTAGTAGAGACAGGGTTTCACCATGTTAGCCAGGCTGGTCTCAAACTCCTGACCTCAGGTGATCCGCCCACCTCGGCCTCCCAAAGTGCTAGGATTATAGGTGCCAGCCACTGCTTATTTTTGTAAATAAAGTTTTATTGGCACACAAATATTTTTTACACATTATCAATGTCTGCTCTGGGGGCTGTAACTGCCTTGCTGAGAGGGTCACAGCAGAGACCCCATGAGGTTGGAACATGTACCATCTGGCTTTTTACAAAAAATACCTGCTCTCAGGCAGCCTCCTGGGGGCCAGGGGGCCAACAGGGGCTTGGGCAGAGGGGAAGCTTCCCGGGAGGTACTCTCGCTGTGGCTGGCGAAGGGCCTGTGCCACCTGCCTGCCCTTTGGGTGTGTGAGATGCAGGGACAGGGCCGGTGCGTCTCCCCTTTCCCCTCCCCTTCAGACCCTCGGTGCAGCAGGAAAGCCGCTGTTGGGGTGGAGACAGGGCCCCAAGGCTCTAGCCAGCCTGCCTGGCTCCCTCTGCGTGGGGATGCCCACACGGCACTCCCACTTCCCTGCCAGGGCATGGTGGTGGCTGGGCGGCCTTCCCTGGGAAGCATTGGTGGTGGATGCCAGTGTGTCTGGACCTCACATGAGCGTGGCCTTCACATACTTTTCAAACCCGTGCCTGCTCAGTGCCTGGGTACCGAGTGCTCCTGCCCGTTCTGGCTTTCTTCCGGCCGAGGGTGTGGCAGGCCCCGCTCTGCTGGGCTGGGGGACAGCAGGGGACTCCAACTCTGCTGGAGACCACGGGCAGAAGCGGGACCAGCCAGGTGTCGGGCAGAGGCTGTCCACGGGACAACGTGCCCCTGCTCCAGGCCCAGGTGACCAGGCTCGGCGAGGAGGTGAGTCTGCGCTTCCTGAAGAGGGAGGCGAAGCTGTGCAGCTTCCTGCAGAAGAGCTTCCTGGCCCTCGAGAAGGTAGGAGCCCGCCTGCGGCCGGCCTGCCCCGCACCCGCTTCCCAGAGGCAGGCCTGCAGCAGACCGTGGGGTCCCCTCACAGAGAATGAAGGCCTCGGAGAGCTCGAGGCTGAGGCTGGAGGGCAGCCTGCGGGGCGAGCTGGAGAGCCGGTGGGAGAAGCTTCGGGGACTGATGGAGGAGCACCTGTGGGCCCTGCAAGGGCATCATGAGGTGGGGCCGGGTGGGCGGTGGGCGGGTGGGCAGGCCCGGGGCCGGGGTTCGGGTCTCAGGGTGGCCTCCACCCCGCAGCAGGAGAGCCACCTCCTGGAGCAGTGCCAGGGCCTGGATGCGGCTGTGGCCCAGCTCACCAAGTTCGTGCAGCAGAACCAAGCGTCGCTGAACCGTGTCCTGCTGGCCGAGGAGAAGGCCTGGTGGGTGCTGTCAGGCCGGGGTGACCCTGATGTCCCACTCAGGAGGGGCCACAGTGGCCGACTCAGCAGGGAATGACCTTGCCTCTCCCAGCCGAGTGCTTGACCCCGAGGTGCAGCCAGGTTCAGACAGGCCAGCTGTGCGGCCACTCCTCCCATGGGGACTCCGGCTGCTTGTCCAGCCTGCCCTCCCTGGGGTGCTCAGCTGTGGCCGTCAGCAGTGAAGCCCTGTCTTGGTGGCACTGTGACTGCACCCCGTCTTCCGATCCCGGGGTCTCCTGGGAGGTTCCAGAGCCAGCAGCCAAGCTTCCCTCCCTGGCCCAGTGCCGAGAGGCGGGCAGGACCTGCTGAGGGCCTCTGTGTCCCCAACCCCTAGGGACGCCAAGGGGCGCTTGGAGGAGAGCCAGGCCGGGGAGCTGGCCGCCTATGTGCAGGAGAATCTGGAGGCCATGCAGCTGGCCGGGGAACAGGCCCAGCAGGAGATGCACGGCGAGCTGGCACTGGTGAGGGGGGGCAGTGTATCACGTCCCCCACGGGGTCCTCCCCACACACAGGATGGACCCTTAGCCGGGCCTCCCTGCGCCCACCTGTCCCCCGCAGCTCCAAGAGAAGAGCCAGGCTCTGGAGGCATCAGTGGTGCAGCTGGCCGGGCAGGTAAAGGAACTGAGTGGCCGCCTCCCAGCCCTGAGCAGCCGGCTCGACCTCCAGGAGCAGATGCTGGGCCTCAGGCTGTCCAAGGTGCGCCAGGCAGTGGCGGGTAGGCAGGCTGGGGGAGTCCCCACCCCTCAGCTCTCAGCCCACCATTCCCCCATGGTAGAGGCCTGACAGGCCTGTCCCAAGCCTCCCATCCCATCTGGCAACTGTCCAGGTCCTGGGGGGCTCTGAGTCCCAGAGACTCCTGTGTGGGGCAGGACAGCCCCTGAGCAGCCTCGGTCCAGCACCTGCGGCCCCTGAGGCCTGAGTTTGAACCTTGACCCCACGGCCCAGCTACACGGGCAGCTCGCAGAGGGGCAGACAAGCGGCCTCCACTGGCGTGCGCATGTTCACTTTTTAACAGCTCTATTGAGAAAGATTCTCTCCCCATGCAGCTCACCCGTGAATGCATGCAGTTCCGTGTAGTCTGTTCACAGGGCCGGCCATCATGCCCATAGCTTCACAGCGTTCATCCCCCAGAAAGAATCCCAGCCCCGTCTGCGCTCATTTCCATCCCCCGCCCCCTGGCCACCCGGGCCCCTCCCTGTCTCCCTGGCTGGCCTGTTCTGGACATTTCCAGGAAACGGAGCATGCACCATGCGGCCGCTTTGTCAGGGACACCCCTGAGTGTCCTGTGTCCCCACTCCTTGGCTCATGCACAGAGCTTCCTCCCTTCCACCGCTGCGTAATGCGCCTTGCGTGGACACTGCCCGCAGGTTCCTGCTCATCCACCAACAGATGTGGCAACAGCCTGTGATTCGGGGCTGAATCCCACTGGGGCTGGCCCTGCCTCCCTTGGGCACCCGTGTGGTCGGAACAGCCCCACGGTCCCTTGGCTGCCCGGGCCCCCCTGGCATATGTGTCCCCAGAGTGTGCCTGGCTGGGCCATCCCAGCTGCCTGCAGACTGGTGCACAAACGTCTCAGAGTCGGAGGTGCCCATGGGGGCCGCCTGCCCCACAGAGCTCCCTGTGTCCATCTGTCCACCATCCATCCATCCATCTGTCCTCCCATTTGGGCTCTGTCTCTCACTGGGTGTCTGTATCCCAGGCAAAGACCGAATGGGAAGGTGCAGAGAGGAAGTCCCTGGAGGACCTGGCCAGATGGCAGAAGGAGGTGGCCGTGCACCTTCAGGGAGTGCAGGAGAAGCTGGACGGCCTCCCCCAGAAGGTGGGCGAAGGCACAGCCAGCCTGGTGCATTTAGCCTTGGGGGTGGTGTGGGACTCTTCCCATCCCTGTCCTCTCCCCTCCTGGTGCTAGACTGGGCCCTGAGGCCGTCCGCCGCTCCTGGTTCTGTTCAGATAGAGGGCGTCTCAGACAAGTGCCTGCTTCACAAGAGCGACTCAGACCTCAGGATTTCTGCCGAAGGCAAGGCCAGGTGCAGCCTCCGGGGCCCCGGGAGAGGGGCAGGGGCCCCACCGACCATCACTGGGCTGGGCCAGTCACCACACTCGCTGCTCTCCACAAGCCCCCCAGTGCCGTGACAGACATGCTCGCCCCACCACCCTGGTGCTGCTCTGAGGAGCCTCAAGCCCTCCCTCTGCCATCTGCTGGGGACCTCCACCTTTCTCCCTGGAGGGGTGACAGAGCTGATTCCCCCAAGCCTCTTTAGCCCCATGGCGGCTGTGGGAGCAGTCCGAGTCCCTGGTCCCGGCCCTACCCCCGAGCACACACCACAGCCGGCCCCGGCATCTGGTGCCACAGGGAGTTCGAGGTGGGGGCCCTGCGGCAGGAGCTGGCCACACTGCTGTCATCTGTGCAGCTGCTGAAGGAAGACAGCCCTGGGCGGAAGATCGCGGAGATGCAGGGCAAGCTGGCCACGGTAATCCCGGGGTTGCCCTTGCTCAGCTGGGGGAGAGGAGGAGCCATCAGGGTCAGGTGGGGCAGCCGTGTGGGCAGGACCCCCAGCCTAAGGGGCATTTTCCGGCCGGCAGGCAAGGCTCAGTTCAGTAGCTCATGCCTGTAATCCCAGCACTCGGGGAGGCCGAGGTGATGAATCACCTGAGGTTGGGAGTTTTAGACCAGCCTGACCAACGTAGAGAAACCCTGTCTCTACTAAAAATACTAAAAGTAGCTAGGAGTGATGGCACATGCCTGGCCTGTAGCCCAGCTACTCCAGAAGCTGAGGCAGGAGAATCACTTGAACCCAGGAGGAGGAGGTTGCAGTGAGCCGAAATTGTGCCACTGCACTCCAGCCTAAACAAGGGTGAAACTCCGTCTCAAAAAAAAAAGCTGCGCCGGCTTGTCTCAGCCTCTGGAAGTTCCCAGTGGAGGCGCCTGTTTGGAGCCCCCCACAATGGGGCGTCTGCAGCCACGAGGGCAGGAGCAGCCCTGAGCCCTTGCCGGGTCCCTGCGGGGCCAGTCTCCTGCACCCCTTCCTCAGCAGAGCCTGTCCCAGGCCTGAAGTGGGGCAAGGGCCAGTGTGTGGGCAGGTGGCCCCTTCCAAACTCTAAGCGGTCAACAGTAGGAGTGGGGACGTCCGTGTGGACAGCAGGACCCCGGCAGGCCAGCCCCGTCCGTGCCCACATGGGGGCCGTGTTTAGTTTCAGAACCAAATAATGAAGCTGGAAAACTGCGTCCAGGCCAACAAGACCATCCAGAACCTCAAGTTCAACAGCGAGGCCCGGCTGGTGAGGAGGCCCTGGGCTGCCGCCACCCGGCACCCACCCGCTCCCTCAGCCCTGCTGCCTGCCCCACGGCAGACACCCACATCTGTCTGTCTGAGCGTCTGGCACCGGGCAGTGTTTCCTTGAAGACAATGGCTTCTGGGCTCCTGGGAGATAAGCCCCCCGTTTGCCATCCCCTGCCCGGGGGTCCGGCTCCTGGGTGACGCTGGCATCCCCGTCCCGCAGCGCACGCAGGAGATGGCTGCCCTGCGGGAGACCATGCTTCGGCTGTGGAGTGAGGAGGGCCCTCAGGTGCCACTGGGCAGCCGCAAGGCGTTCCCGTCCCTGGCAAGGCAGCGGGTCTTCATCAAGGACGTAGCACCCGGCGAGGTGGCACCTGTGAACTGCTGGGGCGTGTACCAGGCCATGAGGTGGGCAGCAGGGATTCCTGAGCGGCCTCCTGCACCTTTGGGTCAGGGTTCGGGGTTGGGGGCGCCCACGGGGAGTGCGGTGGGGTGCAGGGGCCACGTGCCACATCTCTGGACAGGTGGCTGCAGTGGAAGGTGTCTCTCACAAAGCTCCGGTCCCGTCAGAGGCCAGGAGGGTCCCAGAGAAGCCCCACAGCCGGGAGCAGGGGCAGCAGCTCTCACCCTCGCACTTAATGCAGAAGTAAAAGTGCTGGCCTTGTTCTCGTTAGAGCTGAGGTTCCCTGATGCCTGCGGGGGACAGCCTCCCCAGGGCCTGCGGTGGGAGGGGTGAGATCCCGGGATCTCTGGGGCTGGCCCCTCAGCCTCCCCTGGGGGCCGCTGGTGGGTGGAACCCCCTGAATCCAAGTCTCCTTCTGTGGGCATGGCTCTAGGGGTCCCTATGCCCCTCCAGGGGCTCTGCTGGGGCTGAAGGCCAGGGCATGGCCAGGTCTGGGACCACCCTTGCTGCTCCCACCGCAGCCCAGCCCTGGTGGCGTCTGGGTTTGCCCTGTGGTGGCCAAGAGGGATGGAAGAGGCTCTTCCCAGGAGGACGGGAGGAGAGTCTTTTGCCTTAGAGGGCGGCCCCGCTGCAGCCAGCTGACTCCGACCCCGACCCCTCACTAGGCCTCAGCCGCCTGTGCCCCTTCCAGGGCTGGGGTTCCCCCACCAGGCAGCTCAGGACAGCCCTCGGCTGACCAGCTGGCCAGCAGGTCGCTGAAGTCCGGTGTGCCAGGGTGCAGCAGGCCCAGGGGGCTGGGGGTCGGCTCCTTCCAGAAGGACGCGGGCAGCTTCCTCTGTGCCATGGGGGTGATATGGCCGTACTTCCGCTCCAGCCTCAGGCTCCAGCTGGCTGCCGCCCTGGGCCCCCAGTACCGCCGCAACCCGTAGTCGAAGAGCTCGGCCAGGGGTCCCAGGGGCTGCGCCCTGTCCCCGCTGAGGCCTGGCCTGTGCACCTGCCCCTGAGGGACCCTGGGCTCCGGGGTGTCCTCGTCCTCCAGGGCCCCGCCGCGGGCCAGGCACACCAGGTCTGCGTAGTAGAGCTCCCGGGCAGTGACACCGGCCGGCCGGCCGTCGGCGTAGATGTCACAGGCATCTGGGTCCAGCCCCTTGTCCTTGCGGCCAAAGTACCGCTGGATGTCGTCGCTGATGAGCTGTGAGAAACGCAGCAGCTGCAGCGGTGTCTCGGGGCTGCCGGGACCCCGAGGGGCTGCCTCTGGGGGGGCCTCTGCCCGGCCTGAGCTCGGGAGGATCGGGCTGCGGCCCCCCAGCCCCTCACCCTCCAGCTCCTCCTCCTCATCCTCATCCTCCTCCGAAGTCTCGGGGGGCTCCGGATCTGAGGGGGGCAAGGGGTGGTGGCGCGACAGGGGCAGCTGGAAGTCGCACAGGGGCCGGATCACGCCAGCGGCCATCTCCGCACTGTCCTGCACTTCAGAGGACCTCCGGGGCAGCAGGCGCTGGCTGGGGAGGGAGACCGAGGGGCAGGTTCCCTGTCAGGCCTGGCCGTGCCCCGGCCACCCATGGCCACTGCACTCGGAGCCCACAGAGCTATGGCCTCCCCTGGAGAGCTTCCTCAGCTCCTCGGCTCCCTGGAGGTCCCAGCCCCCCAGTTGTGCTTGTCGAGGGCATGGCTCACCACAGGAGTGAGGTGTGGAGAGACAGGGTGGGCACTGTGGCCGCGTGCCTGGGGCACGAGGGCGTGGTTGGCCGGGGCTGAGGCCTGCTGGACTCAGGATGGCCACTGGCAGGAACCATGGGGTCCTGTGGCAGTCGGGGGCATGGGGAGTCGAGTGGGGCACGGGGATGGCGTCACTAGAATTGTGGTCACTGGGGAGGGGAGCACATTGGGTGGAAGAAGGGAGGCCCTGGGGATGGGGCCTGGAGAAGCCAGGCAGGTGGCCAGGGACCCTCGCAGGCCAGGGCAGGGGGACTGGGGCTGCTGAGCTGGAGCTGAGTCCCCGGCTGGGGCTGCTGTGGCATCGGACCCAGGGTCTCCATAGTACTTAATCAAAGCGGGGACATCGGCCATACTGAGCCCAGAGCTCGTGCAGCCGCTGTGGGGTTCTTCGGGGCCATCACAGTCCCATGGGAACAGGAGGCAGCACCCCAGTGGCCCTAACTCTGATGATGGAGGCAGCTGAGGTGGGAGGTCCCTAAAGGGGTGGGCTGCAGGGGTTGCTGCACCTGGCTGGGACCACGCAAGGGAAGCACTGGGGTGAGGGGCCTGGCAGGAGGGTGTCTGGGCGGTGACTGTGGGATGGGTGCAGCTCCCCTCTGGGCCAGCTGCCGGGCAGGGCCCACCACTTAGACCAGGGCCGCCCAGCCCCTCCTCAAGGTGTCCCGGGGCAAGGTAGCCTGAGCCCATCTTGTCTGGAGCCTAGGGCAGGGGGGCAGAGGGAGGGAGGAGAAGGGCTGCAGGGAGGGAGGACTTTTGCAGGGAGGGAGGAGGGCTGTGGGGAGGGAGGAGGGCTGCGGGGAGGGAGGAGGGGTGCAGGGAGCAGCCAGGGCACTGGGACAGGCGTTCCTCCGGGTCAGGATGTTTCCCTGCTGGCTGTCGGGGAGGTGAGCTTCGATGCCCCCCTCACATGGCTGGCCACACCATGGTCCTAATCTCACTCAAGTGTTGGGGTCCCTGTCCTGGGAGGCGTCCAGTGGCCTGACCTCTGGACTTTGGGGCCGGCTGCTCACGGACTGTCCAGACGCAGGCACCCTCCCATGACCACCTGCCCCCCAATGCCTGCCCAGCCCTGGGCCAGCCCAACGTTCTGGGGGACTCACACAGGGGTGGTGGTCCCCACAAAGCCCTGGATAGCAGGACTCACAGACTCAAAGTGCCCACGGCTGTGGCGGTCCCCAGCAGCCCCCGGCCCCCAGGCCCTGGCTCCTACCTGACCGGGGCCCGCAGCTCTTGCTCCACAGGCGCACCTCCACCTGGACACAAGCATTTATAGCCGGCTCTGCAGCCGCCAGGGGCTGGCAAATATTTGACGACAGCATTGTCATGGCAGACTGGGCAAATAGAGCCCGTTTGCTTTAGCGCCCAGCAACCAGAGCCCCGAGGGGGGAGCACACCACCGCCTCACCTGCACGCGGCCTGCCCGGGGACCGTGGAGTGTTTGTGTGGGCGCAGCTGGCTCGCCCCCGGGCCCCCGGGGCCCTTATCTCTGCTGCCGACTGGGGCCCGGACCCAGCCTTGTCAAATAGGCGGAAAATTAAATTTCATGCTATTTTGAGTTATGGAGTAGCCCTCTCTAGAGGACATCCTGTCTCTGCAGCCAGTGGGGCGAATGCCTTTCCTGGCTGCCCAAGGGCCCTGGGGATAGAGATGGGAAAGGGGGCGAGGTCCCATGGACCCCCAGCCAGAGCCCAGCGTGCGGGCTACAGGGAGGGTCCTGGAGCGCCTGCCCGGCTCCCCCAGCCATCAGGCCCTCCTGGACAGCCGGGACCATCTCCACTGGCCCAGCTGTGACTGGGACGCCTGCGGGGGCCACCACCGCATGCCTGCCCAGAGCTCAGAGGTGTTTGCAATTGATCATTAACGGAGGAACCCCCTGCTTCCCTGGGCCTTCTTTTCTCTGCTGCTGCCACCCCTGGGGTGGGAGTGGGGAGCTGGGGACCCTCCCCTCACCTATTACTCCCAGGAAAGCCTCCCCCAGAAGCACCCCAAGGGCCTCTGCCGCTCCCACATACTCCCGGCTCCTCCTGGGTGGCCCCAGCTGGTTCACTGTGGGGGCCGTGTTAGCTTCCTCGGGCTGCCGTGACAATGAGCACAACCTGGGTGGCCTGGAACACAGGTCCACAGGCCAGAGGTCCTGGGCAGGGCTCGCCAGGAGTGGCTGGCTCCTTGCCTCGTGGTTGTGTCTCCCCAGTCTCTGCCTCTGTCCTTTCAGGCTCTTCTCTGTGAGTGTCCACTGCCCTCCTAGGGGTGCCCCGTCCATGGATTTAGGGCCCATGCCTACCCGGTGTGCCCTCAGCTTCACCAGTTACACCTGCAGGGCCGCCCCACCATTTCCAAATGAGGTCCCATTCAGAGCTGGCATGGACATGCATCGTGGGGACTTGGCTCATCCTGGCACAGGCACCATCCACATGTGACTGTCCCCAGCCTTGGCATTCACCAGGTGTGTCTCCCACTTGGCACAGTGCTCTCCGGAGCAGCCCCCAGTGGCCCAGGTTGGGAGCAGCCCCCAGTGGCCCAGGTTGGGAGAACTCCACAGTGCCCTTCCAGGGACTCCAGCTCCGAGGACAGGACAGCAGCCCCCAGCGTGGCCTGGCCCTGACACTCCCTGTCCGGAGCCCCCAGCTCCTGGGCCTTCACCTTCCAGGGGCTCGGGTGACCCCCACCCTGGGTCCTCACCCCTGCACTCCAGGCGTCCCCCAGTCAGGTGGGAGACCAGCCCCTCCCACCCTGTGCCATCCAGTACACAGGGATTTGGGCAGTGGGCCTGGCCCTTCCCTGTGCCAGGGGGCCCCTGGCTGACCTGCCCAGATTTCTCAGGCACCGGGAAGGCAGGAGATCCCAGGGGGCTTCAGGTGGCCTCTGTGACCACCCAGCGTCTGTGGCTGCACTCAGGACCCCCAGCTTCGGACGAAGGGACAGGAAATAAGTTCAGCCTTAAGAGTGAGTCCTGCAAAGGCCCTGCTGGTAACCGCCACAAAGGGTCTGGGAAGCCGCCCGAGTCTCATGCTGAGGGGCGGGGGCACCTGGAGAGGCTCCAGTCCCAGGAGAGGCTGTGGGAGTAGGGCAGGGACAGCATGGGCACAGATGGCAGTTACGGCTTCTCCTTACTGCTCCTTCACAGGCAGGCACCAAGACCACACGGGTGACCCACAGCCCCGGTGACCCACAGCCCTGGTGACCCCAAGGCCCGGTAAGCCTATGCCCTGGGGTGAGGCGCATCTGGCCTTACTCAGCCCTGAGCATCCAAATAGTGTAGGGACCTCTGTCCCAGGCCTCATGGGGGCTGCCCTGAGACTCCAGGGTCTGGTGACTCTTGGCCAGGCCCTGGCTGTGGGGGGGCTTCGCCAGCCTCCCCAGCTCCCCTCTGATGCAGCGTCAGCAAGAACCTGCAGCTGCTCAGGCTCAGGGAGGGCCCTAGGCCCCCAGCTCCCGAGATGCAGCCCCTGCCCCTGCTGACCCGGGGAGCTCCAGGCCTGGGGCCCTGGGTGCACCCGCCCTTGTCTGCTCAGAACCCCCGGGCCAGAGCTGCAGAGGGTGGGGGTCGTGCTGCTCCTGGCTGTGGCCGCAGCGCCCTCTGCCGCACACGGTGGAGTGGCCGGGCCTGCGGAGGAAGGGCTGGGAGAGGACTGGCCTGGTGTCCGGCACTGCAGGCCTCTGCCTCGCTGGTCTCAGCAGGGATGGGGTCAGTAGGGGTCTGAGGGAGCGTCAGTGGAGGACCCAGAAGGACCCTGGGCCCCGTGTTCTGCCCTGAACGGCGCGGGAGGTGGGATGGCAGGCCCAGGCTTTGGGCGCAGGTGGTCACCAGCTCGCTCAGTGACCAGCCTTGTCTCTGTTGAACCCTGTCCTGGACGCCAAGGGTGAGGACATGAGACACAGCCCCTCATGAAGGAGGTGGGTGTCGGGGCTAGGAGGGCAAGCTTCGGGAAGCAAAGGGGTTCCCATTGGGCATACAGCCTGGGCAGGCCGGCCCTGTGATGGCCCCGGGACGTCCGTGCCCTAATGCCCAGCACTTCCACAGAAACGCCAGCCCAGGGTCCCTGTCGGAGGGAGGCAGGAGGCTGAGCCAGAGAGGCTGGAAGAGGCGACGCTGCTGGCTTCGGAGCTGGAGGAGGTGGCCAGGACCTCGGCAGGGCGACCCACTTCCCTGGAAGGGCCACGCCACTCCCACCTCGGGACCCTGGGTATCCCTCCGTCCTCTGTCTCGGGCGCTGGGGGCCTGCCTGTGACCCCACGGGTCTCGGAGCTGTCTGGATGCTTGTCTCTGCCTCACAAGGAACCGTGGAGAAAACCCCAGTCTGGGACGGAAAATTCTAGAGTGGGCACAGACCCGAGCAGACCAGCATTTGTTTGGGGCCAGCGTGGACACCCAGGGAGCTGCCTGAGGCCGGAGCCCAGGGCGGTCAGTGCTAAGCAGGCAGGGAAGGGAAACCCAGGGTGGCCTGGAGGGCGAGGGCGGGATGGGGGCACCCATCACCATTAGCCTTCCACCCCTGAGTCCTGAGGTAGACTCAGGAGGCCTGGCGGGAGGTGACTGTGGTTTGCGGTGAGGCTGGGTGGGGCGGCAGCCTCTGGGGCATCAGGGACGGTGAAAAGACACAGGTCCCACACCACTGCCAGCCTGTGTCCCGCCTGGGGTTGGGTGGGCGGCCTGAGCCAGGCCAAGGAGCGCAGGAAGTCCCTGCAGTGGGGCTGGGCCCAAGCAACTTCCAGCATCTGTGGCCACCATGCCTCTCACGAGGGCGGCATCAGGCCCAACCGAGCTCCCTGCCCACATGCCCACCCCGGCTCCCACCCCTGCTGTCCGCTTCAGGCCCGGGAGGAAGGCGCTGCCCTTCCGAGTGCAGCAGGCTTGCTGTGCCCACCCACCCCATATCGATCATTCTGGGGAAAATCAATAGCTCCAATATGCCGGCTCTCAACAGGCCCTAGGGCTATTCCCGTTGGGAGGCACCAGACGGCCGCAGCCTCTGCAGGAGCGGGACGTTGGGCCTCCCGAGAAATTTGTGTGCTTTCAGATAGTGGGTTTACGTCCCTGGGGAGGGAGAGGGGGAGGACGAGAGCAGCCGCCCTGGCAGTGCCAGCACCTTCGCCACATGGACTGGCCAGGGAGGGCAGGGCCGCAGGGACACAGGCGCCCAGGGAGGGCAGGGCCGCAGGGACACAGCCACCCAGGTAGGGCAGGGATGCAGGGACACAGCCGCCCAGGGAGGGCAGGGACGCAGGCGTCCGCACATCCGCTGTGGCTTTTACCAGCTGGGGTCAAACACACAGCATTTGGGGCGGAGGGGAGGGGGAGATGTCCACGCCCACCAGCCAAAGCCCCCTGGGAGCAGATGGGCACCTCTGGAGCAGGGCGTGTGCTCAGCCTAGAGTCCCAGCTCCTCCAAAGTGGGAGGATCCACTGGGCCCAGGAGCTTGAGCCCAGCCTGAGCGACATAGTGAGACTCCATAAAAAATAAAAAAATGTGGCCAGCCCAGTGGCTCCCGCCTGTAATCCCAGCACTTTGGGAGGCCGAGGCAGGTGGATCACCTGAGGTCAGGGGTTTGAGACCGGCCTGGCCAGCATGGTGAAACCCCATCTCTACTAAAAAATACAAAAATTAGCTGGGCATGGTGGCAGGTGCCTGTAATCCCAGCTATTCGAGAGGCTGAGGCAGGAGAATCGCTTTAACCTGGGAGGCAGAGGTTGCAGTGAGCCGAGATGGCTGCACTGCACTCCATCCTGGCTGACAGAGCGAGACTCCAACTCAAAAAAAAGAGGGGGGGGATGCAGATGTCCTCTGGAGTGGCTTCTGTCAGG